CTAGAGAAAAACAGGGCAAAAGCCAGCAGGCCTGGCCCTCGTGGACTTGGCAGAGGGAGTGGCAGTCCCACCGGGACGCGCGTGTGGAGCGGGCTCCGTGGAGGGAACCCGCGCGGCTCACTGCCTCGTCCCCCACATGGCGCCCACGCGGGAGGAGCTCCGCAGTAGCCATGATGGAGACAAGGGCTCGGGAGGCAGCCAGCTCTCTCCTCACCTGTCATCTCTGGTGGCTTTTGCACCTCGAGGACAGAATCGAGCAGTATGACAGAGACCATCTGGCCCACAACGCCTAGGTGTTTACTGTCGGGCCCTTTGCAGGGGATTTCGCCAGCCCCTGGTCTAAGTGAGCCGGCAGGGAAGGACCGCTGCGGTGTGAGCGTGTCTGAGGACCCCGCCTGCGAAGGGAAGCTTCTCAGATGGAATGTCGGTTGAGGTGAGACAGGGAAAGGGGGTAGACAGAGTCCAGGTAGGGGACAGGTTCTTCCAAGATGCAGTCATTGGCGTGGAGGTGGGGACAGGCACCTGCCGGAGCAGGGTGCAGGGGATGTCAGGCGGAAGGGCTCCAGAGGCACGGTCAGCACGTCCTGCCCCTCTGCTGTCCCCGGCGCTGGGAGACGTAGAAGTGCCTTTCCCCTGAGCCCTTGCTCCACACCCCGGGAGGGCTGCACGGTGGGCACCGTGTCATTGTGCTCCGGCTGCGCGGGCCCTGAGACACCTCGCTCGGGTGGCTGGTTTTTATCCTAATGGCTCACTCTCTTCTGAAATTTGGGAATTTTTATAATTTAGGGGAATGAAAAGGTCCTTTTTCTTACAAGGTTATCTCCTTAATTGCAGGGCTAGCCTTCGGCCCTTGGGCCACTGTTGCTCTTGGAAAGCTCTAAGGGCAAAGGCCGCCCATGACCATGTGGAGTCCCAGGGTCCATCAGCGCTGCCCTTGCAGGGCAGGCGCTGTGTGGGGCTGGTCACTCGCCTCAGCCTCTTGCTCTCTCATAGAGAAGTTTCGCAGTAACTCTTGTAGAATGTTAAGGGATGTAGCTCAAGATGAACAGGCCTCCGCTTGTTTGTTTTTCTCATAAGCAGCGACATTGCCTCTACATTTTATCATCTCGATACCCAAAGTTAAATGTCCTTGCTCAGTTTTGGATTCAGATTTACTATTAGCAGTTTTACATTTCGATTACAAATATTTGTAGAAAACTTCAAAATAAAGTGATCTGAGTAGGAGGATGACATATGTTGGGGCTGTTTTACAATATTTACAGAAAAACTCATTCGGTTTTATGTTTTATTACCTCTTAACAACGTAGTTCTTTTGTCTTTGTTCATTTTAAGTAGAATAGATAAGTTTGATTTTAAAAATATCTTTGCTTTACCTATGAAAAGATGCTCAACATCATGCTGAGTGTTAAGGAGCTACACAGCGAAGCCACAGTGAGACACCTCTTCCCGCCCCGAGGCTGGTCGTGCAGCCCACACGGCAGCGGGGGCCAGCTCACAGGTGGAGAGGTCGGCGCGTGCGGGCTGCCGGCGGTAACGTGCAAAGCGGCGCAGCCACGCTGAAAACCAGATGGCAGTTCCTCAAAAACGTAACTCTAGGTCTATACGTTTTGAGCTCCGTCCCATAACATTCTCCAAGGAGAAGTAATTCGTAAAGCAGCGCCAGTTCTGCGTACGGACCCAGAAGCGCTGGAAGCAGGGGCTGCAGCAGACGGGTGTGCGCCCGTGGCCGTAACCGTGCCATCCACAGCAGCCAAACGCGGGGGCAACCCCTTGCCCGTGCGCAGGCGAAGGGAGACGCACGCTGTGGTCTCCACGCACGGGGGGATGTTGCTCAGCCTGGAGAAGCGGGGGATCCTGGCACCCACTAGAACCTGCGTGGACCTCGCAGGTGTTAGGCTAAGTGAAATAAGCCCATCACAAAGGGACAAGTGTTGCGTGGTCCCGTTTAGAGAAAGCAGACAGCTGGGACGGTCGGGGTCCGGGAGGGAGCTACTCCCCTTCGGAAATTGACTCTTAACTCAGTGGTCAGAGTGTTTTAAAATCACACTGAACCTCTTTGCTCTTGTAAAGTTATCACGTTTTTCTAACAATAAAAATTTGCTCTTTTAAGTAACATTCCTATTATCTAAGAACATTGGAAACTTACCTTGGGTACCTTTGGGGATTCCATCTGCTACCTCATTTGATACCATATCTAAGCATTTTTCCTTTTCTCTAAGATGTCATTTACTGTTTTTAATCCTCACCCAAAGATATTCTACTATTGATTTTAGAGAGAGAGGAAGGGGGAGAGAGAGAAACATCGATCAGTTGCCTCCCATAAACTCCCTGACCGGGCACCAAACCTGCAACCTAGGTACGTGCCTGGACGGAAATTGAACCACAGCTTTTTAGTGATGTTCCAACCCACTGAGCAACCCAGCCAGGACGTATTTAAACATTTTTCAGTTTCTTTTTGAAATGTTTTTAAAGTAGGAGAAAATACACAGAAAATAAAACTCCATTCACAATACAAATTTGGCATAATATTTTGCCATATTTCCTTCAGATCTCTTGTTTTAGAAATGTTACAGAAAGCACCCCCAATTCCATTCTTGCCTTCCCCCAAGAAGAGCTACCGTCCTCTAGTGTTAGTGTGAAAATGACCATCCAAGGTGCGGTGTGGCGTCTCGTTTTTAAAATGAGTGTCTGGAGCGCCCGTGAGGGGGGCTGCCATTTCGTAGGGGCTCCCTCCTCTCTGAGCTGCCTGTTCCCGCCCCTTTCCCGTTCTGTGGGGTTTGGTCTCTCCTGCCTGCCTGTGTCTTGTTTTCTGGCTTCCTTTATATGATGTCTTTGGCCATACACACGTTTTTAATGTTATAGTCAAATCTTTCAACTTTTTTATGTCCTCTGTAAGAAGATGCAGTGCCCAAGGTCATAGTGATAGTCTCCTATACTTCCTTATAAAGCCTTAAAAAGTTTTGCTTTTCGTAGTTCGGTCTTTAATCCATCTAGCATTTATTTGTATGTACGATTTGAGTTAGGGATCCACTTTTATTTCTGCCACACAGCTGGTCCATTGTCCAGTGGCACTTATTAGCTAGCCCCTTCCCTTCTGTCCCTAGGTGGTAATGAACACTATCCTTATCCCTCAGGATAGAAACAGCTTTTTCAAACCTGACCTATAACCCAGCACAGTCCATCAAGCTGGCAGTAGTCCAAAGCATTTTACAAAAACCCTCAAAGTCAACCATTAACGAAGAGCTGATCCTTTTACAGCGTGGCCTTCGGGGAATAGAAAAGGAATGGAAAGTATTCAAAAGGCACCCGTGCGGGGGAGGAGGGCCCGGGCCGCGGGGCGGCTCACCTCCGGCCGCTGGGCGGGTGGCAGCGAGCGCTGTGCTGTCGGGCGAGCCCCGGGAGAGGGAGCTGCTCTGGGTGTCCTGGTAACAGCGAGAGTCTGTTTTTAAGTCGGTCTCATTTTCTGCGCTAACCGATGAGTGACTCGTGTATCTCTTTAGTTATTCCGTAAGCTAGCTTTTGTAGTATGTGCAAAGCCAACAGGGGAAATTGTCTTAAACCAGGGTTGCAGAGCCAGCCCCTAATACTTGTCAGTAGAAAACTTTGTTGTTTTATGATAACTTACATCCTTAAAGCTGTCTATTGCCTGTCTCCGTTCTCCTTTGGGGGGTTTGCCTGGAATAGGCTGCCTGCTTTAGAGCATTGTTCCATCTCATTACATCCCTTTCACATCAGGCAGCAAAAGTGGTTTCGGTTTCTTGTTTGTTTGCTTTTAAGGTCGAAGTTAGCTTTGCCTCTTCTTTCTAGTGATACTGATATTCTTTACATACTTCCTCTTTTTCTTTTTAGCTCCATCAAACTTTAAGAGACTTTTTTGGGAAACCAATTTGACTGTCCACGAGTAAGATTTTCCTTGTTAAAATAAATTTGAATAGAACATAATGATGGAAGGTTCTAAAAGAGAAGAAATATTTTATTGCGATTATCTGTATGCCATACTAAAAAGAAACTCAAGGATTTCTAAATTGTGTGAATTTGTTGTATGTACAAGTTAATTTTTTTATATCACTTTTTCTTTGTTTTTGAGTGATACAGCAAATAAAGTCTGCTGGAAAATTCATTGGAATATAATTTTGATTCCAGTGTTAGAAATACTCAAATCATTAGGAAATCTGAGGAGATAAAATGCAGATACCAAATACTGGATTCTTTAAAAGGATCATAAGAGCAAAGTGATAGAAATACTATAGGAAGAGATTGTGTGAAGAGGAGACTCATTTAAGGAATAGAGAGCAATTGTGGAAGGAGTCCTCAGGGGTCCAGTAAGATACCAGGTTGGGGTTAGAGAATATTTTTTAATTAATGCACAGGAACCAGCGATAAATCACTAAGTAGCATAAATGTAAGAAAACATTCCTAACGCTTAGGACGCTTGGTAACAGAAGGCTGCATCTTGTAATGTATTTCTCTCTTCCTCCCTCTGCGCACCCCGCCCCCAGGTCCTCAAAGGCTGCCTCTAGTGCACGATTCTGCAGCGCGTTTACAGTTCTCTACGGAGCACACCTTAGCTCTGTGTAGCACTGTGGGCCTAGTTAGAGGTCTGCGGGGGAACAACAGCTCGTGCGAGAGGGCCCAGGAGGACTCGGGGCGGGCCTCCCGGAGCCGGGGCCCCCAGGCGGGGCACAGCTGTTCTCGGTTCCGGGATGCGAAGCAGCTTCCTGTACCGCAGGTGCCTTCAGAGACTCGAGTGCCGCCTGCGTCCTCTCGAGAGGATGCTATGTGGTATAGGGGCAGGAATAAATAGAATTGGAGCAACGTTAACTCTTTTTTAAATAGGAGCTGTTAAGAAGACAAACAACTTTTTTCTCTAAGTCATTTTTTTAGCATTTGTCATTCAGAATTGAAAGCTTGAAATAATGAACTTCCTCCAATGACTAGCTAAAGCTGATTCCTTGACACGGGAGGAAAATCTAATTCTGAATTTGTTTCATCTTTTTCAGATCTCAGTCACAGTGGATTGGCAGATCATTATGAAAGCCCCCACTGGGGACAGCAGCCCACTTTCAGAAGCGAAGCCGGCTGCAGCTGGGATCAAGTGATAATAGACAGGACTGATAAGGAGGCGTGGCCTTCCATCACGGGCGCGGAGACGGAGTCCGCCTCAGAATGCACCACAGACACTGACTCCGCCTCCAACTGCGGCTCGGAGAGCAGCAGCATGGCCACGGGGGGCGCCCCGGGCGGCTTCCCCGCTCACGCCAAGAAGACCAATGGCAGTAACGGCACGAACGGCGCACTCGTCCAAAGCCCCCCGAACCCGAGTGCCCTTGGCGCGGGCGGAGCCAACGGCAGCGGCAGCGCGGCCAGGGCGTGGGGCGTCGCCGCGGGCCCCAGCTCCGGCCTCCCGCACTGCCCCCTCGGGGCCGGGGACGGGAAAATGGACAGCCTGATGGGGGACGGGAGGGGTCAGAACTGCTGGGGCGCCTCCACCCCCAGCGCCGGCATTAATCTCAACCTTAACCCGAGCGCCAACCCGGCTGCCTGGCCTGTCCTCGGACACGAAGGGACTGTGGCCACAGGCAGCCCTTCCAGTATTTGCAGTCCAGTCAGTGCCATAGGTCACAACGTGGGCAACCAGAACGGGAGCCCGGCGGGCACGCTGGGCGCGTGGGGGAGCTTGCTGCCGCAGGAGAGCACAGAACCACAGACGTCCACGTCTCAGAATGTGTCTTTCAGCGTACAACCTCAGAACCTTAACACTGATGGACCAAATAACACTAACCCCGTGAACTCTTCAGCAAACCCTATCAATGCAATGCAGACAAACGGACTGCCGAACTGGGGCATGGCTGTCGGCGTGGGGGCCATCCTCCCGCCCCACCTGCAAGGCCTTCCTGGTGCTAACGGATCATCAGTCTCTCAAGTCAGTGGGGGTGGGGGCGAAGGAATCAGCAGTTCTGTGTGGGGACTGTCCCCCGGTAACCCTGCCACAGGAAATAGCAGTTCTGGGTTCAGCCAGGGGAGTGGAGACACTGTGAACTCAGCATTAAGTGCTAAACAAAATGGACCCAGCAGTGCTGTGCAGAAGGAAGGGAGCACAGGGGCCGCCTGGGAGTCGGGGCCTCCTGCTGGCCCCGGGGTCCTCGCCTGGGGGCGGGGCCGCGGCACCAACGGCGTCGGGAACATCCATTCTGGCGCGTGGGGCCACCCCAGCCGAAGCACCGCCAACGGTGTGAGTGGGGAGTGGGGGAAGCCCCCAAACCAGCATTCCAGTGGCGACGTCAATGGGAAAGGGTCAACAGGGTGGGACGGCCCCAGTGTGAGCGGCCAGAACCCTGCCATGCAGCCCGGCGGTGACCACGTGAGCTCGTGGGCCAAGGCCGCCTCTTCCGGAACCACGGCGAGCGAAGGCAGCAGCGAGGGCTCTGGCGGTCACGGTGAAGGCGGTGCCGGGAGGGAAGGGGCCGAAGGCCGGCGGCGGGAGAAGGGAGTTCTAGACCAAGGGCACATCCAGTTGCCAAGGAGCGATCTTGACCCGCGAGTCCTGTCCAATACCGGCTGGGGACAGACTCCAGTAAAGCAAAACACTGCCTGGGAATTTGAAGAGTCCCCGAGGTCTGAGCGGAAAAATGACAATGGGACAGAGGCCTGGGGCTGTGCAGCTACTCAGCCTTCACACTCAGGGGGGAAGAACGATGGGTCCATCATGAACAGTACAAATACCTCTTCAGTATCTGGGTGGGTCAGCTCGCCGCCTGCTGCTGGGCCAGCAGACACCGGCTGGGGGGACAGCAGCAACCGAGCGCCAAACGGCCCCGGGGTCTGGGGGGACTCGGTCAGCTCAACTGCTGTTCCTAACGCTGCTGCTGCCAAGGGCGGCCACGCCTGGAGTGGGACCGTAAGTCAGGAGGACAAGTCGCCCACCTGGGGTGAGCCCCAGAAGCCCAAATCTCAAAACTGGGCAGATGGACAAAAGCCGAATGCAGCCTGGAGTGCAGGAGGCGGAGACTGGGCAGACCCCTCTTCTGTCCTTGGACACCTGGGGGAGGGGAAAAAAAATGGCTCTGGGTGGGACACTGACAGCAGCCGGTCGGGGTCCGGCTGGAATGACTCTGCGAGGCCTGGGGCCGGTGGCTGGGGCAGCGGCACAAATGCTAAGGTGGGTCCAGGGGCAAACTGGGGAGAGTCTTTGAAACCCGGCCCCCAGCAGAACTGGGCGAGCAAACCTCAAGACAACAACGTGAGTAACTGGGGAGGAGCCGCCTCCGTGAAACAGACAGGAACAGGGTGGATCGGGGGGCCGGTCCCCGTCAAGCAGAAGGACAGCAGCGAAGCCACGGGCTGGGAAGAGCCTTCTCCGCCATCCATTCGACGCAAAATGGAAATCGACGATGGTACCTCAGCTTGGGGTGACCCAAGCAATTACAACAACAAGGCTGTAAACATGTGGGACAGAAACAACCCGGGCCTCCAGAGCAGCACCGCGGCGGCCGCCGCCCCTGCCGCCACCACGAACAGCAGCACGAGCACAGCCGAGGTGGCGCCGCCGCCGCCGCCGCCGCCGCACCCGGCCAGCGCCCCGCTGAACCGGTCACCGCTGCTCGGTCCAGGTACGGGAGGGGCTTTGTGTTCTTTAGGAGGAGAAGCGCATTTCTTCTCACTAGGTGTGCGTGCAGCCATAGCAAGTGACGCCGGGTACCCGTCACCTTGCAGTGCTGCATTTCAGTGTGATGTAGAGGCAGAGAATAAAGCAGTTGCCTGGTAGTTTTCCCTCCGAGAGGAAAGTAGAGCTGCATCCTCCTGGGGAGAGATGGGGGCCGGAGCAGAGTCCGTGTTCGCGCACAAAGTCTTCATTTCTCCACGCAATGAGCCAGCCACCCCGACCCAGCCCTGGCAAGGGCTCTCTCCGGGCGCGGGGCCGGTGTCCTCGGTCTCAGGGAAGCCCGTCCGTGGGCGATTTTTAAAGTTCCCCGGGGCTCTGATGTGTGGTCAACACTGAAATGAAACTGGCTTCGTAGCATGTGAATGGCGTCCCACAGTATAAGGCATGCTTTGATTTCAGTTGAAAGAAAGATCTTAAAACCCAACTAAAACTTGGGTTTTGAGGTCTGCTTTGTGTGAGGTACTCTACTAGGTACCGTGGCGGAAAAGAAGAGGCGATCCAGACCGGAGCCTGCCCACGGGGAGCGGGAATCACGACAGAGTTTAAACAGCAGCAGGGGCTGTGAGGGCACAGAGGAAACGCAGCTGGGTTTTGTCGCTGCAGGACTCAGCGTTCTACTGAGAGTGCGGGTCCATGGGGGGAGGCTGTTGCTGTTCTCCCGGCGGGCGCGGGCTCCCCGAATCGCAGGGCTCCCAGGGCGGAAGGGAGCGGTGAGCGGGGGGCGCGGCCCGGGCCCCTCTCCTGCGCACGCCCCAGGCGGCTGGCGCTGCTGCCCAGAGGCCCCCGCGCAGCGCTCTAGGCCCTCTGCCCGCCCGCGCCTGCCCCGCCCGCCGCTCTGCCTGTCCTGTCGGCGGGCGGAGCCCCAGTCCGCCTCCCTTCAGGTCCTGGACTTGCTGTGTAGTGTGGGGCAGGGCAAGACGAGGCTTGATTTCTCATCTCAGGCTGCAGAACCCCAGGTGCCTGCATACAGTCCTCATGCCCCGTCTTCCCACTGTCCGGGACCTAGTCCTCACTCCTGCCGCTGTCCCTCACAGACATGGTTTCCAGTCCTTTTTGCCATCCTCTGGGTCCTCGTGCCCAGAACCAGTGCTGTCGCTGTGAGTGCGGTTGGACCAACGCAGAAGCAGTGGAGAGAGCAGCCTGCCTCCCTCCTGAAATCACGCTGCCAGGGGCGCCGCCGGAGTCTCACTCGGCCTTTTTGAGACGTGCTGCTTGGTTTACCTTAAATTGAGCTGATGATGTAAAGCTTTTCTTTTTGTTAAGGCTGCTGTGAAGCCCTTCCTTGCTTGGGACTGCTCTCAGGCAGTTGACCCTTGACCCCAAGCATAGAGCTTTATTTCTGGGAGAGCGTCGGGTCCCAGCCCCCAGCCTGCTGAGGCCTGTCTGAACCCTGGCTCTGTAACCACGTATCCGTAGTTACTCCTGCGAGTTTTACGCCACCCCTAGATTCTCAGCATGCCACGCAGACAAGACCGAGGGCAGCGACCCTCTCCCCTGGCCCTTCACCCAGGCTTCTTACACATGGGGCCGAATTTGCATCCAGAAACCAACCTACCAGTGAGTCTGGAAGTGCAGTCGTTTTAACTCTGGCCTCTGTGATACGGGTGGGCTCGCAGAAGAAGCGCGGTGGACGCCCTGTGCCCCTTGACTATGTCGTATGCAGAGATTTGGGTTAAAAAATTTTGTTCTGGCCATCAAACATCATTGGAACTGTTGTAAGCAGAGAATCTGCCCGCCCCCCGCCACCGAATCTCCACAGAAACCCAGCCCCGGCGGGTCGCTTCCACCCCGCAACCTGACCTGGCTCCCCGCTCCGAGCCGCCCGGCCCTGCTTGCGGTCGCCCGAGGACGCCGCGTGGCTTGCAGGGCCTCGTGCTCTTGGCCCATCCTCCGTCCTGCGCCGAGAACCAGTGCCTCCATCCTTTTATTGGGTGTGTGAACACCCAAAGTGCACGGCCAGATGCCTGTGGTGTGCTGGCGTAGCGCGCAGGGCGCAGCAGCGTGGAAGGCGGGCGTTCGGCGCCTCGAACCTCCACCCAGGCAGAAAGACAGGTGCCAGACGGTTAGTGTGGTGCCAACTGTGAGCAGGAAGGCACAACACATGGGCGTGCTTGAGCAAGGCTTGGGTTGCAGAGGGCCGGGCCGAGCGGTGTTTACAAAGGGGGGCCTGGCGCAGGAGGCCTAGAGGCAGGGGGCCAGGGGCGAGTTTGAGGAACAGAAGTTCAGAGCAGCTGGAGCTCGGGGAGAGTGGGGCCCGTGGCAGGAAGGCCTCCCGGAGGCTGGGGCAGGGTCCGGTGTGGTCCTCAGGCCACATGGAGGAGTTGGGTTGTCCCCAGGGGTCTGGGGAGCCAGTGAGGAGGTGGAAGCAGAGGATGAACAGTGAGGCTTATTTGCAGAGCCACTGCCGCTATAAAATGAAGAACAGACCTGTGGGAAGCTAAGCCGGAGGAGTGAGCCTGAGCCCAGCAGGCGCAGCGGTGGCGATGGCGGTGGCCTGGATTGGAGTGGCCGTGGGGGTCGGAGGCAGGGGGCGGCAGCAAGGCGTGGGGGCAAAGGAGAGAGGTGAGCAGAGGTAGCTCCAAGCACGGGCAGGCGAGCAGCAGCTGCATCGGCCACCACCATCGGAGCCCTGCAGGAGGCGCCTGTCCCCAGGAGGTGACAGTAGGTGGGGCTGAAGGTACAACGAGGGGAGGGTGGTGATGGGCAGCGGGCACGGTCAGGAGCAGAGGCGCTGTCTGAGGCGATAGAGTCTTGCTCACATTTAAGAGCTGACAGAGGGGCAAGCAGAGAGGGAGAGGGGCTCAAAGGGAGGGGGCCCTGCACCCCCGTGGGTGGCAGGGAGTCTGCAGCCTGCGGAGGAGGGCGCACCCTGGTGCCCTCCTCCTCTGGGCATGGGGGGCGCCAGCCGAGAGGGCGGAAGGGAAGGCGGAGCGGAGGCGAAGCTTGCATCAAGCCGTGGGGACAGTGGAAAAGAGCCGACCAGGGTCCCTGAAGGGTTGCTGGGCAACGTATGGGACCCAGAGGTCCCAGGTCCACAGTGGGGACACATTTGTTTACTCTGCTTGTGTTTATTGAGACTCACTTAGTGCCAGGCAGCGCTCTGGTTGCGGGGGTCCGGCAGGGGACAATGCAGACGGACTCCCGGCCCCGGTGGGCCGTGCGCTCTAGCTAGGGAAGTGCGGGGCACGGAAGCCCGCGGGGCTGTGCGTTGGGCGGGGGGCGGCGCTGAGGAGAAGGGCCCGGGGGCAGGGGTCCGAGGTCAGGTGGGAGGGAGCCGGAGCGCACGGGCAGCTGTGTGGTTCTCATCGTGGGCGGGCAGCAGCTCACCCACGATCGAAGGGGGTCCTCCTTCCTGCGCTCAATCCAGAAGCCATGCCCTCCAAGTCTCCCCTGGTCCCCCAGCCAGATGGGACCCTGCAGCCTCTGACTCCCTGGCAAATGACTTGTGCCTGGCACGGGCCCCTGGCATTAAATGTGGTGACCACAAGGGCCTGTTCGTGCATCGCTCGGGTGACCCCCTTCTACAGGGGGAAGCAGTCTCCTGAGGGCACAAGTGGCAAGGAAGAGATGACACTCAGCTGGGTGGGAACAGGCCGTGCCCACCGCCACTTCTAAAATACTACACCCCCCGCCCCAGACAGAGCCACACACACAGGGACAGTTCGTTCTCCTTCCTCTCTTTGTTTCCCTTGGCATCAGCTCTTACATGCGAGCTTTGCCCTGCAAACAGCCCTTTCTGGTTTGTGGGAAGGTCCACAACCATTGTCTTTTTATCTGCAAAATATTTGTCGATCGTTTTTTAACAAACCGCACATCAAGACCAAACGTCAGAGAAGGCAGCTTAGGCAACATCCGCGCTTGCAACACTCGCGTGGAAGCGGTCACCCCCTGACAGAGATGGATGAAGCGGAACGCAGGGCTCCAGGCGGTGAGCCCATTCGCAGAACCCGTGTCAGGCTCAGTGGGTCGCACGGCACGTGGTGGGGTTACTTCACAGCGTCCTCATTTATAACAGTCTCTCCTTCCACCACGACACGAAGCAGCCGCACTGAGCCATTGCCCCGCCCTCCTTACCTGGGGCCCTCGCTCAGGAGCGCAGGCAGTCTGAGCCTGGCACTGCCGGCCGGGCTCCCCTCGAGCCGGGGGGAGCGCAGCCGGCCTCCCACGCCAGCCCCTCCGTGGCGGTGACAGTGGACCGGCTCCTGCGGCCCTCTCTGCTCAGGCTTACCAGTGTCGGCCCATGGCCCTCCCGGGAGGGGACTGAGACATGCGGGCAGCCCACACGAGTGACAGGAGCCGCAGGCACAGCACCGGCCATGCTGCAGGGGAGCTGGTGGCTTGAACACGTGCCCAGACTGGACTCCATGAACTGCCTGGGATGCTGCACTCCAAACAGGGCCATTCATGTACCTGAGGACCATCTGGGGAAGCGTCTGCTATTACAGAGTTGGTCTTTCTTAGGTCGTCTGCCACTTTGCTGTTGACCTGAACAGATTTTACAAAATTTTCACTTAAGAGTTTGGGTTGTTGACCGTCGCCACTTAAGGGTATTGATCTCTGTCTTATAAAATAGGGATTCTCAATTACTTGGTTTTTTATGTGTCCAGTTTTATGGAAGAAAATGCTACAGGACGATCATTTTTGTCTCATTCGTGTTTTCTTGGTGTAGTTTTCCGACGAGCTTGGGGAGAACGCAAACTGAGGAAGTGCCGTGTGGCTTTGTAAACGGGTTGTTGGGACCTGGCTCAGACCCGTGCTGGAGACATGACCCAGCAATTACCTAGGGGATGTCCCTGTGCCCGCCTTCTGATCGGAGACCGCGGGCTGCCTGAGACAGTGGCTGTCGTGCCGCGTGAGCCGGCCCGTCACCGGACCCTTTCGGCACGGCCCCGGTGACTTAGTGCGCGCACGAGCCCGACTCGGGCTCTGCGGGAATGAAGTGGTTTGGGAGGGACTGGGGGCTGGAGTGGGATCAAACACGAAGGCTGCTGGGGACCTGATCCCAGCTGGCCCAGCCGCAGGGCCGAGCAGGCCAGGAGTCCTGCCTGGGCCCCTCTCCCAGCAGCGGATGGAAGTGAAATGCTGGTGCCACGTGACACTCCGAAAAGTGGAAGTGTACTGCCCACATTGACCTCAGTCTAGACTATTCTTTATCCATTTTACTACCCATTCTCAGCTCCTGGGCATGTCACTTTAGCCATCGCCAGGCGTTTCAGCTGTGCCTGCGATGGTCACTAGCGGTTTCGCGCTGCAACCGGAGGGGAGGACTCCTTTGCATTGGGGTCCTTAATAAATCTAGTGATGTGCTATTTGCTTTATCACTTAGTTTCCTGGCACAAATATTATAAGCAAAGGCAGCAATCGTGAGAATTAATCATGGGAGAGGCAGACCACCCGCATCCTAAACTAAAACTTGGGAGAAATTAGAGTTAGGACCCCCTACCTAGGCAGAGAGCATGTGTGTAGTTTCTCCAAGTCGCAAAAGCAGAAGCTGGGGAACGTCGTCCTTCCTGCAAGACTCCCTGTCCTCGACATTCAGCTGCTCCTTTTTCTTCCTTTGGTGTCAAAATGATACCAAAAAACAGTCACCTGCAGATGGAATGACTCAGCAAGATCCTGACAGAGCTCAACTGCTTTCACACCGTAACTTCAGAAATAGGCCTCTCTCTGCGCCGCCAGCCAGGATCGTCCCATGTGAAGCGCCACGCGGTGGCTGCGGAACGAGGAACGGTCTGAGCGTGCGGTCTGTGCTTTCTGCGGATATGGGGCTTTTCTTGGGTTTGGTGCGGTCAGGCGGTTCTTACTGACCCTTCTGCGTTTCGGGGGACGTGGTAGGTGGGGCCGGAGCAGGGAGCAGAAGGTCCCACTAACGAAGCAGGAGGAGCTGGCCCTCGTCCTGGGCTGCACACTCAGCTCAAGATGATAAACAAATAAGACAGTTAAAAGTGCAGTCTGCCGCCCGCCACGTCTTAGCAAGACAGACTTAGCCCATTCAGAATCTGAATTATTGCATTAAAATAAAAGCTAGATAGGTTTTTTTCCTAATGCCCACCCTCCGTGATGACAGTGAGGCAGGTGAAGAAACTCCTGTGCGCGGCTGCTGTGCAGCTCGCGGCCGCGTGGTCAGCTTTTGAAAAAAACCTTCATCTGCAGCTGGTCAACGGGAGTCCCTGGACGCGGGGCAGAAATGGCAAGTACATGGCACGGAACAAGGCGTTCTGAAAGGCGGGCATGCTGCCCGCTGCCGGAGCAGGCTCCTCTGTGTAAAGCGTCACTTTACACCTGTCTTGACTTCAAGTATGAAAATCAGTGGTTGCTGCGACGACCAGTCCCACCCTGTCCCTCTGCGGGCCTGTCGCCGGCCGAGCATCACTGTAAATGTGCATCGCGCCTACAGGCCCTCGGGGTGAGCAGAGTCCCATCTGGTGTGTGTATGAATCAGCCCCTGAAATGCTAGCTCAAAATGCTAGCTCATAGGAGACACTCGGGTGCTTCAGCGGTTGCATTTTTAGTCCTTGATCTTTCCTTCCCTTAACTGGAACTGGCCACTCGTTAAGTGAACCTTTCTTCCCAGGAGGGACTGCCGGCCACACTTACAAGAACGATAAGCAGCAGCTGTAGGTCAAGCGAGACGTGGTTTCTCATTTCACAGGAGAGAGAACGCCACCCACCGACTTAACTGCAGTGCCCAAGACGAGCACCCGCGAGCCAGGCGAGGGCCGTCCCTGAGCCCTGCCCCAGCCCTCTGCGCCCCGCGCTCACTGGCGCATGAGCCACCCGGGCGTGCTCCGCTTGGGCGCTCTGTTTTCTCTGTTCTGACAGAAGGATGAAAAGCGTCTGTTGAAAATGGAGTGAAAGTGGCATGCCCTGGTGGCGTCTCGTTACTGCTGTCCCATCCTCCAGGCTGCGCTGGTCCCGGTGAAGGAGGGAGGCGCCGGCTCCGGAGTGCCCCAAGCGGAGGAGGCCTGGCCTGGAGCGGGGCACAGGGCGGCCAAGAGCGGCTGCCTACTCTCGTGCTGCTCACTGATGATGGGGCTGTTTCACGCGAGCAGCTGTGAACCTACTTCGCCCCACCCTGTGTTTGAAGGATCATTTTTAAATTTTAACATCAGTGTTTTAGATGTAAGATAGAGACCCGTTCTGCCTCATTAGGCCCAACTCTGAGAGAGCCTCTGTGAACAGGAGGAGACACTGAAGGCAGTCTGGCAGTAAGCACCGGTCAGGGAGGTCCGCTTCAGTGGTGCACGCGTAAGATTGCTTTCAGCCACTGAAAATAATTTGCTTTGCACCCAGGTTACCCAGTGTGCCTGTTGGTAGCGTTCCTCCTCGGGCCTTTGAGCATCCAGCACGCACGCTCTGACAGACGTGTCAGTTTGGCATTGTAGATAAATTATATTCCTGTCAGGCATCAACTTAAGATGGAAGTACTGCGGTTTTTAACTTTCGAGTAAGTGATTACTCTTCCATTTATTTTTAAGATTTGACACATGCTTACAAATCATTTGCCTTTTATATGAAAATACTCTGTAGGCATTGCTGCTGCTTTAATAGGAATTTAAAACTCTAAAATCAGTTAACTTTAATTACCTTCATCTTAAATATTTCCTTAGTTTGAATTTAGTTAAATAATGTGTAGTGTTGCCTTTAAAGAGATGGAAGTATAAGGGCGACAAAGTTTAGGTGAATTTTTTAATTACTTAAGTAAATCAGCTTTTTTAGAACAGATTGGGCTGTAGTGACCCCTAAATTTTTTTATCATTCTAAAACACCCATAATTTTTATCAACTAAGTCAATTTTCATGATTTCATTTTGTCGCTTCAATTTGTAAAACTACTTCTCCCAATATACATTATTATTTTCTATGTGGTTACAGGCAATACTGTAGTTGGCAGTTGCTGACAGTAACTGATTAGGGCTAACTTTCCTGTTATTAGCAATAATTTCCATAACATATTGCTCAGCATAGAGTCGGTAATTTAAAATGACTCAAGGCCCTGGCCCAGTGGCTCAGTGGGTTAGAACCTCATCCCAATGCACCAAGGTGGTGGGTTCGATCCCTAGTCAGGGAATATACAAGGAACAACCAATGAGTGCATCAGTAAGTGGAACAAATCAATCTCTCCCTCCTTCTCTTTCCCTTTCTCTCTCTCTAAAATCAATAAGTGAAAAAATTAAAATGATGCATGGGTTGCATGTCCTGTGGCCACTATCAATATTATTGCATTTCATTAGAATAAAGCACATCAAATGGACTGATTCCATGCCAATTTTAGTCAGAAAATTAAGATTCCCTAATGGAGATGGTGATATCCATGTTACAACCAAAGGATTTAAAATTTGTGGTTAACTATTTACATTTTATGCCTTCTCTTCTTCTATTCAGTTAGCATGTAAAACATCCACATTTCTCTGTCTCTGAGAAACTGTATCAGTCTGAAAACTGCAGCTGCTGTGAACTGTCATCGACTCTCAGCCGTGTCAAGTGAGCTTGCAGGCAGGAGCCAAATGATCAGAATTTGCGTTGCTTTGGGAAGATGAGGTTTACGTTTGTAATGTAAAATGTTTTCTTGCTAGAGTGTAGCGGGAGGCCTTATCGTGACCTGGTCCCAGGACACCTTCTGTGCCATAGATGGCAATGCCTGACCTGGGGCCATGTGGTGCCCTGCCCAGGTCCCCGTCCCAGATCAGCATGTCCTGGGCAGCAGGACTGGGCAGGAGGAGAAGGAAGAATCCCTGGGAAGCCCTTGCAGTCGCGGTGCCAGCTGGGGCGCCCCAGCCCCGGACCCACAGCTCCCCAGCTCTGTCCCCATCTGTAAGGCCAGGGCCTCAGCGCTAGCTCGGCCCACTGGCGGCGCCTGGGGACCGTCTGTGTTCTCCACCGCGACTTTGTCCGTCCCTGCCCAGTCTGCCATCTTCCCATGTCTTTGCCTGCATTGTTGTCTTTGATGGTTGATCAAAAGACAAGCAGGAATAACTTCTCAAGGTGTATTTAAACTTGTAAATTTTTCTTATAAGGAAATAATGTAACAAAATTTCTTCTAGGTGGTTATCTATAATGCCAGAAGTAAAAGGGCTACTTCTGAACTGTTTTAAACTGTTCTTTTAAATCCTATTATGATGCAAATACTTTGAATGTAATGGTCTTTAATGTTTCATGCACTTGCAGTTTTAAGCAGATGGGGGTCAGGAGTGAGAAAATTGAAACTTTAAGAAGCTAAACAAAGCTGATTAGGTTTAATGTGTCCTGTTCACTTTCTGCGAAAAGGCCTCCTAACGATAGGTTTGGATTTGGAATTACTGTTTTTACCTTCTCTGTTTCACTTTTCTTCTGTTCTCTCTCCCGCGGTGCCCTTTTCAGTTTCATCAGGCTGGGGAGAGATGCCCAACGTTCATTCAAAGGCTGAAAACTCTTGGGGAGAACCAGCCTCCCCCTCTCCCCTGGTTGATAACGGCACAGCAGCCTGGGGCAAGCCGCCCAGCAGCGGCAGCGGATGGGGAGAGCAGCCCACGGAGCCGGCCGTGCCATTCGGGAGAGCCGGCGCGCCCGCCAGCGCCCCGGCCCTGTGCAAACCAGGTAGGACAGGCGCCCACCCTGCCCGCCCTGCTCTGGCAGTTAGGGATGGGTCGGGGGGTGTCTTTAGGGGGATGCCTTCTGCTGAATTTAAGAATGACATTTTAGGACACTTTCCTTATTTTATTTACACTTTAAAACTAACAGTAAACTAAGGCTGTAAAGAAATACTTGCTATGTCTGATACATGAGCACCAGGGAGCGTTAACAGAAGGCCAGCTTTCCTTTTTAAAAAGTGAAAAAAATGAAAGGATCAGAACAATGTAGCACAGCTGCCTGACACACAACCCGCGCCCGCGCGCTTCAGCCCAGCTCTCCTGGCTGCCGCCGGGAACAGCTGACCCCGGGAACAGCTGACCCAGAGCGCAGCGGCTAGGCAGGCGGTGTCCCTGTGGGGGTTAGGCTTCGGAACATACGGTGCTCTGCCCAGCAGCCCAGCAGCCCAGCGCGTCTTGCCTTGCTTTTGTCTTGGAAACAAAGTTCTGCTCTGGGTACTCCAGGTTCATGCTTTCTCTTCTTTTCTTTTCCCTTCCCTCCCTCCCTCCCTCCCTCTTTCTTTCTTTCTATCTTTCTTTCTTTTTCTTTTTTTGAAAAATATGCTGCATTTTCCTCCCATTATCTGAAAGTGTAGTAAGTGGACATAATAAAAATACGTTCTTACCAATGTTCGGAACACATTTACCAAGGGGAGCCCTCTAAGCTGTGGGTGTTTGACAATGCGACCCTTTTGATATTAGCATAAGATTGCTGATGTAAGTCTGGAGTGAAAATTAACTTCACACAGCTGCAGAAGCTGCACGTTTTCTTTGGACATTTGTACGTGTCTTAGATCTTAAAATGCAACTTGATTAGTTAGCGTTTTGATCCTTGGCTAACACTGGGTAGCACGCACCACATCCACCATCCTGCTGGACTATTTAGTCCATTCCTGCTCTTTCTTGTTACTGCCGGGAAGGAGATGGCAGCTCCCGGGGTTCAGGTTCACGTGCTGTGTGGCGGCAGCGTGCTTGTCTTTCATATCTGTGCTTGGCGCCCGATGGCACGCCGGTCTGCCTCGCGGCCATCCCCTCTCCGTGGCTGACACTCTCCGGCTGCCTGTGCTACCACCTGTTTTTGGCCTACTTCAAGTTCTCCCAGGAAGTGAAAATTTTAGGCAAATTTTCCACCAAAGATTAGTTTGTATTTTAAGAAGGGAGAAAAAATAATACCCTGAAATAAAAACTCAGCACTCTGCCTATAGCTCCACCGGCTTGAGGCCTCAGCTGTCTCCTTCCTGTTATTCTGGGGGCAGCTCCTCGGAGCTGGTCAGAGCAGAGACCTTGGGATCTGGCCACAGACCTGCTGCGTCCCTCCTGGTCCCCAGGCGCTCTCGAGGTCACGCTGAGGGGCACTGGTCCACCCCGCAGGCTGCTGCAGGTTTGGGTCCCGCGGTGACGTGTTCAGGACTCTGCATGCCTCTGACCATCCGGCCACACAGAGACAGCCCCTTGTCCTGTGGCCCAGGGTTTAGCGTGAGAACGTTCATGCTCCCAGTGACCTGTGGTCAGTCGGGGGGGGCTGGCACAGCACAGACCAAAAGGAGCTGGTGTGTGAGTCAGAAAGCATGTCCACCGGCCCTTAGGTCTCGGGGAAGGTAGACTGCAGTACGCCCCGCCCAAACAACGCCGCCGCGAGCCTGGTCTGCCCCAGGAGTGCTGAATTTGACAAGTTCATGTTCGCTCTCTTTCTAGCTTCAAAATCTATGCAAGAAGGCTGGGGCAGCGGTGGGGACGACGGGAACCTCGGTCCCGGTCAGTGGGAAGACGAAGAAGGGGGCATGTGGAACAGCGCCGCTTCCCAGGACAGCACCTCCTCCTGCAGCTCCTGGGGGAACGCCCCCAAAAAAGGACTCCAAAAGGTGTGCGCACGCCAGGGGCGGCCGGAGACTCCCTCAGACACACACGCAGCTGAACACGGCGCCTCCTGCTCGCGATGGGAGGTCCCCCTGGGGTCGCCAAGAGCCTGTCGGGGGTCTCTCCTGAGCACAGGGTGGCGCTTTCCAGAGACCACAGGGGTTCACTGCCACAGCAGAGCAGGTGCGGAGGCAGACTCGGCACTCGGCTGCTCCTGGAAGCCGGCCGGCCAGTAGACGGGGCCGCACGCACGCTGGTGCCTTGCTCCTCCCGCCTTCTCTCTCTAAAAAGTTGGTTTCAGGACCTACCATTATTTCCCACTTAAAAGCCTTATTTATATTAATGTGATGGGCTTTTTTATTTTTTAAGCAAATTTTCTAAATTCCCCAGTTTTCCCTTCTAACGCAGTAAATGTCGGCAGGTGCGACCCACCGTCCCTCAGGCCTCCCTGCCCCGGGGCAGTGGCGGAGGGGGCCGGGCCGCCCGCTGGGGAACTCAGGTAACGCACGCGCCCCGAGAGCTTCTAGGGAGACCGCAAATTTAAACGTGAAAAGAATGTAAAAATGTGAAATAATTTTTAGAACAGTATCGGAATGGGAGAGGCCTTTCAAACTATGATGAAAACCTAAAAGCTGTAAGTGAAAGACTTGTGAACTGCAGCAGGTAAAGATTAAAAACTGCATGACAGAAATACCATGTTCAGAGTCAAAAGACAAATGACCAACTGCAAAAACGTATTTGTAACTCATGTCAAGGAGAAGGCTGATCTGCCTGGCATGGGAGGAAGGCCCCAGAATCTGGTCTTTCTAAAGCTGACCAGTAGCCAACTCAATAGAAAATGAGCGAAGAGCACGCATGAACGGTCTGCAGCAGAGGGACAGGGTAGCCCTTACACGCAGGGCCGGCGTCAGCCCGGCTTGTGGCGTTCAATTTGAAATGGCTGGAGGATGTGCCATTTTTAACCCCAGACCAGCAGAAATGCAGGCGTTTAATAAACACGCTCTGTCTGCAAAGCCGGGAGAAAGCCATGCCCCGCCCTGCGGCAGGGCGGGGGCGCCTCGCTCTGCGGTGGCAGCAGCGACGTCGGCGTCTGTCAGAGCAGCAGGCCCAGCAGGTGGCACTTGTACAGTTTTCTACTATAGCTTTTTTGAGTTAAAAAAAAAAAATGTACATTGATGGGGTAATTAGTTCAGTTATGCTACAACCATATTGCAGAAAGCTAAACACATATTTTAAAAGGAAGCCATACATATTGGTATGAGAAGACCACCAAAATATGTTAAATAAGAAAGGTAAGATACATAAAAAATGAGTATAATGCACTTGCGTACAGAGCCATGGCATCATGTCACTTTGGAGGGGCAGGGAAGGAAAGACAGAAGTGTGTGCGCGCGCACATGCCCCTGTGGCTTCCCCAGAGCTGCAGAGTCTGCGGGGGGAGCGAGGGTGCACAGAGCGGTCTGCCGTGGAGAGAGCGTGAGCGGGGCGTGCGACGCTTGCGTGTGTGCCTTTCCGCCACGTTCCCATCACACCAATGTGGCTGTTCAAAGAATTTTTCATTGAGGAATGCATTTGGTTATCAGTAAGCAGAACCCAGAGACCAAAATCAAGGTCCTCGGGTCATAAGGGGTGGGTGGTGGCGGACGCCAGAGGGGAGTCTTCTCACAAGCCGCTGGCACGCAGTGCAGTTAGTGCGGGGCCTGCAGGAGCACGGTGGAAGGTAAACGCTGCAGAGTCCTGGGAACCGGCTCGGGCAGCTTCGTGGCGACAGAACAGGCTCCAGACGCGCTGCTTCCTTGGGGAGAGACCCACTAGGTTAGGTGAACGCCCCTCACCCCCCAGTCTGCGGTCAGGGTGCCCCATTCTGGAGAGCCCTGTGAGGAGTGTTGGGGGTGGGGATTGCTCATCTTGTGTTAGGGCCGCATCGGAGTCTTTGTGGCTTTCGAGCGAGAGGGTATCGCTTGGGAAGGGCCTACAGCTTGCTGGCAGGGCCTTCCTCTGCCCGCACCGCTGTCCTCACACGGCGGCCTCTCCTCGGGCCCCTCCCCGCCTGCCGTTCTCCCGTCCCCGCTCCCCTCTGCGTCAGGGCCGTAAGCAAAGCAGACGTGATGAATTAACGGGCTTTGTCCCTTCCTTATCACCTTTCATTCTGTTGGAGGGGACCTTCTGCACTGTGTCATCTTTTAGAATAAAGCTTACAAAAGGGCAAAAACCATAATTTTTAGTAAACTGCACATTGTATTAATATTGGCAGAGGGCTGTGTTCAAGAGAACACTTACCACAGTTATTTGATAATGGAAGTGACATGCTTGTGACGAACTGAATTCATTCTCGGGAAGAGCGTTACCTCGCCTTAAACCCACGAGCCCCACGTGGGCCCGCCTATAGGGGCGCCCGCAGAGCCGCCGCGAACATGCGCTATGTTCCTGGAATACAGCTCCCGCTCTTCTTCATTAGCACAAAGAGGTTCTGTGGCTTTAGAGCCCCGTGGGTTTCAGGTGTCTCCCGCGTCCGGAAGGGATGCGTGCAGGCCTGACTCGCGGCCCCCGCCCATGCTTCCTTCCAGGGCATGAAGACGCCGGGCAAGCAGGACGAGGCCTGGGTCATGAGCCGGCTCATCAGACAACTCGCGGACATGGGCTTCCCGGTGACTGGCGCTCTCTTGTTCTGCCGCTCCCCCACCGCGTGCGCGCGTCCCCTCCTGCATGGCCCCTTCGTGCCCTCTGGGCGCGCCTGTCGTGGGTGACAGGGGATGCCCCCTCACCTGGGCCCTTGTGTTTGGGGCTGTTGCTTTGAACCACAATGAAGAGCCCCATCCTCTGTATCAAGAAAGGCATGCGGGCCTTCTCCTGGAGTTAAATCTTCATTGTTTATACAGTCTTATATTTTCATTTATAATTAAAAGTGAGTTTTTATTAGTTTGTACAATAGATTGACAAAGATCACAACAGAAAACTTGGTGCAGAAGTTTCATGTCCAGGAAAAGAATCCTAATGGAACCTATTTAGTCCTGAGTTTCAGGAGATGTGCAGGGAGAGCCCAGAATCACAGGCCTCCCCTCTGAAAATGGGTCACAGCCTGTTCAGGCCCTAAAATCTAGTGGCAGGAGTTCAGAGAGTGAGGGGTACTGCCTGCATCTGCTGAGTAGTCCCTTCGAATGGCTTCTTTCCACACCTTTATAAATGGGTGTTTATCTTTTGATCTGGGGAAAGTCCAGAGTGGCCCAGTCCAGAGGAGGGAGCTGCATGCTTCCCTGCAGCGCCAGGCTGCGGGCGGGGGGTGGGAGGGGGGGCGCCCCACCCTGTGTGAGTGGTGGCAGGGAGGCCAGGCAGAGGGGTGGCTGTCACAGTGAGCCCACTGCCTCCTGTTCACGTTGCCCGGTGGGAAGTCGTTAGAGCAGAGCCTCAAGTCTGTAGAGGGGAGCTGGCCCTCCGCCCACTGACCCACGCACTGTCTGCGTGAGCCCTTGGCAGCGCCTCTGCAGTCCTGGTGGGGGCTTTGGCCTCGCCGAACAGTCGCTGTTCGGTGCTGTCCGGGGGCAGCGGCAGGGCTCCTCGGCGTGGCTAGGTGCGGCGCACGGCCAGCCCCGGTTCCGAGCTCCAGGTCAATTCAGTGCATTTTCTCATTCCAGGTATTTTTTATGGGCAAAACATTTAATTTGAACCTCAACAATGAAGAAAAATATTTCCAGTTCCAAAACCTAATAATGTTAGGTTCATGATGATTCCTTCCCTAAGCTGGTAGTGATAAAACTCTGTTAGATTTTCCTTTTGCTAATACGCAAGTCCGATGCAAACTCTGTTTCCCCCCACAGAGAGAGCCAGCTGAAGAGGCCTTGAAGAGTAATAATATGAATCTTGATCAGGCCATGAGTAAGTAACATGCACGCCTAAAGTCTGCTCTTGTAGAGGTGCCAGAAGCGGGCACATCGCTGTGGCCGTGGATTAATGGTGGGGTCCGTACTGGATGGGCAGGACCGGACCCCCGCGAAGGAGGAGCTTTGTGATGCGCCCTAAGCACAGAGCAAGTCTTGGCACGGCAAGCTCTGGGGACAGGTTTCCAAACGCCACATTGAGCCATGTTTGCTTTCGTCCCCATTTTCCAGAGCTTCAACAGATAGATGAGGTTTCTTTCTCTTCTTTGAGGGGGCAGTAAGGACACACGAGGACAAAGGCACCAGACCCCAGGGTGGCCTGCCCGCTGCGCTGGCCGCGTGCTGGCTCTCGCTGAGGCCGTCAGGACCAAGCCCCTCGAGCTCTGGAACTGCCCTAAGACCACGTGGTCATGCCAGACGCTCGGTGTGAGCCACAGCGCTCTGTCGGCCCATCCGTGCCTGGCCTTGTTTCATGTCTTCTAGTTTGAGACCGTTTACTATGTCTTTCTCACAAATAATTATGTGCCATATTTCTGTTCAGTAAAACGTCGGCAACAAGGGTCTAACGTTTTCCTGGGTGATGTGGCCAGAGATTTCTTTGGCGTTTAAGACTCGCACCAGTGCTCTGGCTACACCCTTTTTTAATCAGTCACCTGGTGAAGCCACACCTTCTCCACAGCCTCGCGGAGCGCTGCAAGTGCTCCTCTGCCCCCCGGGCAGCCTCGCGCGCTGGCGGTGACTTGTCCCCTTCCTCGGGAGGCGCTGTGGTGTCAGCTTGTTAGCGCAGAGCTGGCGGCCAGGGGCGCCCCAACTGGGCCCGATGGGCCGTCTGACCTGTGTGCTCCCTCCGTGGGGTGCGTCGCAGCCTCACACGCATGGGGACAGCGACACCAACAAAACGCACCGAGAGGTGCACACGTGGCTCTGAGGAGACCACAGAGGACACCGTGGGCCATGGGAGAGCTGCGGCGGGAAGCAGGGTGGCGTCTTGCAGGGCCTGCGCTGGGAATGTGCATGTTGGGCAGGCAGAGCAGCCATCTCCTCGCACATGTGTGCAGACGGCCCTGAAGGTGCCGCGGGCATTGATTTGGGGCCCCCAGAAAATGGTACTATGGGTGAATTTCCAAGGACAGAATCTGCCAGCCACAAGGACCAACTTCTTAACTGCGTGCAGGGCCATGTGCAGGGCAGAGGCTGCCAGAGAAGAGGCGAGGCGAGCTGGAGAAGCCAGTTCCAGCTTCTTACCGCTGTGAAACGCAAACGGTGCGGGGGCGGCGTGAGCCAAGAGGCGGGCTCACCAGACCGAGAGCCGCGGGGATGAGCACCGTCCATTCTGCGCTGCATGGAGTCCCCAGCAGCTCGAAGAGTCCTTGAGACAGGAGGGACCCAGGAAATGGAAATCATGCCGTGGGGGGACGGGGCAGCCGTGTTAGACGGATGGCTCAGGAAGTCCCCTCCAGGAAGCTGACCGCTGACGGGGGCACCGTTGCGGGGAGAGCACAGCTGAGCCCTGAGGGCCAGTGTGGCCAGGCAGAGCGGGGCCAGGCAGAGCGGGGCCGAGAGAGGGCCCCGCGCTCTGCATCCTGACCGGTCCTCAGGCGTTTTGTCTCAAGCGTTTTGGTTGCTGCAGGTGCTCTGCTGGAAAAGAAGGTGGACATGGACAAGCGTGGACTGGGAGTGACCGACTACAATGGAATGGTCACCAAACCCCTTGGCTGCCGCCCACCAATCTCCAAAGAGTCTTCCGTGGACCGCCCCACCTTTCTTGACAAGGTATGAGTTTAGGTGGTTTTTGTCTGTCTATTTAACAAGAGGTGGTTTTCATTTTATCTGTGTTCTTAAAGGAAACCAGATGAAAACCTTGCAGTGATATTTTACTGACTTTTACCCAGTTTTCCTACTACATAGAAATGTTCAGCTCAAAAGAGGTAGTGTTACATTTTATATGATGTGATGAGGAATAAAAAATACTAAAATTGAGAACTGATTTTCACTTTATTGGGTAAGCTATCTGCTTTAGTTTGTCCAACAGACAAGGGGCTTCAAATGTCTGTTACCGTCCTATTTTATATGCATAGTTCTTCCCACTGGAAGTGAGCGTTAATCTGAGAAAGAGGGACCAGAGGGGCTCGGCGCAGGCGCCGTGCCGCGCTGGCCCTCGCCTGGACCGGCCCTGGCAGAGAGCTCGCCGGTGTCGGTGCGGGACCCCCCAGGGTGCTGAGCAGGCCCGGCCCCTGGTGCAGGCCTTTCAGTGTCGTCCCGGAGCCAGGTCCCCTCTCCAGAAGGTGGGAACTCAAAGCATTCACCTTGATCAAAATGTGGAACCTGGGAAATAAAAGCCAGAAAGGACCAGTCAGGAAGAAAAGGAAAAGCTCACAGGAGGAGAGATGGGGCTTCCACTCTGTTCTCAAAGAAACGGGGTCATGGGCCCGCGCTCCCCGAGGCGAGCCGGGGAGGGGCCGTGCGCTGGCTCGCCCGCTCCGGTGTGGCCAGGGGTCAGATCCGCAGATAAACAAGTAATTTTAGGAGTATACACATCCCAAGATACTCTTCGTTGTTTGTCTGAAACCCCAGTTTCCTAGGCATCCTGGGTTTTCCTTTGCTGAGTGTGGGAGCCTGACGGGCTCCTTTCCCTTCACACTGGGGAGCGATACCGCAGGCTTTTTGGGAGGTTAGATCGGATGAAGTCGCAAGGGGCCTGAGAGGCAGCGCGACCTCAGTCATTGCAGAGAAAACCTGCAGCCTTCTGTCTGCGCGATAACGTGCCCGTGCTTAGATTAAACCGCACGAGGTTGCTGTGTTTGTCCGTCAACAGGCGGCCGGCCGGGAGCAGAACGCCGCCCGGCGCGCAGCCAGAGCCTCGGCGACGACCCTTACAGGGGCCGCTTCTCTGGGGAGGGCTGTGGAGGGTCTCCCAAGTCAGGGTTTCTGTCTCCCGACTCTCTTACCCCAGGTAGGGTCGGTAGTGGGTGAGAACATTATAAGCTAATACCTGTGTTTGTGAAATAATTAACATGGAAACAGCTCCTTAATCCTGTTTCTCTTTTTTCTTTTTCCCTCTTCCTTTGCCCACTTTTTCCGTTCTGCCGCATTTTTACTCTTTTAATTCTTTCTCCACCCACATCCCGCGTGTGTCCTTGGGGAGCTGCTTTGGGCCCCGTCTGCGGGCGGACACAGCACACAGCTCACCCTTTCTCTCTCCATCCAGGACGGCGGCCTCGTGGAAGAGCCCACGACTTCACCATTTTTGCCTTCGCCAAGCCTGAAGCCCCCCCTTTCAAACAGTGCACTCCCCAATCAGGCCCTGGGTGGGATTGCCTCAGGGCTGGGCATGCAAAACTTGAATTCTTCTCGACAGGTAAGGCCGCGGGGGTTTCACCTGCCTTTGAGAACGCCGGGCACGGCCTGCGTTTGAATTAATGCCTCGTGCTGAAGTGCGGCCCGACGCCTGAAGGGGTTCAAGGGCTATGAGTGCGGCCCTTCACGGGGTCTGCTGGTATCAAGGCTTGAATTCTGTTCTTGAGGTTTAACCATATTGGAGGAAACACTTCAAAATTATCTTCCTTTTCCCACATAATTAAAATGTATTTGAGTTCAGCACCCTTGGTGCTAACTTACTGCTCATTTAAGTGGTACATAAATCAAACCCTTAAATGTCTTCCTCGGCCAGAAAACACCACATTAACCCCTTTTTCTCAGGAGTAGAGGGGACATCCCCTGTAAGGTCCCAGTGACTTCCAGCGTCCCGTGAGTGCTTGTCCCTGCCTTTGACCCTCGGGGGGAGTAAGAGTCGCCGTCAGACCGCGCTGGGGGGCAGGCCTGAGGGTTTTGATTGACGGCTGCGCAGTGTCCCTTTTCCGCCCCAGATTTTCTAGAATGAGAGGCTGGGTCAGCAAACGCTGCTCGCCCGCCTGGAGAACGCCCCTTCTTGCCGATTTTCTCCTGGATGAGGCTGACAGGCACACGTCTTTGAGGCTTCTCTCTAAGTGGCTGCCGTGACATTTAGGATGGCCGAACAGCCCCGTGCATGCCTGTTGTCCTGCCTGTCAGCAGCGCGTCCCCCGCTGTCCGCAGCGTGCCAGTCGGCCCGACCCTCGGGGCCCGGCTTGGCCGACCTGGGTGGTTCCGTGGGACGCCCGCCTGTCGCACACGTTGCTGCCTGCCCGCGCCCGGCAGTCACAGCGCCCGCAGAGCAGGGGCCCATGCTGAGCCCAGTGAGCCGCTGTCCGTTTATGCAATTTCTGGGCTTGTTGTCAAACTAATAGTTATATTTCCTATGTGGGAATTTGGCTCTTCTCTCACTCCTTTTAACTTGTCCCTTTGGGGCCGTGTGTTACCCAGTAGCTGTGTGTGTGGCGTTGCCCGTGGCACTGTTATCAGAGCTTCTTCCATGTGGTAGCCTCGCCTCAGGCCGCTTTCAGACAGCGGTCTGTGCTGTAAGACAGGCCGGTCCCTGGGGCTAGTTCCCCATCGTCCACAGCCCGCGTAAAGGGCAGTTGGCAAAACTTTGGTGGGCGTTGACGCTAGGGAGTGGAGGCTGTGTCGCTTTCCTGTTTGGGAAAAGAGATCGTGTCCCACCGTGTGCCTGTAGCGACGACTCTGTGACGACTCTGTCCCCTCCCTCCCCTGCAGATACCGAGTGGCAGCCTGGGCGTGTTTGGCAGTAGCGGAGCAGCACAAGCCAGGAGCATGCCGCCGCCGCAGCCGCCCATGCCGCCGCTGAACCCCTCCCAGCCCGGTCTCCGTGCGCAAGTGCCTCAGTTTCTATCCCCTCAGGTCAGACCCGCTGTGGCAAAGGGGCAGAGCACCCGGTGGGGGGCAGGGCGGCAGCCAGTGCCCGGCCCCGGCCTGCTCCAAGGCTGAGAGGCGCCCTTGACCGTCGGGGTCGGCTGGCAGAGCCACGCAGGCGCATGTGCCACGAGGGGGCCGGGGGCATCGTGCCCCCGAGAGGAGTGTCCGCACCCCCCCCCCAATGAGAAGGGGCTACTGCGCGCCCTGGGAGGAGACCCCCCCGTGGGGGCTTGGCCCACTGACGGGGGGCGGGCCTCGGCCTGCAGCCCTTCGATGGGGCCGTTGATTGTCACTGTGAGGGGGTGACCCAGAGTCCCTCCTAGAAAAGAAATCAGGAAGTTAACGCTTAACCAGAACATTTGGAGGAAGAAATCTCTTTCCCTCCTCCTTTCCCTCCCTTCTCTCCTGCCCTCTTTCCTTCCTGTTCTTCACAGAAGCGTGTTATTAACTAATGTTAAAGGGGCCACAAATGTTTTACTGGTCACTCATGAGACAAATGCAGGTGTCGTTTAATTAGTCAGTTTTGCATGTGGAAACAACACAGAGAAGCAGACGTCCTAACAGTGACTGCGCCTCCTGGCGTGTTTTATGTTGAACAGGTTCAAGCACAGCTTTTGCAGTTTGCAGCAAAAAACATTGGTCTCAACCCTGCACTATTAACCTCGCCAATTAACCCTCAGCATATGACGATGTTGAACCAGCTCTATCAGCTGCAGCTGGTGAGTGGACAGACCCGTCCAAGTGCGCGTCAAAGAGCAAAGGCGTAGCGCTCCCTGACACTCGCGAAGTGCGTGTGTGCGTGCGTGCGTGCGTGCGGGGGTGCCCGCACGGACGGGTGCGAGTGCTCCACGGGGCGCTTTCTTTGTCATGGAGACATTTACATTATGAGCTGTAAAAAGTAGAAAGTTCTTCACTGGAGGTGTTTTACTGCATGAGAGAGTTCTCTGGCTCACAAGCTCTCCCAGGTCCTGGTCAGGCCTGTCTCAGTGTGAGCTCTCGACCAGCCTTTCTCACCCAGAGCTTTTTTGTGCCCCTGACTGCTGAGCACAAAAAACCATCCCGGTGGCTATTTCCTCAGTTATTTTAAGGATGGAATGTACAACTACCATTCTAGAAGCATGAGAGAAGTTACTTCCTCACAGAGTAGGTGCCTCAGAAATTAGGGCCTAATTCTTGCTCAGAGTCCCTGCTGAGAAAAGCTGATATAATATAGCCTAATATTCTTGAAAGTTTTATAATTTAACGTATCTTGAATTCTGAATTTTTAGCGGTGTTAGTGCTTTTACTATAAAATGCCATGCCATTGTGTCTAGGGACACAGTGAATTTATATACACTAAAGGACCATGTGTATTTTTCTTTAATACGTCGACACCTGATTTACTTAGAAGGCTTGTCCTGTAACTTCATTTCCTAGAAAATGGCCAGGAACCATAAAGATAAAAAGGCCTCCAGGAGACAAAACCATTGGCATGGAGTCACCCCTCCCCGGACCGTCCTGGGCGGCCTCAGGACGGCCTCTGCCCTGCCTGTTAGGCGCGCGCCCGGCCCGTGAGCGCCCGCCTCCCCGGGAGCAGCCCTGCAGGAAGGGGGAGGGCGTGCCCTGGCGGCCGTCCTGGTGTTCTGGGGCGCAGGGCTCTGGGCTCTCGGGGACACGGCCCGGACCGCGTGGCGGCAGGGCTCCCTGAGGCCCACGGGCCGTGGGCAGGCGGTGTCCTTCGTAGCCGCCAGCGGTCGGGAGAGACCTTGACCTCCGGTGGGGAGGCCACCGCCACAGAGCACGGTGTGTGCAGCGCCCACGCGACGCGGCTGGCGGCCCTACCGGTGCCCTAGAGTCTTTTATTCCTATGTTCTGTTGGCCCCGCGGTGTGAGAGGCACCACAAAAATGTTGAGTTATGTTTAATGCGTTTTGATTTTAAAATAACGTATACTGTTCCTACACTTTTGTCCAGAAAAATTGGTAAAATAAAATTCCAGTTCATCCTAAGGTTATGTTTTAGGACCTGTAGGATTCACTTAACGTGAAATATTTTTATTCTTTCATAAATTACAGATTAAGGGAGCGTTTCCAATAGTATAGTCTCTACGTTTGTTTGGATTCTATTTTAACATACCCTCGTGCCAAACACTTCCCACAAAATCCATGTTGTATGAAAAACTTCACAATGCTGAGGCCACATTTTGAAACAGATGACCAAACCTACTGCATGTGTGCACAGAAGAGTGTCGCAGTCATCACAGCCAGCTCGTGGGCGGGGTCTGTGTGACAAACGTGGCACAGGTCTGGACTCCAGGCTCCGCGGGGACTGAGCACGTCACGCGGCCCCGGACTCTCCTGACGAGCCCTCCCCGGCCGTGTGGGAGTCTGAGCGTGGGCGCGCTGTCTGTCCCGTCTCAGAGCCGCTGCGGGCGGCTTTAGTGTGTAGCGCTAGAAGAATAAATATTTTTTCATTTTACCCTCACTTCACTTTCATTTTAATTTGTACGACTTGACCAGGAGAATTCTGATCTCTTAACTGAAAAATATTCACTGACGTGCTTCATTACCAACACTCAGCAGGGGCACTGACTGGGGTAGAAATCTGTGCACTGGGAGGGCGTCGGAAAGGTGTTCCTCCTTCTAGAAAGGTTCCTTGGCGCACAGTGCGTTTACACTGCAGTGCGGTAAGGGAACCGAGACTTGGCCATTTTCTCTTCTTGTTTTTTAACTCACATACTGAAGTGGAACCGCCTGCTGGTGGCTCTCTTACAGTGTGTTGCTTGTGTCTCCCCCTTCCCCCCCGTCGGCAGGCATACCAACGTTTACAAATCCAGCAGCAGATGCTACAGGCCCAGCGGAATGTGTCCGGACCCATGAGACAGCAAGAGCAGCAAGTGGGTGCCGTCCGGGGCGCAGCGGGTCCGTGGGCGCGAGTCCTCGCTGCTCCAGGAGATGCTAGTTGATGGGCTAGTCCACTGTCATGGGTTTTCTCTTGCTAAGCCTCCCCTTCTGCACGTCTCGGGGTCGCTAGGTGGGGCGGAGATCGGTAGTGGGGACCGGCACGGGCGCCGGACATCCCTCCCCGCTCACGCGCGTGCGTCTGCCGCCAGGTCGCGCGCACAATCACTAACCTGCAGCAGCAGATCCAGCAGCAGCAGCGCCAGCTGGCCCAGGCCCTGCTCGTGAAGCCCCCGCCGCCCCCGCCGCCCCTGTCTGTGCACCCCTCTGCAGGCAAACCGGCCGTGGACAGCTTCCCCCCGCACCCTCCGGCCCCCGGCCTGCCGGACCTGCAGACCAAAGAGCAGCAGTCTTCGCCCAACACCTTCGCTCCTTACCCTCTCGGTGAGTCTCCGCGGCCCTAACCTCCGCCCCAGCTCGGGGGCCGCGTGCCCGCGTGTGCCGACCCGGGCCGCGCGGGGCGCGCCGTTCCCAGGGGGCCGAGCGGCCTGATGCTCCATGCTGAGGGGCCGCACCAGCCGCCTCTGCAGAGCGGGACAGCGTTGAAGACTCCCCGTGCGAGGTCTTTTGAAGCAGTGCTGGCCGCAGTCCCCAGGCTACCTCATGTCCCGTGTCGAATCTGGCCTGTTCCGCGCCTGGGTTCCTCCTGACTTCCTTTAGGTGGCGCTGTCCCCCAGCCGCAGCTGCAGGGAGGAGTGTGGCATGGTTTTGCTAGTAAAGGTGTTCAGATTTCTGTGAATCGGGCACTTCTGTAAAGCTGTAGAACATGGAATCACCCAGATCAACACATGGGCATTGACCCCTGACCCAGAAGGGGCAGCTCAGCACCTGACACCCTCAGGTCAGTAGAGGGCGCAGGCTGCCCTGCAGACCTGCCTGCCGGCGGGCGGGGGGCCCAAAGCTGCAGGGCTAGGGAGTCCGCGCCCGGGAAGTGCACATCCGAAGGGGCAGAGGCCAGCTGAGCAGGAGGGAACCTGCTATCAGCCGGTAATGTGCCTTTCAGTGCTTCTGCCAAGGGTCTTGGGAAAGAGCAGTGATTCTAACCATGCGAACGCGTCCTACAGGACACGCAGCCAACGTGGTGTGTCTCCAGTATGAAACATACTCGCATGCTGAGCTGTGACTGTTCTGTCCTGAGTCACTGTCCCTCTCGTCACAGCCCTTTATATTGAGGACGCAGAATGGCCTAGTAGTTAAGACCTGACTTGGGAATGAAACTGCCATGTTGTGTCCCAACACCACCACCGACAGGCTCGCCACTTGCTTGTGCAACTTGCCTGACTACGCTTTGCCTCAGTTTCCCCATCTGTAAAGGGGGAACACTTACCTCAGGGGATTCTTTTAAAGGTTGGGCGGATCAGTAGGTAACATTCTTGGGACAATGCCGAGCACATAGCATGTGCTGTGTGAAGTCTTCGCTGGTCATGGACACACTTCTTTTAAGAGCAGTTACTTTAGGAACAAATTCAGTTCCAGCCATTCCCCGGAAATGCTTTTATCGTCGGCCTCCGGTGTCCACCTGCCCTCTTACCCTCTGTCTGGAGAGTAGAGTGCACTAATCGTTACCATTTAAAGATTTTTTTTTTTCTTAGTACAAATGAAAAAATTAGTGCAGTGAATCTTCAAAATTGGATGGAAAATAATTTGGATAGAATTTCCGAATATTCGCATTCAAGTTCTACCACGAACAGGCAACAGAGCATGAGAAACTCCGCCCGGAAAGCAGTCGGGCGGCTTGGCGCTCGGCCGTCTTTCTCAGCCGCTGTGGCCCCCGCCTGCCTCTCTCCCCGCGCAACCCTCTGCGTGTGGCACTGACTCCGCGAGTCCGTCGTCCCCGCGGGACGAACGCTTGGGCACATAAACGTGGGGGAAGGCCCCGCAGAGCCAGCGTGGCCGTAGCGCAGGCCGTGGAGGAGGCAGCGCCCTCGTCGGCCTTGCGCAGCGAGCGAAGGCAGAGCAGGGCTGAAGCCTGGCCCTCGGCGAGTAAGACAGCCGCCAAGGAGGGGCCGTGCACAGAGGGGGCAGTGTGTCCGGCCGGCACGTCAGCAAGGGCCAGGCCGCCTGGCCTGACGTGTGGAGGGAGGGACGTGCCACAGGAACGTGGCGGAGGCTGGGAGGGGAGGGGCGGGGCCCAGCCGCGGGGCATGACCCTGCCCTGACCAGGTCCGCGCTGGTGGCTGCGAGGGGGCAGCGTCTCACGTGCGGAGGTCAGGTCAGGTCTGCACACTGAGTGCGCGAGCGTGTGTGTTGGCGCCAACGCTTAGAAATCGGGGCGCTGCCACCCTTAGTGGCTCCCGGCTCCTCCTGAATGGCGACGCTGGGGCTGCGTGCCGCACGGGATGGGCGCTGTCACCACCCGGCCCCCTGCCCCTGGGCTCGCACTGCCCACTTGGCCCACAGAGGCATTTAGGTTTGCAGCCCCGACTTGAAGTGGAGAACAAAAATACTGGCCCTGCTTTGGACAGAGACTGACGGGTGCTGCGGGCCAGGGCCCGTGGGACAAGCCCGCTGCTGGGGACGCTGGCGCCAAGCCTGCCTGGCTTCTAACCGGGGCGCCCTCAGGGACTCTGCTCCAGCCTTCCCAGCACCCGCGCCCTCCCCATCTCTCTCTGTTTACTGAGTACAGTGGCGGGACTTGCCGGAAACCCCGGGCGGGCCCAGGGCCAGCACGCCCCCGTAGGTCCATTCCAGAGGGTCGTGTGATGGTGTGAATCCGTAAACGCCGGCTGAGCAGGCCGGTCAAGGCAGTTCCCGAAGGTGGGGTTGAACGACCCCGGCCAGCTCCTCCAAGGGGCCCTTGGGAGCGGCCCTCCCAGCTCCAAGAGAGGCTTTGACCTGGTGGTCTCTGTAAGGAACCTAGGGACAGGAAAGATTTCCCTAATGGTTTGGCCTTGTTCTCGTTTTTTGGGAATGAGAAGCCTCAGGACCATGCTTAGCACTGAAAAAAGTAAAATGAAGACTCATTGGTCCTCCTTCCCTGAAGGCTACTTACTGCCATTTTCGCCTTAAAGAGACAAGGGTTCTTTCTTCTGCCAGCGTTGCGGTTAGAGTGTCTGGCCGGGAGCTGAGCCCTGCGCCGCCGCCCCAGGGGGGCTTTCGGGAGCGGCCCTGCCGATCGCGGGGCCTGTCCTGACGGTGCCTCTGTCCGTAGCTGGGCTGAACCCGACCGCGAGCGTCGGCGGCATGGACATGGCTGGCGGCCTGCCAGCGAAGGACCCCTCGCAGTCCCAGTCGCGCCTCCCTCAGTGGACACACCCCAACCCCATGGACAGCGTGCCCGGTGCTGCTCCTCCTCTCGACCAGAACCCCGGCAAGCACGGTACGGCCGAGCCCCGGCGCCCGCCGCGCAGCGCAGAGCGCGCTGGTTTCGCCACCCGGGCTGCGTCTGCCCCCTAAGCACGCAGCGCTGAAAGTGGGCTAAAACCCCCCGTTCCACTGCAGGGGACGTGAGATGCCGCTGGTCAGCGGGCCTCCCCCGAGACCTTGAGCGCCCGACCCTAGCTACGGACCCGGAGAGACCGAAAGTGCCCCGGGGCAGCACGCAACACAGGGCCTAGGCCGCATGGCTTTTATTTGTATCTGTGTTCTTCAACAAAAATGTCGAGTTTACGGAAAAGAAATTTTTTCAATAAAATGATAAAATGTAATAGAAAAGCAAACACTTAGAAAGGAGGAAGAAGCAAAACCGCTACCAACCAACCATAGGAGGTGATCTCACCATTAAGCGTTAAATTTACCTGTAAATGCCCTGGTAGCATAAGCAGCAAAGGCAGTGTAAGAGGGTGTATCCTCCCTTGACACAAAGCATTGCATTCTGAGGGGAGAATGAGTCTTTCTCGGGGTCACCCTCCCAACAGGGCCGCCGTGTGCGGGAGCGAGCTCCGCGGCCTTGGCGAGGCGGCTGGCTGGCCTCCGGGCTCACAGGCAGGCTGTCCCTCCCGGGGGCGGCACCTCAAGGGAGGCCGACACACAGCCACCACAGACGCCGCGCCTCATCCCGAGAAAGGGTCACTGGACCAGCGTCCTGCTGTGGGTGGGCATCTTGTCAGGATGTCCCACAGGACAAACTAATACAGCCCTGAAAGAGTTTATCTTTCAAGGGCGAAGTCAGTTATTCTCAGAGAAGGTGGGGCTGACCGCGCCTGACAACTCACGTTCCATGACACGGGCTGGAGCTGCAGCTCAGCAGGGAGGGCTCGGGGCCCCCGCTCACTCAGTCTCCGCTGTGCCCGTAGGTGCTATCCCTGGAGGTCTGAGCATCGGGCCTCCGGCGAAGTCCTCCATTGACGACTCCTACGGCCGGTACGACTTAATCCAGAACAGCGAGTCACCAGCCAGTCCTCCGGTAGCTGTCCCCCATAGCTGGTCACGTGCCAAATCTGACAGTGATAAAATCTCAAACGGCTCCAGCATCAACTGGCCCCCAGGTAAGAGGGGCAGATGGGAGCGCACTCCACACCCCAACAGGGCAGCGCGGCCCAAGGCACCAGGCCCCGAGCCAGGAGTCCTGCAGGCCCCAGCCCCTTCGTGTTGGCCTTTCCGCTGCGAACCCGCGGGTCAGGCCAGCGCCGGCTGGGGTTGGCGCCGAGCGCTTTTCTGTAGCCCCTGCTTTCTGTGAAGGGGGGGCGGGGAGGGTAACGTGGCGCCAGGCTCCATCTGGTCTGGGGTTTCTGGGCATTCGCACGCCAGCTGGGCAGTCTTGTGGGGTCGCTGCAGTGCCTGGCTCCAGTTCCAGGAGATGGATGATCTACAGAAGTCTAAAACGTCCCTTTGATTTAATTAGCAGATTATTGAAATTTCCATAAATTATCATTGAGCAACACGAACGTACTTAATGCTTGTGTTTTGATCTTCGTTTTGTTTGGAATTTTCCAGAATTTCACCCTGGAGTCCCTTGGAAAGGACTTCAGAACATAGATCCTGAGAATGACCCCGATGTCACCCCTGGCAGTGTCCCCACCGGGCCGACCATCAACACCACCATCCAGGATGTCAACCGCTACCTCCTCAAGAGCGGAGGTGAGAGCCCGCGGCACTGCACCGGGCGGAAGCCTCTGCGCGCCCCACGGGCCCGGGTGGCAGCACGGGCTCCGGGCGGCTGCGGCCAAGGCGCGCGGGCGGGCGGGCAGCTTCTCCAGCCGTCGAAGCCGCGTGGGGAGCAGTCGGGTGGTGCTCGCGGGGAACGTGGAGGTGGGTTTGGGCTGAGTGGTTTGGCCGGATCTATTAATACACCGTGCTTTACGAGCATTGTGTTATAAGATCGCAGTATTAACCATTAAGCCTTTTTTTTAAGATTTTATTTGTTTATTTTTTAGAGAGGGGGAGGGAAAGAGGAAGAGAAACATCCCTGTGTGGTTGCCTCTCATACCCCCCTACTGGGGACCTGGCCTGCAACCCAGGCCTGTGCCCTGACTGAGAACTGAACCAGCGACCCTTTGGTTCGCAGGCCAGCACTCAATCCACTGACCCACGCAAGCAAGGGCAACCATTAAGCTTTCTAATGAAAAGGTTTCTACTTGAGATCTCTTTAAAAATGAACTAACAAACTTTTAAATGTTCATCTCAGTCTATTTTTCCTTTCCACAAAAAAAAAAAAAAAAAAAAAAAAAGGAAAAAGAAAAAAGCCTGGTCAAGGGACTGAGATGCACCCCCAGGACCTCCTTCCTGGGTTAACGCGTGATGCGAAGTTTGGGCGCGCCGGCGTCAGACGCAAGGCTGCCGTGGGAGAGGCGGGGGCCTGGCTGTGAGAGGCGGGGGCCTGGCTGTGGGCTACCGAACGCAAGCGCAGGCTTCCCGGAGCGCCCCCCCGAAGGCTGCGGGCGAGGCCAGAGGCAGGCGCCACCGCTGAGGGTCAGGTCGGCCCTGACGGGGTGGCCCTCAGCAGGGCGAGAGCGCGCGGACAGCCCCCGGCACGTCCGTGGGTGCCCTGCTTCAACGGGGGCCGCAGGAGGAACGTGTTGCCTCCTAACAGTCCTGACAGGGGCTGGCGCTGAGCGTGGCTGGAGCTCGGCGAGCGAGCCCATGTGCCCGGGGCGCCCTCCCTGTTCGTGCCGTGCCTTCCTCGAGCTTCCACGCAGCTGCCGCTCCCAGAGGGGCCTTGCGGGTGTGCCCGCTGTCAGGGACAGGCGGGCGGTGCAAGGACTCAAGCTGTGAGAGGTGGACCCTGCGTGAGAGGGCGGGGCAGGGGGCGCAGCCGGAGGCAGGACTCGGCGCCTGCCCCCTCACCTTGAGGGGCAGCAAGGCTGCGCCCCCTGTGCGTGCAGGTCGTGGAGGAGCGCGGGGGACTGCCAGTCTGGGTCAAAAGGACGTCAGAGAGAATCCGGGTGGCTGGGCGTAGAGCGGCGCTTCCTGCCCCGTGCCCAAGGGGTCACCCAGGGCCCTCTGGCCTCCGGGGCCCCTGGGTCATTGGGGGCGACCTCTGAACTTGCACGAACGTGCCGTGACGGGACAAGGCGGCCTCGGGGAGCAGGGGGATTCTGAGCCCTTCGGTGGGCCCCCAAGCACCGCGGGGACTCCCCTTCTCTGTCTCAAGAACGCCTGTACCGTGTCCCTGCCCTTCTAGGTAAACTGTCAGACATGAAATCGACATGGTCCTCCGGCCCCGCCTCCCACACACAAGCCTCTCTGTCTCATGAACTGTGGAAGGTGCCCAGAAACACTACTGCGCCCACCAGGCCGCCTCCGGGGCTAACCAACCCCAAGTCTTCCTCCACCTGGGGAGCCAGCCCCCTCGGCTGGACCAGCTCGTACGCCTCCGGTACGCACCGGCTCTCGCATTCAGGCCAGAGGGCTCTGCGTCCGCTCCGCTCACCCCGAAGGAGTGTGCCTGCCATCCATTGCAAGGACCCCGGCCCCCACCCCTGGACCGTGCGGGGGCTTGCAGGGCCAAGGGGCCCTGGGCCCTCAGGGCATCGCCTGGCCCGGTGCCCGCTGCCCGTGTCCTCGGCCTTGGCCCGGGCGAGCTGGCTCGCCCTGAGCGGGGAGGTCCTGGCGCCCAGCACCGGCAGGGCCGCCCCGGGTCCGGGGCGAAGTCCTGCCGCCCAGCACGGGGCCTCCGTGCCACGCTGATGGGCGCTACTCCACGGCCCTTTCCTGGAGCTCAGGGTTTGGCTGGCCAAACACAGACCCCGGTGCGAGACCCCCGACACCACGTCACAGCTCTGCGGCTCCCCACGGACGCCCCCTGCTGGCCCTTGGGGACGGAAGACAGGAGCTGGACGCCCAGCCCGCTGAGGGGGAGCCTGCCAGGCAGCGTGCGATGCCTGTCCCGCCTTCTACTAGCAGCGCCGTGCTCGGGCTCATAGCTAAGGGGAGGGGGGCTGGGGAAGCAGAAGGGGCCCTGTCGTCAGCCCGGGGCTCCGCGCGGGGTTGCTCTGTGCTGCCAGGCTCCCGCATGCAGCCCATTGACCGAGTTTTCCCCTGGTCTCGCGCAGGCTCTGCTTGGAGCACCGACACCTCAGGAAGAACCAGCAGCTGGCTCGTTCTCCGCAACCTCACGCCCCAGGTACCCTGCAGGGAGTGTCCCCGTGACCCGCGAGCCCCCACCCGCCCCCAGTACACAGTCTCTGTGCTGGGCACTCTCATTCAGGGCCCAAAGGGGATGTGGGCAGCAAGGGCTAGACACGCCCAGGGGTCTTTTACCCCTGTTCCTGGACAATTGTTTACTTTTTACTTTTTTGAGGCTTGAAAACTATACCTTTGTAAACAGAGTTGCTCACCTTTAACAGGACCCGCCCATCCCAGGCCTCGGGCCGCCGGGAACCACGCTCCGTGCGATGCGCTCCGGCGGGGGGTCAGAACCAGAACGGGCTTTCTCCTTCTGGCTGACGTCATCAAACATGACCAAAGCGTCCCAGGCTTTGACATTGCATGGTCACAGAGCTATAAAAGGCTTATATCGTGAAACCATATATATTAAGCCCTTTCATAAAGAGACATTCTCCTAGCATTCAGCGCACCCAATTTCCTGTACGTTTTCTTTGAAGAACGTAGTGGAAGACGCCACAGGAAGCTCGTTACCACCCCCTCTGCTTCCTCAATCAGATCGATGGCTCCACCCTGCGGACGCTGTGTTTGCAGCACGGGCCGCTCATCACATTCCACCTGAACCTGACGCAAGGCAACGCCGTGGTCCGCTACAGCTCCAAGGAGGAGGCCGCCAAGGCCCAGAAGTCCCTGCACATGTACGTGCCCCTGCGCCCGACAGGGCTGGGTTTCAGGTGCGGTGGGCGCGTCCGAGGGCTCCTGTGCCCGAGCAGCTCAGGCAGGCACGCACTGTCTCGTGGTTCTGGAGGCAGGAAGTCCAGTGTCCGCAGGGCCGGTTCCTTCCGAGGCCTCGCTCCTGGGCTGGCAGACGGCCCCCCTCCCTGTGTCCTCACGCGGTCGTCTGAGTGGGGCAGTGTCCTGGCTCCCTCCTCTTAGAAGGACACCAGTCGGAGCGGGTTAGGGCCCGCCCTAGTGTCCTCGTTCTCCCTCGGCTATCTCTTCAAAGGCCTCTCTCCAAATGCCGGCACGTGCAGCGGTGCTGGGGGTTCGGGCTTCAACCCGTGGTTTGGGGGAGACACCGTTCGCCCTGTAACTGCTGCCGAACCCCTGTGGCCGTGCCTCCGCTAGGGAAAGGCCCCCCAGGGGAGTGAATGTGGAGCCCAGTGATAGAAAGAAGACAGCCCCGCCCCCAAAACGACAGGCATGTCACCCACTCGTGCCCACTGCCGAGCTTAGCAGCGGTCCTTACAGCCACCTCTTCCTCATCGTTAAAGCAAAGGGGTTTTTTTTGTTTGTTTGTTTGTTTTAGGGGGGAAGGGAGAGAGAAGGAGGGAGAAAGAGGGAAACAAACACCGATCAGTGGCCTCTCGCGCGCGCGCACACACACACCCCCTCCACTGGGGACTGGGCCACAACCCAGGCACGTGCCCTGACCGGAAATCAAACCGGTGACCCTTTGGTTCACAGGCCGGCGCTCAGCCCACTGAGCCACACCAGCCAGGGCTGAAGCACAGTTTTGCCCAGATGCATGTGGAGACCTCCTCAGTGATGTCACTTAAGATCCGGGCCCCAGATGCAAATTACACTGATCCTAGATGATGCTCAAGCTCACTTGTGCGTCTGCATACCTCCTTGGGGACGCGCGGTCCCCAGCACCCACTACAGCTGCTGCTAGACGCTAGAATGAGACAAAGTCGCTCTGGGCCGGGAAGCTGCCGTGGTCAGCATGAGGCACAGGCTGGTGCTGGGGGTCCTGTGACAGGAAGCCTTCGGCTGAGCTCTTTCTGCAGAGAGCACAGAGGCAGTGAGGCCAGCGCAGGTGGAGGGGCGGTGCCACACGCGCGAGCCCCGGTCTACCCTTTTCTTTGCTTGTTTTGAGGTTTTTTGGGGACAGAGTTGACATACAACACAAGGTGTGCAACATGTTGACTTAATGCATTTCGGTATGGCAGCATGGCGCATACCGCCATCGCACCACGTAATTATTACGTATTTCTCTTTTGTGGTGACACCTTTGAAGCCCTGCTCTCTTAGCGGATTTCAGGTGTGCGATACAGGGTTGTTAGCTACAGCCGCCCAGCTGTGCGAGACCTCGGAGCTTCCTCATCTTCTCACTCGGGGTTTGCGCCCTCTGACCAGCACCACCCCAATCCCGCAGCCGCTCCCCTCTCTGCTTCTGCCAGTTTGGCTTTTGTAGATTCCACATGTAAGTGACACTGTACCGTCGTTGACTCTCTGTACCTGACTATGTCCCTTGGCATAACGCCCTCAAGATTCATCCGTGTTGTCGCAAATGGAAAGGTTCTCTTGTGGCCGAACACTGTTCCTGCGCGTGTGTGAGTCAGAGCTCCCCCGCCCGCTCCTCCACCGATGGGCGCTGAGGTTTTCATCGGAGTGGTCGGCTTTTTATTATTGAGTTACATGAGTTCTCTATATATGTTGGATATTAACCCCTTATTAAATGGAGGGTTTGCAAATACTTTTTCTCATTCCATAGGTTGTCTTTTCATTTTCTTGATTGTTCCCTTTGCTTTGCAGAAGTTTAGCTTTATGTAGTTTCACGCGTTGAGTTTTGCTTTTGTTGCTAGTTCTTTGGGTGTTACTATAAAAAAAATTGTTCCCAAGATCAATGTCAAGGAGGCTTTTCCTGTGTTTTCTTTTAGGAGTTTTATGGTTTCAGGTCTTATGTTTAAGTCTTTAATTCAGAGTTATTTTTTATGAGTGGTGTGAGATAGAGATCCAGTTTCATTTTTCTGCATGTGCTTATCTAGTTTTCCCAGCACCATTTATTGAAGAGACTTTCATGTCCCCATTGAGTGTTCTTGGTGCCCTTGTCAAATACTAGTTGACTGTGTATATGAGGGTCTATTTCTGGGCTCTCTATTTCATTCCATTGGTCTATCTGTTTTTATGCCAGTATCGTACTATTTTGATTACTATAGTTTTGTCATGTAATTTGAAATCAGAAAGTGTGATACCTCCAGGTTTGTTTTCATCAGTATTGCTTCTGTTCTTCGGGGTCTTTTGTGATTCCATACAAATTTTAGGATTGATCATACTATCTCTGAGAAGAATACCATTGGAATTTTGATTGGGATTTCATCGAGTCTATAGATGGCTTTGGGTTGTATGGACATTTTAACAGTTTTAATTCTTCTGATCCATGAACATGGGATATCTTTCCATTTCTATCTTCTTCAATTTCTTTCATCAAAGTCTTATAATTTTCATTGTGCAGATCTTTCACCTCCTTGGTTAAATTTATTCCTAAGTATTTTATTGTTTTTATGCTATCGTGAGGGGATTTTTTTCAGAATTTCATTGTTAGCATGTAGATATCTGTAGGTTGATTTCTTTTTTTATCCTGCCACTTTACTGACTTCACTGATTAACTCCAGCAGTCTTTTGGCTGAATCTTTAGGATTTTCTATGTATAAGATCATGGCATCTGCAAATAATGACATTTTTACTTCTTTCCAATTTGGATGGCTTTAATTTTTTTGTCTTGCCTGATTGCTCGAAGACTCCCAGCACTATGTTGAATAAAAGTGGTGAGAGTGTGCGCCCCTCTCTTGTTTCTGAGCTTAGAGGAAAAGCTTTCAACCTCTCACCATTGAGCATGTCAGCTGCGGGCTTGTCATGTGGCCTTTGTTATGTTGAGGCATGTTCCTGTCCCTTCTATACCCTACCTATTGAGGGTCTTTATCGTGAAAGGATGTTGTGTTTTGTCAAATGCTATTTCTGTATCAGTGGAAATGATGATATGATTTTGATCTTTTATTCTATAATGTGATTTATCACATTTATTGTTTGCACATGTTGAACCATCCTTGCATCCCAGGGATAAATCCCACTTGATCAAGGTGTATGGTCCTTTTACTGTGTTATTGAATTTGGTTCGCTAATATTTTGTTGAGAATTTTTGTATCTGGCTGACTTCTGGTCAGGATGGAGGCATAGGTAAACATGCTCCACCTCCTCACACAACTATAGAAAACATTACAACAGACCTCAAAACAGATAACACCCAGAACCGTCAGAAAATCGAGCTGTATGGAAGTCTGACAACCAAGAATTTAAAGAAGCTACAATCATCCAGACGGGTAGGAGGGGCAGAGACCCAACGTAGTGCAGAGAGGTGGCAGAACAGGTGGTTGCATGTTCACATGTGGAGGATAAAAATCAGGACGGATACTTCAGAAGCAAAGGGTCCCACACCAAGGGCAAACCACCCAGCCCAGGGTTCCAGTGCCAGGAAGATAAATCCCCATAACTTCTGGCTGTGAAAACCAGCGGGGGTTGGGGTGGCAGAAGGACCGACTGGGTTTTTCAGGAGACTCCACTTACAGGGCCCACATGGACTTCAAACGTATGCAGACCCACCCCCTCTGGGGTTCAGCACCAGGGAAACATCTGGAAAGGTAGCGGTCACATACGGGGAGTGGGTGAAATGACTGGAAATGGGGTGAGAGCCAGGCGAACCTCCAGAAGCCAGGCAGCAGCACTGTCCCCTCTCCGAACCCTCCCCCCACACAGAGCCACAGAGCAATGAAGCGGGCTGCCCCGCCCTGGCGATTACCTAAGGCGCCGCCCCGCGCAGTTTACAGGTGCCTTTTCTACAGCAGGCCACGCTACTAAGACAGGGAGCCAAAGCAGCTCTACCTAATACACAGAAACACAGGGAGGCTGTCAAATTGAGGAGACCAAGAAATATGGCCCAAATGAAAGAACAGATCGAAACCTCAGAAGAAGAACTGAATGAAACATAGCCAACCTGTCAGACACAGAGTTCAAAACACTGGTGATCAGGATGCTAAAAGAACTCAATGAGTGTTTGCAAAACGGCATAAAAAAGACCCCGGCAGAAATGAAAGTTACATAAAGTGAAATAAAGAAAAATCTACAGGGAACCAACAATGGAGGGGGCGACGCCAAGATTCGGATCAGCGATCTGGAACGTAAGGAAGAGAACGGCAGAAGAGCAAGAAGAAAAAAGAACTGAAAAAAAGGAGGCGAGTCTAAGGACCCTCTGGGACGTCTCCAAACGTACCGATGTCTGAATCATAGGGAGCCAGAAGGAGAAGAGGAAGCTCAAGAAATTCAAAACTTATTTGGAAAAATAATGAAAGAAAACTTCCCTAATTTGGTGAAGGAAATAGACGTACAAGTCCAAGAAGCACGGAGTCCCAAAGAGGGGCTCAGAAGAGGCCCACGCCAAGACACATCATAACTAAAATGCCAAAGGTTAGAGATAAAGAGAGAATCTAAAAGCAGCGAGAGGAAAGCAGAGAGTTACCTGCAAAGGAGCTCCCATGCGACTGTCGGCTGATTTCTCACAAGAAACCTCACAGGCCAGAAGGGACTGGCAAGAAGCATTCAAAGTGATCAAAAGCAAGGACCTACTCTATCCCACTAAACTATCATTTAGGATGGAAGGGCAGATAAAGTGCCTCCCAAGCAAGGTAAAGCTAAAGGAGTTCATCATCACTAAGCCATTATTACATGAAATGTTAAAGGGACTTATGTAAGAAAAAGAGGAAGATCAAAATAATGAACATTAAAATGGCAACAAAATCACAACTATCAACAACTGAATCTAAAAAACAAACTAAGCAAACAACCGGAACAGGAACAGAGTCATAGATGTGGAGATCTTTTGGGGGGGTTATCAGGTGGGAGGAGGAAAGGGGAGGATGGGGGAAAAGGTGCAGGGAATGGAGAAGCCAAAGACCGTACATGCACGACCCATGGACACGGACTAAGAGGCGGGTGTTGCTGGAGGGAGTGGGGTACCAGGTGGAGGGGGACAAAGGGGGAAAAATCGGGACAACTTTCCCAAGTGATTATGATTTATTAGCATAATCAACAAAATATATTTTAAAAATAAAAATAAATAAAAGGCTTTTGCACCGGTGTTTAATCACCAGGGACGTTTGCCCATAGTCCGCCCCTAGTGCCCTGTCGCCTTTGGCAGCAGGGCAACACTGGCCTCAGAAGGAGTTTGGGAGAGTTCCCTCCTCTTCAGTTTTTGGAAGAGTTTGAAAAGGATTCTTTTTAATTCTCCTTAATTTACCAGCGAAACCGTCTGGTCCTGGGCTCTTCTGCACCAGGTTGGTCCCCTCCCTTGCTATGGGCCTGTTCAGGCTTTCTGTCTCTTCATGACTCGGTGTCGGTAGGGCGCACGTCTCTAGGAGTCTGCCCGTTTCTTCTGGGTTGTCCCGTCTGTTGGCCCGTGGCAGGCTCTCGGGACCCTGCATGTTTCCGAGGTTTCAGCTGCACTGTCTCCTCTTTCCTTTCCCGTCTTGTTTATTGGCGTCTCCTTTTTGCCCCTTGGTTAGTCTAGCTACAGGGTTGTCCATTTTGTTTCTTTTGAGAAAACTGGGTCTCAGTTTCGCTGCTGTCCTGTTCTTGTAGGTGTGTCCTGGGAAACACTACCATCTTGGCCGAGTTCGCTGGCGAAGAAGAGGTGAACCGTTTCTTAGCCCAAGGCCAAGCGCTGCCGCCCACGTCCAGCTGGCAGCCCAGCGCTGGGACCAGCCAGGCGAGGCTGGGCGCCTCGGGCGGCTCCCACGGCCTGGTGCGGAGCGACGCTGGCCACTGGAACGCCCCGTGCCTGGCAGGCAAAGGGAGCAGCGACCTGCTGTGGGGCGGGGTCCCCCAGTACTCGAGCAGCCTGTGGGGCCCACCCAGCAGCGACGACGGCAGGGTGATCGGGAGCCCCACCCCGCTGAACACTCTGCTTCCGGGCGACCTTCTTAGCGGGGAGTCCATCTAGGACGGCGCGGGCCCTGCGGCCCCACGATCATCAGCACTAGGAAGAAATGCTGACCCTTTCCAGTCCGGGCGTCGCTGAGGACCCCGCTTGACCCAGGCAGCCCGGCAGCCCTTTCAAGTACCTCTGTCCAGTACTGAAGACGAACCTTCGCACAGTCCTTGCGAACTGTTCCCAAGACAGTGCGGGCTGCGCTTGGTCGGTGTCACATGCTAATGACAGGATGTTTCTCATAGCTTTTTATTTTGTGTTGTCTTATGTTCGTATGGTGTGTTGTCATTTTGATTTTTTAAGTATAAAAGCTGCTTAGAATAGTTCTATCATGAAGGGCACTTTTCCGATTGCGGGCTGGAAAGGGTTATTTTATCGAGGGGGGAGGGAGGGAGGGAGACGAGAAAGCCTATTGAAGACGAGCCTGTGACGAGTATGCACATTTCCAGAGGCGGACCCGCGATGGGGCTGGCGCATCCGCGGGCGTCAGCGCGGCGCGCAGGGCGCGGCCCGGGAGCTGAGCGGAAGGGACGGTCTGCGATCCGGCCTCTGTTCCCACGGATCCGCCTATGCACATTACCCTTGTTTCATTACTTTTTCATGTCATTTTTTTTATCCCAAAAAATATTTTTTAAAAGTTTAAAAAAAAAAAGACATATCAAACATGCAAATACTTGAATCCAGCAGGCCAATAATGAAATGTGAACACTTTCTAAGTCTAATTCTACACTTCCAGGTTGACATCAGTACGCAGAAACAGGCTCTAGGAAAAATTTCTAAGTTCACAGCCTATGTGTGTGTGTGTGTGTGTGTGTGTGTGTGTGTGTATGGAAACAGAGGCGAGCGTGCATGTGTGCGCACTTCCTGTGTTCGTGTGTCACGTGTGTGAGGGATTTAACTGTGGGTTTTCCCTTTTATTCAGTATATGCTTTTTTTGGCGCATTGGTCAAACGTTTGTTATTATTAGCTTCTAACTTTGCACTGAGTGTCCCTGCCCTTCCTCTAGCTAATCCTACACATTCAAGAGAACTCATAGGACAGGGCCGGTGACAATTCATGTGTAAATGTTTACTCAAGGACTCTGTTATCGCGTTTAAAAATTACAGTGTATATCTCTGGAGAAATAATATGTGTACCTACCTTTAGCAGCTTTTTATTGCGGACTAATGCAAGAAAATTATTACCAGAGTGTTGCACCATTTTTCCATTTGGAATATAAAGTTAAAGAGAAGAGAACTGTTGTTGAACCGTGGCCATGGATACTTGTGGAGGGCGGATGGGTCCGCGGGAGGAGCGGAGACAAGCACTTGGACGTGGGTTGTGACTGCTTTCGGGGGAGCCCGTGGTGGGGGCTCCCACCTGTTTACAGACCTTTTTTTCTCCTTCAGACTTTAAAATAAAAAATTTTAAAAAGGAATTTTAAAAAAAAGAAAAAAAAGACTTCCGTCGTAAAGAAACCTATTTTCAGAACGCAGATGCGCTACTTCAGAGCTCTGGGATCGGGCAGTGTTGTTTCCCTCCGGCCATTGTCATGGGCTCTGCCGACTGTCCCCTCCGTCCAGCCGGTGAGGCGTCGCGGTCACTGTCTTGCACATGCGGAAGCGCTCTCAGGAAAGCCAGGGTTCCCGAGGGGCGGCTCCACACCATTTCATGTATTTTGTAACCCCACTCCTAGCACTGAAGATGTTATTAAAAAACAAACAAAAAAATAAAGAAAAAAAGAAAAAAGGAAAAAAAACACAAAGAAGAAAAATACCTAATCTCTAATGTGTAGCAGTTACATATTTACCAAATAATGGACTCAAAAGAAATAGATGTTTGAAGAGTGCTTTATATATTAAAAATTGCTTTATGTTTTAAAAAAAATCAATGTTTTGATTGTTTTGCAAGAAAGAAAGACAATGGAGTAACATACCCTCAAGTATGTTTTAAAAAAAAAGATATATGAACATTGTGCTCCCTGCCTGCTTGATCAGGAAACTTGTGCATTACATTTTTTTTAATTCGCTTTTTAATGGTTTTATCAAAACAAAAACAAAAAAAGAAAAAGAAAAAAAAAAAAAGGAAGACGAAGAAGGCCCTGCAGAATTGCAGACCCCCAGAGGCTGGTTTTATAGAGGATCATGAACTATGCACAACTGGGTTCCAGACCTGTTCTCCGGTCCGGGAGTGTGTTTCGCTAAGCAGCCCCTCCTCAGAGTAACCCCATCTCATTGCCATTACATGCATTCTCTATATTTGATGTACGTGTACCTGCCGAAGTATATCAAATATACGTGCGTGCGTGCGTGTGTGTGTGCGCCCAACGTGCAGCCCCCAGGCCGCCGTCGGTAGCATCGAGTTGTAGAAAAACTCCTGACGTTTGGAAAAATTGGGGATGGAAGTAAAGAACCTGTTTGTTTGTTTTGTTTTTCTGTTGGGGTTTTTTGTTGTTTTGTTTTTTTTTTTTTTTGACCTCTTATTTTGAATTGAAGATGTCTGTAACTCTGAGATTAAGAAGCAAGTTTGTGGCTTTTAATGTTTTTCCTCATAGAATGTGATTGTTGAAGAACACGCACCGGAAGTTGCTTTCAAAAGTACAACGCTTTGTTGAATCTTAATAAATTGCAATTTTTTTCTTGGCTGTTGAAATAAATGGGTTTTTTTTTTCTTTTTCCAAGACAGATGCCGACTTTCGCTTGGTTTGTACTGAGAGAGAGAGCCGACCCGCTCTATGTAACAAATCCCCCGTCTCTGTCATGACGCCCTCAGCGTCTGAGTAATTAGCTAAGCCCTGAGTTTCAGTTCCCTGACTTGGGATTTCACCATTGGCCTTGTGGTCTGGCAGGTAACACCGCAATCTCCTCCATCGTCACCGGGCGGCGCAGCAGTGGCCCGAGCTCTGCGCCAGCCATCGCCCGCCCGCGGCGGCCCCAGGCGACAGCCATTGCTTGTGGGGGGCTGTCCCCTGAACAGCGGCCCGTGCGGCAGGCCTGGCCTCCGAGCCTGGCTCCCCGCCCTCGCGAAGACCAGGCGCACCCCCCGACCAGACCGCACCTGCCACAGTGGGATGCGGGCCCCGCCGGGCGCCACCGCCACACCCACCTGCGGCCCAGTGTGGGCATCAGGCACAGGGAGAGAAGAGAGCAAGGACGGTCTTTTGTGTCGCCTAGACATCCACATGGTCACCACGGTGTTTCAGGGAGCAGTTCGAAACCAGAACACCGGTTCTCTCTGGCCCGCCCGGGACACCGCCCGCGGGCATAAGTCCAGCACAGGACTTTGGCTTCATCAGGACCGCAAAGGCAGCCCCTGCGAGACAAACTGCGATGTCCCCTGTGGCCCCTTGCTCAGGACCAGCAGGCCAAGTGTGCCTTGTCTGTGTCCACTCCTGTGCCTGAGACCTTGGTTTGTCAAGAACGCAGGATCTGGCCGCCCCGTAGGCACGGGGCAGGCCCCTGGCCCCTCAGGAAGTTAGGAAGGAAAGCACTGAGCGGGCTGGAACCAGGAGGGGACGGGCGGACCAGAGGACGGAGGAGCACGGCCGGGCAGCGCGCCTGACGGGCTGAACTCGCGCGGACCTGGGGGCGGCAGCTGCCAGCGCTGCCAGGTGACGCCTGGCTCAGGGAGCCCAGCCTCACCCAGGCGGCCAGTGTCACCGGGGAGGCGGCAGCTGCCCGGGGCCTGAAAGGCAGGGTGGGCTCTTGTCCGACTGCAGAAGGCGAGGGACCCGGGACAGCGGTCGGTTCGCAGCGGCGCTGTCCATGTGCTCTGGCAGCGCCGTGGAGGAGGGCAGGGCAGGGGGGCGGGTGCTCCGTGGTGGTGGGGTGACGCGCATCGCGCCCCAGACAGGCGGGAAGGACGCTGCCGCGGCAGGCACCGACTCGGGACGAGAGACACCGCCGGAGCTGCTGAGGAGCCGAGCTCGCGTTCGCTGCAAGGCAGAGACCCCAAGGCACCCGGGAGAGCACCTTCCCAGGAATGCTGCGCTCGGGACGGGGCACGAAAGGCCATGGAGAAATCGTCACGGGAACGCAAGTGATGGACTGGCTCTGCCCGGCAGGGCTCCAGCGGAAACACTGTGGCCAGGCTTTGCCTGCGGGGGACTGTCCCCCAAACAGTGGCGCCGAGCCTGGTCCTTGTGAAGGCGGGGTGCCCCTGCCAACACCGCCAAGCGGGCGGGCTGCCACGGTCCTCGGTGACAGCCCGGGCCGGACCTAGCAGAGCCGTGGTTCTCAACGTTAGGACTGTTCGGACATTTCCTAAAACTCCGGCCCCAACCAGCGCGGCCAGCGTCCCTGGGCATGGGCCCTGGCTCCCGAGCCCTTGAGTCTCCCTCCCCAGCTGGTCCCACTGGGCAGCCAAGGCCGAGAGGCAGGCGGGCCTTGTCATCGGGCTGAAACAGCTGTCAACCGCCCACCCGTTGGAACGCCGATCCCCAAGAGTTCACTTAGTCTCATTTGGCAAGTGTAGCAAGCTTTTCCATTTCTGTTTTTTAGCAAAACTGTGCGCCAGGCGTGCTGCTAGGCTCTGTGTGGGAGCCGTGGCCTTGGCTCCGCCAGCTCCCAAGGGTCAGAACCCACGCCCAGGTGACTGCACTGCTGTCCTTCAGCCAGGCCCACACAGCCCCTCCCCCGCATGCAGCAGGAGCAGCCGCGAAGAGCGGCCCAGCCCGCACGCCGACAGCTGGAGGCCCAGCCAGCGATCTCAAGGCAGCTCCTCCAGAAGCCTCGGCGTTGCTCTCACAGGTGTTTGGGTGAGGCCCGCCCACACTGTGGGCGATACTTTCCCTGAAGTCACCAAACATATCTACAAAGGGCCCGCACAGCCGCACCTGGCACAGCACGGAGGAAACAACGGACCGTCACCTCCCGGGCAGGCCTTCCCGTTTGTCCGGAGTCGCTGGTCCTGACCACAGGGCTGCCGCGAGGCAGCTCTGTCAGCCCTGGCCGATGGCAATGCCTTGTCAGGAGCCCCGAGGTCGGCATGACCCTAACGACTGCCCGCCTAGCTTCCCCCCGCAGCGCCCACGCGCACAGCCGCCACCCGATGGGTGCCGGCTGCTAGCAGGGGTCCTAAGCTCGACTGGGCTGGGATCGGCCACACGCCCAGGGATCCTGGCGGGTCAGGCACACCAAGGGTGCCGTCCCCCCCTGCAGAAGGCAGCTGAGGCTGGGAGAGCCTCCGGCCCTATCCACAAACAGCACGTGCCCCCGGACACGTGCACAACACGGAGCACCTCTGGGGGCTGCTGAGGGCCCTGGGCCCCAGTGGAGGCAGGGCACCCAGGGCCTCCTGCTGAGAGCCCCACAGATGGTGCAGCCCCTTGCTGTGGGACGGGCCCGCCCCCACCACCTCTCCCGGGCTGAGCGCGCCCCTCCTGGGCTCCCTGGGAGACACACGGCCGCCCTGCCCCACCCAGGGCTGTTGCCCCAGGTCCCGCAGCCATGGGACCCCACGGCTGTGACAGCCAGGGCTCCTCCCCACACCCTGGGGCACAAGGCATCCCACAGGCTCCTGAACGGGCCTGGCGGGACCTAGGTCACCCCCCTCCTGCTCCAGCCTGGGCCCTGGCTGCCCCTCTGCCTGGCCAGCTGCTCTCCCCGAGGCTCATTCGCAACGGAAACGTTACCCCCAGCCCCTCCCTAAACTTGCCTCCACCCGAGTAACCACGAAAGCATCCCCGCTGCTGGCTCGAGCACCCTGGACACGCCCCCACAGTTGTTCCCGCCGGCTGGGTCTCCCCACCAGGCTCAGGCCGATCCGGTGGTGCTCAAGCTGGGAAGCATCCGTCCTGCCATCTGGAGGCTGGCCAGCAGAGGGCGCCCTACGCTGAACGCTGGAGCCCCTTTCGTCAGTATTGAAACGGCGGGGCACGCTGAGCATCTGGACGCTGGGTGAGGGCGGGGCCCCCGGCGTCTCAAGGGGAGGAGCTTCAGAGAGTCAGGAGGAGGGGCTGGAGAAGCCGCACGTGGTCCCTGGGGCAGCGGGAGGCAGGCGGCGCACACCTGGGCAGGCCCGAGCTGAGCACAGGCCCCCAGGGAATGAGCCCATCTTGCAAAACATGTTTAATCAGAATAAATAGAGTCCCAGGCAGGGCCGGGTCCACGGGGGCTTCCCCGGCCCCACTGTCCACTCTCCAGCTCCATGGACAGGCTGCAAGTCCCGTCACCTAACCCCGTGTCCAGCGGGGTTCCCCCGGGGGGGGGGGGGGAGGCCAGCACAGTCTCAGGTTGGGCACCGCATCCGCAGAGCCGTGGGAGCTGAGCCGAGCAGGTGAGCAGGTGAGTCGGGCTCGTCGCTGTCCTGCCAGGGGTCCCAGTCGTCCGCATCCAGGGCCGGGGGCGTCACCACCTCCGGGGCCCCACCAGCCCTGCCAGAAAGCGACGTCAGCGCGGGGCTGCTGAGGTCCCCGGGCCCTGGCAGCGGCAGGGCACCCCGAGCCTCCTGCCCAGAGCTGAGAAATGAAGGGCTTGGCAAGGACAGGACCTCGGTCCCACAGACCCGAGCCTGCCCCCTGGCTGGGGCGGCTGGGTGGGCTGGCTGTCTAGGCAGCAGGAAGATGTCTGAACTCCCCCTCCCCCGGGCTTAACCACAAGCGACGGAGATGAAGGGTGAGAGGCAGGGCTCCCTCCTGCAGGCCCAGGACAACCCTGGCTGAACCTCGGCGCTTCTGGCGCTGGCTCCTCGGGGAGAACCGGGACAGGGCAATGTGAGTGGCCGCCTCGGCCGCCCCAGGCTCCCAGAGAAGGAGGAGGCGTGTGGTGCGGAAGAGAGGAGGGAGCGGGCCTGAGAGGCCCAGCGCCACGCTTCCCCCTGCACGTGGCTCTTTCATTTGTTTTTTCCTGTCTCACCAAACTGTACCGTTTTCCTCCTGCCCCCACAGCCCCGCTCACCTCGGGGGGAGGTGCAGAAGGAGGGCAGAGCAGTTCCAAGGGGCTGAGGGCCACCCAGCTCCACTCGACGCCCCAGGGGAAGGTGCCCGGCGGTCCAGCCCCTTGTCCCTCTCCCCGACCCCGCACCCACACACGGGTGGTCCGACCTGTCCAGAGCCGCTCACCTGCACCTCTCTTTCCTCTCGCAGATGGAGTGAAGCTTGTTGATCAGGAAGATTTTGTCCTCCCCCTCCTAGAAAGGCCAGATCACAAAAGGTAAGAGGATAGGAACTGTCGGTCCTGAACCGCCCTGTTCCGGACAGCCCTGGGGGATGGTCACAGGGAGTGTTCAGCCTCACAAGTGAGAAAAGTTAAAGAAGGGGGACAGTGGCACCAAAACAAGAACAACAACCAAGAGCCAGGCAGCGGGCCTACGTATAGACCTATGCTTCCCAGTGGCCAAGGTGAAAAGGGAAATGGGACCCGCCACCCAGGGAGGGCCCAGAGCCAGCCGGACTCCATTTAAAACTGGCCCCACCATACCAACTCTGCCTGGGCGCGCCCCTCCCTGCTAACCTCAGAGTCAAGTGTGTAAACAGGGGTCCCCCTGGAAGCTGCAGGGAAGAACCTTGCCCCCCGCCCCCACCTCCCTTGGCCCGCGGCCTCCCGCCTGCAAAGCCAGCCATGGCCGGCCGGGGGCGCTGGGCAGCCGGTGCTGTAGAACCCGGGCGCTCTCGATAACCAAGTGTGCACCGCAGAGACCGGCTGTCCCGCGGAGCAGCTGCCCAGACCGGGCAGGAGGGACGGGGGCGAGAGGCTGAGGCCCTGCTCCTCGGGGGCGTGTGGACTCAGGACAGCGACAGGGCAGGGAGGAGGTGCTGCGGGGGCGGGGGTTCCCTGCTTCCTGGCCCCTGCTGCCTCTCTCCCTTCTCTGACACACGGCCCCCTGCTTAACGAGAGTGTTTTAATCCCGACGTGCTTTTTTAACTGTTGGCAAGATGAGGGCACTGAGCAGACTCTGCTCCAACCCGGGTCCCCGGGCGGCCCCGAAGCCCCTTCCAGGGCCTCAGAAACGCTCACAGAGACCGTCTGCGCCTGCACAGGGCCCCGCCCTGAAATGCACGTCTCCCGGGCTGTGGCCACCCGAGTCAGGACCCCGGGGCCCAGTGGCCCGGCTGCCTCTCTGCCTAATACAATTGGTTTGGCAAACAAACCCTTTCACCAGCCCAGGCAGGGGGCCCCGGGGCGGGGCATGAGAGGGCACTCACGTTGCTGATCTGCTCCTTCAGGAGGCCGATGACCTTCCGCTGGCCCTTCACCACCTGGATGTTGAGGTAGATCAAGGCCCTGCAGGAGGGCTGTGGTCAGGCCGGGGGCGGGGCGGGGCGGGGCCGCAGGCGTGGGGCCTCCTCCTGCCCGCACTCACAGCAGCAGCGCCGACACCAGGTAGACAGGGAAGGTGTTCTCCACCAGGTGCTGGTGGATCCAGGGCAGCCAGGAGACCCTGGGGCCCGCCTTCTCCAGGCGGTGCACCCACACCTTGCCAGCCTCGTACATGGTGTTCAGGGTCCGGAAGGGCCCGCAGAGGCTCGAGGGCTTCACCCTGCGGGAGGAGGGCAGCCGCGCCGTCAGGCAGCCTCCCCACTGCCCCGCCCCGCACCGTGGCCGCCGACCCAGCCCCCGGGGCCCCTCCAGGCAGCGGCTCCGCCCCAGCCCCACTCACTGCCAGACGGCATAGCAGAGGAAGACGGCGGCGCCCAGGAAGGAGGGGAAGCACAGCAGCGAGATGAAGACGGTGCTCATGTGCGATGCCAGCCAGGGTCTGCGGGGCGCCTGGCAGTTGGCCGTGAGGCTCGTCTGGGGACAAAGGCTGTGTCTGTCACCGCCCTGCCCCAGGCCCCCGAGGGAAGAGAGGTGAGGCCAGGTGGGGCTTGAGCAAGACCCCGGGACAGGGCGGCCAGCGGAGACGCAAACCCTGGGAACCTCAGCCCGAGGGTCAGGCGGCGCCAGCCACGCCCCCCGGTTTACAGAGGGGAGGCCAAGGCCTCTGGGGATGGCTTGTCCAGGGCCACTCCAATGCGGAAGGGCTGCTGCTAACAGCCACGTCCACGGGGTCAAGGTCTCTGCCGGGCCAGCGTTTTATAAAGGTCACCTCCGGCTATCCCCCTGGGGCACTGTCCCCATGGTACAGATAAAGAAATGGAGGACCAGGGAGAACAGCCTGGTTCTCGCCACCAAGCACCCCTGCCCGAGGACCAAGGTGGCTTCCCATGGGTGGGCCTGGGGCTCAGAGCGTCTCAGGCTGCCAGGCTCTACATCCGGCACACGGGCACCCAGTCCCGACCACGGGCCCGGCGGGGCGCTGCTGGCCTGCCCAAGGCCGCAATGCTGGGGGAGGGGCACGGCGCTGGCCCCAGCGGGTGGCTGCGGGCTGCCAGCCCATGCCCGTGGGTCAGGGGAGTGGTCCGTGCCTGCCGGCTGAGCAGCCCACCCTGGCGGCCCGTGCGCCCACCGCCCTCCCGGGACCCAGCCAGAACCTCTACCTTCTTGACATAGAAGAGCAGCAGCAGCTTGAGGATCTGCATGGCGGGCAGGAGGGGTGAGAAGAGGACTCCCAGCCTGGGGAGGGGAAATGGGGGGCACACTGCAGTCTGGGGGCAGGGCAGTCTGCCTCTTGCCTGCCCCCGTCTCCTCCCCACCCCAAGGCCGGGAAGGGTGCAGCTCGACCGGCCGCAGACTGGGTGCCCAGGGCGGGGAGGGGCCAGGGCCCACACCACCCTGGGACCCCAGTGCTGGGCCTTGCTGTGGTCCCGAGGGCCAAGGCGCTCAGCTGCCCCCCGGGTGGGGCAGTGGGAGGGGACTGGGAGATGCTCACCAGGTCAGGGTCTGTCCATAAATCAGCTCCAGCACGTTCCGGGCAATGTCGAACTCAGGCTTCCCTCTCTTCAGCTTCTTCTCAGAGATGAGCCTGCAGCAGAGGAGCCGGAGGGTCACCCCACAAGCCCACCCTGGAGACCAACCCTCGTCCCTGCCCTGGAAGACAGGTACCTCGAGGGCGACCCACACGCCAAGCTAGCATCCCTGCCCGCCCCGTCCCCAGGACCCAGCCCCCATCGAGGGGACCCGGCACCTTGGGGTCCCTGCCCTGCAGGGTTCAAGCTACAACTGGCTGTGTCTCTGTCCTCTGTCCACGCGTGTACGGGTACGCCAGGCGTGAGCACGCGCAATTGACCTCAAACATTCTAAATCTACGTTATCACCCCGTTCCTATGTTCTCGAAGAAAACACAAAAGGGAGGAACAGTGCCAGCCACGCTGCCAGCGAAGCACTTTGAAGCATCCCCCTTCTGCCTCGCTCCCTGCCCACGTTTCCCGTGCGCTGCCCTGTGGTCACACTGCACGCAGCAGGGCGAAACCTGTTTTCCTTTCTGACCTAAAAATAGGTTACAACCTGTCCCGTGTTTTCCCAGTCGAACGATGTTTTACGAAAGTTGTCTTGGGTAGAGACAAAGGGCCCTCAGGGGGAGGTCAGAGGCCCCGAAGCCTCCGGGGCCGCCCTGCCCGCAGGTGAGGACCCTCCGGCCCGTCTTTGGGGGAGGGCGGGGGGCAGGAGCCGAGGAGGTGGGGCCTCTCACCTCCACACCAGCTCCCCGCAGAGCGTGTCCAGCAGCGTGAAGATGAAGTCGGTCACCATGAGGCGGTACAGCTCCTGGCCCACGAAGTTCTCCCAGCACTGAAACCGGACAGGCCTCAGCCCCAGGGCCCTGGTGTCCGCGCCTGCCCAGCCCACCTGGGGCCTCCAACCTGCCCGCGGACCCAGCGAGATGAAGGCGGCCCTGCGCCCAGCGCGGCCCCTCGCTCAGCCAGCACCGCCCAGACTCCACTTACCTGGTCCTTGAGGGCGCCCACCCTGCGGCCCAGCCAGTGGTAGCAAAGAATCCCCAAGATGACCATCTTGAGGATGAGGTTCCTGCGAGAACGAGGGGCCCGGAGGCTGAGGACGGGCTGCCTGGGGACGGAGGGCGCGCCCCGGGAGCCCGCCAGCCCCATCTGCCGCTTGCCTGCAGATGGCGACATACACCTCCATCACCGGGGAGTCGTGCCGCTCCAGGGCCGCCAGCCCGCGGTACAGGTAGGGCGCTGCCAGGTTCAGGAGGCCGACCACGAGGGGCAGGGCCAGCAGCGCCCCCTCCTGCTCCGCAGGCGCGGGGCTCTGCTGGGGGGCGGAGCGGGGGGGGGGGGGGCAGCGGTCACCGCAGGCGCCGTGTCCAGCGCCAGGGCCAGGTATTGTGGGGGAGGGGGGAATTGGCAGGCAGCACCCCCTCCCCCACAATACATCTATCCAAGGTCTGGGGCAGAAACCACACAGTGAGGAGGGATGGGCCACAGGTGTCGGAAAAAGACACGTCAAACCAGCAGAAGAGAAAATAAAGAACACGGGGAGTGTGCGAGGCGGATGGAGGGGGAGACAGAGGAGGTGGCCCCGAGGGAGGGCGGCAGCCCGTGGGGCGGGGCTCCCCGGCGGGGCGGGGCGGGGCGGGGCGGGGCCTGGGCCGATACCAGCCCGAGGCGGGCTGCCCCTCCCCTCACCTGGATCGTGCGCTCGGAGAAGGCGTAGACGGCCACAGTGCACCCCAGCGTGGTCCCCAGGCTCAGCAGCCACACAAGGCCCAGCACCGCCAGCCGACGCAGCTGCCCACATGCGCTCCGCGGGCCGCGCTGCAGCTGCCACGCGGCCAGCAGCTCCTGCCAGACAGCAAGGCCATCACCGCCCAAGCCGCGCAGGGGCGTGCGGGCACCCAGGGGCACTCAGGGACGTGTGGATGTGCAGAAGGCTTAGCGGGACGGAGGGGTCATTCCCCCCGCACACACACCACCGCTTGCCCCTCCCCCAGCTCTGGGGCCCCATTTCCAGGCACACAGAGCACAGAACTTGGACCCCAGGCTGTGCCCTGCCCGCCAACCCCACGGCCCCAAGTGTCACCCTGCTCTCCCTCCCCACCCCCCACCCCAGGGCTCATGTGGCATCCTAAGGCCAACCGCAACCCCTCCCCCCTCCCGAGCCATCCTGCTGCTGGGGAGGTGCGCCCCCCACCCTCGCAGTGCCCTGAGGGCAGTGAAGGCTGAGCACTCCGCCAGCGCAGACCCTGCGGCACAGGCCCCAGAAAGGCAGAGAAGTTTCCCGCTCAGCGTCCCTCTCACCCGGTGGCCTGGGGCAAGGGACTGAACCTCTGTGCCTCAGTTTCCTTGATCCGATCGTGGCACAGGTCGTCGCCCTGAGCTACTGTGGCCAGCCAGGAATGCTTCCCAGCAGGAGCCCCTTGGGCCTCTTCCGCGGACACCGAGGACTCGGGGGGGCCCCCAAGCAAACCCGACCGCCCGCCTGGAGCGCCAGCCCCTGGTTCTGCAGCCCGGGGGTGAGGCGGATGGACGCGAGGAGTCCCCGCAGGACGGAGGGGCGCGCCCGCCAGGGAAAGCCCCCTGCGCGCACAGTGTCCTGTTGGCCAGGCTCCTGCGTGGCCGGCACCGGCTCACAGCGGAGAGGCGGCCCCAAGCGAGGGGAGCGGGCAGGGCGCAAGCCCAGAAGGGTCTGAGTGTCAGCTCCAGTCTCTGGGCCTGGGAAGCCCGTCAGGTCGCTGATGGCGAGACAGGATCCCCACAGCCCGCGCGCAGCCCACTCGCAGCGCCCCTCCGGCTGCGCACCGGCCCCACGTGGACCGCAGGCCAGGCCTCCAAGAGCCCAGTGGGCTGGGGCTGGGGCCGGTGCTCCGGGACTCAGGGTGGGGGCAGCGGCCCAGGCCCCCCGGGTGGCTCACCTTCAGCCGCGTCCGGATGTTGTCATGCTGGAGGCGGGAGGCCCTTTTCTGGGTCACCTTGTGGTCCCAGGAGCAGAACACAGTGATGGCATGGGCCCCCGAGGCACTGCCTACCCGGTAGCTCTCCCCAAAAGACTGGGACATGCTGTGACACACAGAGCCAGCGCGGGGTCAGCGCTGAGGGGCGGGGTGCGGAGGCCCGGCAGAAGGCAGCCAGGACCCTGTCGCCAAATCCCACCGCCCATCTGCGGGGAGCAGCCTTCCCGGCTGGCCCCGCCCCACCCCTCCAGCCCCGCCCCTGGCCTCCTGGTGTGGGCCTTTGGCCGCTCCGTGCACCCCTGTCCAAAGACGTGGGTGGGCGGGCGATGACTGCAAGTGTGGGAGGGAGGACTGTCCACGGGTGGACAGACAGATGAAAGGACAGAGGGAGGGAGGGAGGGGTGGGTGGAGGGATGGATGGAGGGGTGGCTGGGTGGTGGGTAGAGGGATGGGTGGGTGGTGGGTGGACGGAGGGACGGAGGGAGGGGTGGCTGGGGGGACGGAGGGACGGAGGGAGGGGTGGCTGGGGGGACGCATAAATCAGTGGCGCTCAGAGTCAGGGCCGCAGGGCGGGGTCCGTCACCTGTACACCAGGATGATGCAGGTGATGAAGAAGGCCGTGCCCAGGGTGAAGAGGTAGGCCAGGGGCATGCTGTACGGCAGGCTGGCCGCCTCAGGGGCACACTGGCTGCCGTCTGGGGGGCCGGCGCACGGCTGGTTCAGGGTGGCATTGCTGTAGTGGCCGTAGTACATGACGGTGTCGGTGAAGCGGCCCTGGTGGGGGAGGCCCGGCCGAGTCAGGGACTCTCCCCTTCCCCGCACCTGACGCCCCCTTGGGCTTCAAGGGGCAAAGGGAGGGCCCCCCCCGGGGAAGGCCCGGGCAGGGCTAGCGAGGACAGCACGGAGGCAGACAGAAGGCCGGAGCCATCCTAGGTCTGCCCGGGCCCCACGGACAGGGGACGGCAAGGACAGGGAACTGGCTGCAGCCCCCCGGAGTCACAGCCCGGGAGAGGGCGGGGTTCCCCCAGGGAACACCACAACAAGAGGGGCCCCCAAGCCCTCACCCCGCCAGTGAGGAGCTCCAGGCCGGTGAAGGCGGGCGCGGTGCCCAGGGGCGCCGGCGGGAAGGCGGCCTGCACGCCCACCACGAAGGCCAGCAGGGGCAGCAGCAGCAGCACGTTGAAGGCCAGCAGGGTCTTGAGGAACAGGAAGTAGGACAGCACGCTGGAGCCGAACTGGCCCCCGATGCGCTTCAGGGCATAGTGCCAGGGCACCAGGGCGTGGAGCCCGGCCAGCAGCCCGAGCCCCAGGTGGTGCAAGGCCTGTGGGGACAGCGCAGGGTGAGCGGGGGGCACCTGGGGAGCTGAGGCCCCGTGTGGAGGTGCGGGGTGCAGCCGTGCCAGCGCTAGGCCGAGGCCGGGGGACCCCACGAGCAGGACGGCAGAGGCAGGACGGGGGCCATCCCCACCCCCGCCGACCCCGCCACGGCTCCTACCAGGACACAGGCATCTCGCAGCCGGCTGCAGCCGTGGGGGAGCCCGGCACGGCCCCGCCACTTCCCCCTTGGCGTCCGCGTCTCCTCCCTGGGGACAGAGGCAGCGTCGGCGCTGGACCAGCTGGACCGGGGCTGGACCGGGGCTGGACCGGGGCAGGGCACAACCCAACCCCGCCACCACCTCTCGCTGCCGCCGCCGGGGGTGGGGGGGTGGGCACTGACCGCAGGCGGCGCTTCTCCGCCAGGCTGAGCGGCATTCCCAGGAGCACCTGGTGCCGCTGGGCCGCCGTCAGCCCCAGCAGCTCCTTCACCAGGAGGGCCCGCTTCTCTGCAGGAGAAGGACCGGGAAGCCCCGTCGGTCCCCCGAAGAGCACCCCTCCCCCCGCTGTGGCCATGACCCTGGCCAGGCGAGCCTGCTCCCCCGCCCCCCCACCCCAGGCCTCTGCGCACCTGCCCGCCTGGGTGGCTCTCCCTGCCCGCCTGCCTCGCTCGCTGCCCCCTGAACCCCCGTCATTAAGTTCTCGGCATCCTCCCCACGCCCCCTCTCCTGGACCCACACTTTCCTCCTGGGTCCCCCTTCAGGTCACCTCGCTCTGACCCCACTGACCTGAGCCCCGCCCACCCCGATGAGCAGCAATGGGGTCCCCACCCCTGTCCCCACCACGTGCCACCGCGCCAGCCCTCGGTGGGGGAGTGGGGTGGGGAGGGCAGGACTGGGGGATCCTGGCTGAGAGCTGGGGTGCTCGCCCCGCTCACCTCCTGCTCTGCGAGGAAGCTACTTCCCCCCACGTTTGCAGGTAAGAAATGGCACCTGGCCTGGATCACCCAGTAAAACCGGAAGCTGGCCCTGACCCTGGAGCCCCGCCAGCCTGCCCGCTCTGTCGGCCCCAGCTGGCCCCCTGGGTAAACCTAGGGAGGGAGCAGAGGCAAGGCCCCCAAAAAGTACCCAAGACTTGGCGAGGTCAGGGTGCAAAGGGCGCAGCCGGGAGGACCTGCCAGGGGCCGCCTGAGCCAACCGACGAGGCTGGGCACTGCTCCCTGCTCGGGCCCCCTCCTGGTGCCCCAGCTTGACCTCCGTGCTGCCCAGACAAGCCAGGCACGCCCCCACCTCAGGGCCTCTGCACACGTCCCCTCTGCTCTAGTGCCGCTTCCTCCAGGAAACCTCCCCGGGTCCCTCTAGGCTAGACAGGTTCACGAGGCTCTCCCGGGAGATCGCCTTCCCTCGGCTGCCCTTTCACCGCTTCTCCATGTATTGGGGACCGCTCTGTTTCACGGCACACGTTAAGCCGCGTGAGTGCCAGGCAGGTCTGCTTACTACCGCCACAGCCCAGAGCGCGTCAGATGTTGCAGGGCACACAAACATTTCTGAGAGTCTGCCCGCCAGAGCCAAGCCCTTCACAGCCCGAAAGGCTCCCCGCCCCCACCCCAGTGGCAGGCACGTCCCCGCCAAAGCGACCTCACCGTTGGCAGGGCCGTCTCCCTGTCTGCCGCCCTCAGCCTTCACCCTGGCCAGGCTGACCTGCCCCCGCTTGCTCACCTTCCTCCTCAAGGGCCGTGGCGTCCAGCTCCAGGTCGTACAGGCGGAGGCTGGGCCAGGCCGAGCGTCCCAGGTCGCTGAGCAGCGGCCGGCTGGCCCTGCGGCGCAGCTGCACCGTGCGGTTGTAGTACTGCGAGATGATGGCGCCGCGGCTGCGGCCTGCGGAGGCCCGGCCGGTCAGGGCAGACTGGCCTCGACGCCCCGTCTCACAGGAAGGCGGCGGCCGCCCCCACCCCTCCCAGGACCCAGGAAAGTCCCTCTAGGAGAGACCTCGGTGCTACCAGGTTCCCAAGAGCCTATTTTTAAACCTCTGACGACCCTGGAGTCGTTTTTAGAACCAGCAAAGCCGCACGGGCCTGCGCTGGGCCTCCGCGGGGCCGCAGACGGGGGCGGGGTGGGAGCCGAAGGGGCCTGGCCCTGAGGGACAGGGGTGCCCTGGAGACCCGGCCCAGCCCGGGGCAGGGTGGGGCTGGGGTCAAGGGTGGAGGGCCCCACTCACCGATGGTGCGACTGGGCATGCTGGCCAAGATGCGGAGCGTGGCCGCGCTGTGGACGGTGGTGCCCTCGGGGCCCAGGAGGGCCTGGTGGTCACTGCCTGGCAAGCAGAAGGGCTTGTCCAGAGGGCCTGGGGGCGCTGCCGGCCGCCCTCTCCCCCACTGCACCCCCACCCCCTTGCCAGGCTGCCGGGTGGGATGTCTGAAGAGGTTGAGAAGGGCCAGGGCCCGGCCCACACTGTCCAACCGGCGGGCTCACCTGAGGCCCCCGGAGCCCCGGCCCCCCAGCCCAGGGACTGCAGCTCCAGCCCCTCCTCGGCCGCCCTCTGGCTCTGCTCCCGGATGAGCTGGTGGAAGGAGTCGTGCACTTCGTTCTCATCGTAGGCGCTGGGCCCCCAGCTGCTGGCGTGAGAGGGTGGGGAGGGAGTCCCAGCTCGGCTGCCAGCCCCCGCCCCAGCGGCCGGCCCCTTCCCAAAGGCCGCGGTCCAGGCGGCCTCCCCTCCGGGCGGCTCGTCCCCGCCCACCGCCCCACAGCCCAGAGCACTCACCCCTGGTCCTCTGGGGTCTCAGGGACACTGAGGACAAAGGCCATGTCCGCTGCCCACGCCTCGCCTAGAGCGGTTCAGGGCCTGGTCGTGCGCAGCCTCCGGAGCCTCCCGCTGCCCATCTGATGAGACAGGGGCTGCCCCACACTTGGCTTCAGTGCCCGGCGCCCGGCCAAGCCTCCCGCTCCCTGGGGACTGTGGGAGGTGCCACTCTCAGCCCGGGCAGCCTGGGCCCCTGCCCTGCCCTGCCCCCCACCCACAGCCAAACGCGAGGTCGAGTGAGTGCCCCCAAGTGAGCCACACCCAGAATGGACCGAGGGGCAGTCCTTTCTAGTGCGGGGCTGGTGGGGGAGGTGAGAGACAGAGAGGAAGGAAGGGCTGTCTCCGTGGTCAGTTTGCTTGAAGGTCCCCGTCCCTGGGAAATAGGGAAGGGGCGGGGTGCTGTGGACACAACCCGGCAACCCCAGGGTCCTGCCCCAGGGACACCACCCTCTTGGTGAGCGAAAGTCAGGGCAGCTCTGAGACCTCCCGGTGCCCGCCCTGTAACCCCACGGCGCTTCCTCTCACAGGAAGTCCTCACCCTGCCTGCCACCCCCACCCCGCCAACCCCGGCAGAACGGGATGACCCGCCTCCTCCAGCTGGGGCGCTACCCAGCCAGCATCTCTCGCACACACGCACACACGCACACACGCACGCACACGCACAGAGCCCCCAGCAAGTGCAAGGCCGACAGTTGTCAGGAGGCTGACCCTACACTCAGCCACCCGGGGCAGGCAGGCCAGGGCAGCTGGCTGGGGGCGGGAGCGCTAAACAGGCCGCCTTTGTCCCGCCTTTGTCTGGGCTGAGGGCTCTGCCGTCACCCGGGACAACTGGGCCCAGGGCAGCCTTGTCTGGGCTCTTCACCCCGTGGGAGCAGGGCGGAGGGGAAGAGCAAGCTACCAGCTACCAGCCGACTCCTCCGCAGGCCTCTGAGGGCCCAGCCAGAGGTCTGGCCTGCCCCCTCCTCCCTCTCCTCCCTCCAGGGGACTCAGTACTCAGGAAAGTTCGCCTGGCTCCAGGGGGCTTCCTTGGGTGAGACCTGGGTGCCCAGGCAGCGCAGGTCCTGCTAGGGCTGTGCCCAAACAGGATCCCCCTCACTTAGGGGCGTCCAGAGTGTCCAATCTCGGAGCCCAGGCGCCCACGCAACCCGAGCGTCTCCCCCGCAGCAGGAGCACAACATGGGGAAACCAGCAGAGAGGGTCTGGAGGCCAGCTGCACCCCTCAGCCTGCGCAGTTGCTGCGGGGTGCTCGCGGCGCGCTCCCCAGTCCAGGCGGCGGAGCTGGAACCCTCAGACTCTCCCACGCCCAGATCCACCAGCCCCCGGACACACCCCTCGTCCACACAGGAAGGCAAGCGAGTCGGGGTGGGCGGAGCAGCGGGGCAGGAGGTGGCTGGAAGCTGGGGCCTGCGCCTGCTGCCTTCCTCCGGAGGATCGGAGCTCGCCCGGGCCCACCGGGGTACTGCCCAGGAGGGACTTCCAGCTGGCAACTGGCGCCCTGGCCCCTGCCTCAGGTCTGGGTGGGTCTGGTGAGTTGCCGGTGCACCATTCCTGAGCCCTGAGCCAGGTAGGGAGGGGCGGGTGGGGCCCTTTCTAGCAGCCCCACCCCCGCAGCCAGCCCGGAACCGGAGCCTCTTCTCCCAGGGCGTGAGCCACCGGGGAGCCCCTGGACCCCGGTCGCCGCTTCTCCACTCCCTGCTGATGGTCAGTCATACTGGCTGGTGCCACTGGCCTCCTCGCCCCTTCCCAGCCCCGACCCAGTCACATCATGGCCCGCCCCAGATGGGCCCCCGCCCAGCCCCCCACCCTCCTGAGAATGTCAAACGTCAGACCCACAGGAGAATCCACAGAGATAACCGGAGAGGGAACTTGTGACCCAGTGGTCCCAGGAGCCCAAAGGAATTAGGACAGGACAGCCCAGCCGCGGGGGGACCGCGGGGGCTGGGAGGACGAAGTCACACACACACACACACACACACACACACACACACAAACGCGCGCGTGGGAAGCCACATCAGGGACACTTACCTGGGAGGCATCAGGGAGGAGGGGCCTCGTCCCAGAAAGGGCTGCTGGGCACTGTAGTTGGGGCTCCACCACCTGGCGGAGGGACCTCAGGATCAGGGGGAGGAAGTGACCAGGGGCCAAGGTTCCTGACCTGGGGCCAGAGGGAGCTGCCCCGCCCAGCTGGGTCCACGTGGTGGCATCACATGACCCGGCTTGGCCCAAGAGTGAACCCGCCCCTGCCCTGGGCCCCTCCGGCAGCCAGCCAGCCGTGCCCTCTCCCTGCCAACCTCGACCCCTCCCTGCACCCACGCGGAGGTCTGGGCGGGGTGAAGGCCCGACTGCCCATGTTTACTCCAACCTCTGGGTGAAGCCCCCAGTTTCTGTGGGGCCCAGCTTTCCCCAATTTCGAATGGAGACAGCAATTACAAACCTGCCCACTTCCCAAGGCGATTGCCGAAATAGCAGGTGCTGCAAAGCCCCACTGACACAGCGCCAGTGGCGCTAGACTAGAGGCCCTTGCTTCCCAGACGCCCTCCGCTCCCCACGGCTGGCGGGCGAGCAGGGTTATCTCCCCGCTCCGGATCTGGGCGGGGCTGCTGTACTGTTGATCAGGCTGCACTTGGGGCACTTCCTCTGCGCTGGGTGGGGAGGAGGGGGCGAAACAGAGCAGACTGACTTGGTGGCCGTCCCCATTGCTGTTTTCTGTTATTCCTCCGAGCGGGCACGTAAGCACGGATGTCCCTCGTTTGCAGAGGAGGACACAGGCTGAGCTGTTAATCGGCCTCCAGGCGTTGCCTGCCAAGCCTAAGTCTCGTCCCCCTGGGGACTCTGCCGAGAAGCCTGGCTGGGAGGAAGCCTGGGAGAGGGGCGGTGGGGAGGCTCCTGTGGGTTTGCAAAAGTGGGTGGGATTTGGGCAGTGGTGGGGGCGTATCCCAGGTTGGGAGAAGCCTTCAGGGGCGAGCAGGGCGAGGGAGGACAGGAAGAAGAAAAGGAAAGAGAGGCCCCAGGAGGGAGGAAAGGGTGAGTGAAGCCAGGATGCTGAACGAAGGCCCATGATGCCGCTGGGTAGGAAGGGGGTCCTGCGGCTGAGGCGGGGCAGCGGGAGGGCCGGGGTGGAGCTGTGTTGCGGCTCTGGCTCTCCGTGTGGTCCTCGGGCAGCCTCTCAGGCTGGATCCCAGCATGGAGGCCCAGGCCTGGCCAGCTGTCTCCCTTCCCCTGTGCCCCACCCCCTGCACCTTCACGTTCCTGCTGCCTCCTGCGTGCAGGGCTGCACACCCAGCTTGAAAGCCACCTCCTCTGAGGGGCCTTCCTGGACTGCGCACCCGCCATGCGCACCTGCCCTTCTGTCTCCTCTCCCCCAACTCTGATCCCCCACGGCCCCGCAGCAGCTCCCACCATGGGGCCTGGCATGCAGGAGGGGCTTGGAAAACGGTGCCGGGGGCGGGGGGGTGGGGGGCCAGGCAAGGAGGCAGAAAGCTCAGCGATGAGATAACTGAGCCCTGAAGGTGGTAGAGAGGGAGCGAGGAGGAAGGGCAGGACCTCGGGGCCTGGGGGGGACCCCAGGAGAGAGAGATGGCTCTGGGACTTCATGCATCTTAACCGCAGGCAGGAACGGAGGCCACCCAGAGTGCTGGACCCAGGCCTTAGCAAAGGGGACAGTGATCGAGGCGGGAAGTTAGGAAATAACTCGGCCGGATGTGATGCGGCCCACCCCTCAAGTCACTGCCGCACCCTGCCCTCCGAGCGAAGCCGGGCCCACGCCCCGCCGCTGCCCGCAGCCCCACCAGGCCGGGCTGCAAGGGAGCGGGCCGGGGCTGGCCCGACTCCGAACTGCCACGTGGCCCCGGGGGCCTGGGAAGCGCCAGCCGCGGGAGCCGGGGACCCTCGAGCCGGCTCGGCCCGTGCAGGAGCCGCGCGGGGAGGGGAAGGGTCGACCTTGCCCAGCGCGCACCGGGGAGGCTGCGCCGCCCGCCCGCTCACCTGCCGCCTGCGCCCCGTGCCCGCAGGAAGTGAGGGCCTCGGCGGGGAGCAGAGGAAACGGGGCAGGTGGGGGGCCGGGGCGGGACCGCGGAGGGGTTGGGGTTCCTGTCATGTGACCTCCTCGGCTCTTCGCCGCTCCGCCAGGCGAGTAGACAGCCGGTCCGTCGGGGCCTTCTCTGGGCGCCTGTTCCCGCGCCCCCAGGTGAGCTGGGGGCAGCGTGGGGGGCGGAGGCCGAGCGGTGCTGCGCCCGCTGCAGAGGGGCCCCGTGGCTGGGGCAGTAGCCCCCCAGTTCTGGGGGCAGGACCCCTAGACAGAAGGCTGAAGCGGGGTCCTCGCGGGTCCGCCCCCGGGGCGCTGCAGGCTACCGGGTGCCGGGAACTTGGGCCCGGGACAGCGAGGCTCCCCGGTCTTCCAGGGAGAAGCAGCCCGCGCGGGGATGCGGGAGCCGCCCGCCCCCACTGGGTGCCCTGGACGGCCGGCATAGCGGGGCGGGGCAGGCCTCGGCCCCGCGTGCCGCGCCCGAGGCCGCGAGGGTGCCCGTCTCCGCGCCCTCTCCACCATGGTCCCCATTTGACAGACGAGGAAACGGAGGCTCCGCCCGGGCCCGCGCGGCTTTGGGAGGCCGGTGGGGGCTGAGGCCAGATCTCTCCCAGCAGGACCCTTCGCGTCGGGCCATGCCACGGCCGTGACCTTGAGGCTCGCGCCCCAGGCGCCCCGCGTCCCTCCCGGGAGGCGCCGACGGCCCCGACGCGATGCTGCGGCAGCGGGCGGCGCCGGCGGGGCAGGCCCGCAGGCGGCCCGCGCCCGAGGCCGAGGAGCTCTGGGAGCAGGAGATGGAGCGGCTGCGCGGCTGGCGCGCGCCCGTGCGGATGCTGCCCTACGCCATGGTGGACAGGCGCCTCGTCCGGTGAGTGCCGTCTGGCGGGTGCCCCCGGGGGTGGGGACGGCGGGCGCGGGCTGGGGGCGCGCGGTGGGTGACTCGGGGCGCCCCTCTCACCCCATCCCAGGCTGCTGCGGGAGCCCGAGGGGACGGAGACCTCGTGCTGGCAGCGGTGGCGGCAAAGGCGGGGCGCTGCGGGAAGGCGCCTGGGGGAGGCAGCGCAGAGGCTGGCGCGGGGCTTTGGACTCTGGGAGGGGGCCCTCTACGAGATCGGGGGTAAGAGCCTCCCGTCTCTGGGGTCTCGGTATCCCGTTTAGAAAATGGGGGAGGGGTCCCGCTGGCCATGGCTCCCCTCCGCCCCCAGCAGCCAGCCCCGGTCCTCACAACTCCTCGCTCGGCAGCAAAGCTGCGGCCCAAACTGTGGTAGACGACAGCGCACCCCCGCTGGCTGTCAGCGGTACTGTTCGAGGGGGGCCTCCAGGGCTGGACCCTGCACCGGCGGTCCCAGGAAGCTGGTAGGGGCTCCGTTTCCCCCCGGCCCACCTGCTCTTCTCCCCACAGGCCTCTTTGGCACCGGAATCCAGTCCTACTTCACCTTCCTTCGGTTCCTGCTGATGCTCAACCTGCTGACCCTGCTTCTGACCTCCAGCCTGGTGCTGCTGCCCCTGGCCTGGCTCCAACCCCCAGACCCAGGCCCCGCCCTTAACTTCAGTGAGTGCCTGGCCCACCAGGGCCCAGTGACCCCGCGATGACCCGCGCCGCAGACTAGTCCAGGGCTCAGAGTCCCGACCCTGGGCAACCTCCCACTTGGTTCCAGCCCTTGGAATCTGCTGTCCCAGCCTTTTGCGCGGCACACCTCCTGGCGCATCCTCAGAGCCCAGCTCCGGCTCCCCCTTCCGGGGCAGGGGCTCTGGAGTGGGTAGGGACAGAGTCTCCCTTATGCCTTGGGGGCCCTTCCCTAAGGTCCCTGCCATCCCCCTCCACAGCCCTCCAGTGCCCTGGCGGCCCTCAGCCCCAGCCGGGTGCTCTCCGTGTCCACCATCAGCTTTGGAACATTTTAACCGGCAGGGTAAGTGGGCTCCGTCCTGGCTGAGGAGGGCTGGGGACCCGGGAACTGGCCTCGGGGGACCCCGGTCTAAGCAGACCTCGCGCCTCTCCAGGGACATTTTGGCGTTTAGGGGGACGGTCTTGCACAGACAGGCTGGCTGGGCCAGGGGTCAGGTCAGAGAGGCTGCCGCACCCAGCCCAGCCTAGGGACACATGTCCATGGCTTTCAGGGCCCAGCTGACGTGGGAGGGCAAGGAACAGGAGGGAACATGTGTCCAGGCCTCTGAGATAAGCACCACCCTACCCTCGTCCCTGAAAGCCACATAGTGGCTTCTATGCAGGCTCCAGTGTTCTGGTCCTTTCTCTTCCTCAAAACCGGGCGGCCTTGGGCCAGCTCCCTGACCCCTCTGAGTCTCTGAGGAACGCGCGTGCTCTCGCTCCCCGCCTGGGGGGGTTCCTGGGAGAGCTAGCGAGTTCATGCAGGAGAAGCACTCAGCACTCAGCCCGCAGCCCGGCAGGCGCTCAGCTGCCACCCTCCACGTCCACAGGCCTTCAACAACACCTACCTTTTCTACGGCGCGTACCGGGCGGGGCCCGAGAGCAGCGCAGCCTACAGCATCCGCCTGGCCTACCTGCTGAGCCCGCTGGCCTGCCTGCTCCTCTGCTTCTGCGGGACGCTGCAGCGGTGAGAGCGGGCCCGCCGCGACCTCTTCATGGGGGCAGGGGCTCCCTTAGCGCGGCACCCCCCCCAGGCTGCGGGAGGGCCCTGGCCCTGTCCAACATAAGGCTCAGAGGTGCTTCCAGGGTCCAAGCTCTGTGTCCCCAGGGGCAGACCTCAGAGACAGGGTCACGGCCTCTCCTCCCGACACCCTGCCCAGGCCGGGCCAAAGCCTGCCCCTAGGGCTGCCAGGGGCTTCCCACCCCAAACCCAGAGTGGAGCCAAGGCTGCGGCTGGCAGGCGGGGCTTCCCTCCCCTCACGGGCCCTGGCCTCCTGCTCCTCCAGGATGGTCAAGGGGCTGCCTCAGAAGCTCTTCCTGGGTCAGGACTACAGGTCGCCTCTCAGTGCCAAGGTCTTCTCCTCCTGGGACTTCTGTATCCGGGGGCAGGGAGCGGCCACCATCAAGAAGCATGAGATCAGCAACGAGTTCAAGGTGGGCGTGAGGGTGGGCGTGCTGAGCAAGGGAGAGAGCAAGCGTGCCTGTGTGTGTGGCGTGGCTGTGGGGCTCACGCGTGCGCGCCGGGCGCCCCAGCCGGCCGCAGGGGCTGCACGAGTGTGCGGGCGCACACACTCGCTGGCTCGCCTGCACGGTGCGAGGCGGGGTGGTCTAGGTCACACCGGCCGCCAGGCCGGGGCCTGTCCCTGCCCTGGTGTCACCCAAACCCTGCCTAGCTCCCAGCAGCCTGTCTCCCACGGACAGCAACCACCCCCTCGCTGCACCACGGCGCCCGGGCCAGCCCTGGCTCTGCTTCCATACCCCCGACAGGTGGAGCTGGAGGAGGGGCAGCGCTTCCTGCTGAAGCAGCAGCAGACGCGGGTCCAGAGAGCCTGGCGCCTGCTCAGCTACCTGTGGGTCAACACCCTCATCGGGCTCTTGGTGATCGGGGCCATCAGCGCCATCTTCTGGGCCACCAAGTTCTCACAGGACAACAAGGAGGTGCCAGGCCACTGGCGTGTGTTTATTTCACCCTGGATGGAACTGTGGGAGGAGGCGGGAGGGCCCCCCTTTGCAGGTGAGGAAGCCGAGGCTCAAGGCAGTTAAAGCCGTGTGCCCCCGCTCACGGCCCGTGCAGACCAGCCCTCCCCATGGCTCTCTGTGGACACCGCGCTGCCCACGTAGCCGTGGGCTTCCCGCCACTGGGCTTGCCCCAGGGTTGCCCCGGGGGGCAGCGGGGGTGGGGCCGCTGGGGGGCCTCCAGCTCATGGCGCCCCTCCCCCGCCGCCCCAGTCCCTGTTCGTGCTGCTCCAGTACCTGCCCCCCGGGGTCATCGCCCTGGTCAACTTCCTGGGTCCCCTGCTGTTCGTGTTCCTGATCCAGCTGGGGAACTACCCTCCCAACACCGAGGTCAACCTCACCCTTATCTGGTGAGTGCCACCCGTGGGGCGGCGGGAGGGCAGGGCGGCGGGGGGGCTGCGAGGCGTGGCGCCTGCTGCTCATCTGGGGTCCCTCCTGACACCACGGGTCCCAAGCAAGGGAAGGCAGGGAGGCGCTTCCAGGACACACGCCGTCCGGGGGCCCTGCTCTGAGCGGCTCCAGTCCCCTTCCGGCCAAAGCGAGCCCAGCACCCGCCATTCGCAGCGGCCAGAGGCTGTGTTACCAGCTTCACACACGTAGGAACACCGGGAACGTGGGATGCACAGTTCCCATGCGCCCGAGGGCTTGCAGCCCTAACCTTGACAACCCTCGCGTGACCCGTGAAGTCAGAACCATGCCCATCATCCGCTTTGGACAGGGGAGAAAACTGAGGTCCTCGGGGACCAAGCGCCTCGGCCAAGGGTCGGCCCTCCATGCCTGCTGGGTGCGGGCTCAGGCGCCAGCCCCCGCTGCCCCATGCTCTGCTGCCTCCCCGCCCCTGGTAGGGCCCCGCCTGGGACCCACAGCCCCTCTTTGGACCCCCTCCCTGACCTGAGCTCCATCTGTCACCCCCCCCCCCAACAGAGGAACTGCTGCCAACAGCCCACCGTGCGCCAGAGCGACGGTGTGGACTTGGCCGTCTCCTGTGCGGCCCAGTGTGCACTTAGAATTCCTCAGGAATGTGCACACACGTGTTTGTGGTACAAGAGGCAGCGTAGGTGGGCTGGGTGCTGGCAGGCAGCAGGCGGAAGGGCGATCTCACCTGCAATAAGGGTGTGGAAGGCCCTCGAAGGCCTGGGAGTCTTTGAGCAGGGCGTGGGGAAGGGGTGGCTGGACTGGGCGGTGTTTCCCAAACTGATTTAAAAACAGAACCCTCTCCCATGAATCATCTGGAGACCAAGATTCCGGGGATCACACTTTGGATTTAGGGGGCGCTGGGCCCGAGAGACGCGAGCTGCTGCTGTTCCCAGCCACGCCTGCATCCTGGGTAGAGCATGCCCAGTACCTGGGCCCCTCCCCGACTCTGTCCCCACCCCCAGGTGCGTGGCGCTGAAGCTGGCCAGCCTGGGCATGTTCTCCTTCTCGCTGGGCCAGACCATTCTCTGCATCGGCAGAAACGAGACCAGCTGTGAGTCCTACGGCTACAACGCCTGTGACTACCAGGTGGCTGGAGGCTCCATCAGGGCTTGTCCCTTTGGGTGTCTGCCCCGCTCTTTGATCTCCTTGCCCCTTTGATCTCCTCTGTTCCTCTCCAGGCCTCGCCCTGGTGAGAGGCTGAGGGTGCAGCGTTCTGTACCACAGCAAACCTCCAGGGGGTGCTAGTTGCCTCCCGCTGCACTGTGCAGGCTGGCCGCCCTGGCCGCCCGGTTTCCCTGCATTAATTCTTATCCTTGAGGCCCAGACTGTGCTGTGTTTTATTTTTTGAGATTTTATTTATTTATTTTCAGAGAGAGGGGGAGGGATGGAGAAAGTCAGGGAGACAAACGTAGATGTGTGAGAGCAACATCGACTGGTTGCCTCTCGTACACGCCCCAACCAGGGACCAAATCCTGCAACCCAGGCACGTGCCCTGATGGGGAATCGAACCGGCCACCTTTTGCTCTGTGGTACAACGCCCAGCCCACTGAGCCACGCCGGTCAGGGAGCGGCCCAGGCTTCACCTTAGCAGTCCTATTAGACTTTAGCCGAGGCCCCCGTCCGCAGAGCCCCTCTCCCCGCACCCAACAGCAGGTGAGGGGTGGCTGGGACCGCGAGCGGTGACAGGGCCCTTCTACGACAGTGCTGGGAGAACTCGGTGGGCGAGGAGCTGTACAAGCTGAGCATCTTCAACTTCCTGCTCATGGTGGCCTTCGCCTTCCTCGTCACCCTGCCTAGGAGGTGAGCCATGGGGGGACCCGGGCATGTCTGGGACAGCCGGTGGCTGCAGCCAGGGGTGGGCAGCTCTCCGTGTGTGTTGTCCATGTGACTGAGAGCGGGACCGTCCATCGCCGTGGGTGTGATGGGCGTGGTCCTCATGCCCCGGGCGGTGACACCCGGACACCCCTGGTGTCCAGGCTGCTGGTGGAGCGACTCTCAGGCCGGTTCTGGGCCTGGTTGGACCGGGAGGAGTTCCTGGTGCCCAAGAACGTGCTGGACATCGTGGCAGGGCAGACGGTCACCTGGATGGGCCTCTTCTACTGCCCCCTGCTGCCCCTGCTCAACAGCATCTTCATATTCCTCACGTTCTACATCAAGAAGGTGTGGCTCACCGGCTGGGAGGGACCCGGGCGCACCCAGGCGGCCCCGAGGCGGGGCTCCCGTCCTGCCTCGGCCCCCCAGGCCCCACGCCGGGTGTCTGCAGGCGGGGCTAACGCACCCGCCGCTGTTGCTTGCCCCCCAGTACACCCTCCTGAGGAACTCCAAGGCGTCCCCGCGGAGGTTCCGGGCCTCTAGCTCCACCTTCTTCTTCCAACTGGTGCTCGTCCTGGGCCTGCTCCTGGCGGCCGTGACCCTGGGCTATGTGGTCAGCAGGTGAGGGGAGTGGGGGGCCAAACCTGAGCGATGGGTGGGGGCAGCTCCGCTCTGGGGCCCTGCCAGCAGCCCCACCCTGGCTCTCTCTCCGCAGCATCCGCTCCTCCTGGGACTGCGGCCTCTTCACCAACTACTCGGCCCCCTGGCAGGTGGTCCCAGAGCTGGTGGCCCTCCAGCTGCCACCCCTTGGCCAGCGCGCCCTCCACTACCTGGGCTCCCACGCCTTCAGCTTTCCCCTCCTCTTCCTGCTCAGGTGCCTCTCAGGGTGGGGGGTGGGGAGCGGTCAAGGGAGGGGGTACCTAGGAGTAGGCGTTCTGCCATGGGCGTCCCCAGCCAGGCTCATGGCTGCGGGAGCCAGGGAAGGAGAGCCCAGTGAGGCGGGGGTCCAGGATACGGAGCGTGAGGCCCAAGGCAGGCAGCCCCGGGGGTTCCTTCTGTGCCCACGCGCAGCCCCGGGGGCCTCGCCTGACCGCAGAGCCTGGTGCACTGAAAACCTGCAGGGCTTCTTGTTATGGGTCAGAGGAGAGGGGTCCCGCATGGCGGGAGGAAGGAGCGGTGAGAGGGAGCTGGGCCTGCGCACCTCGCAGAGAGAAGACCCCCGGGGTGGTTTTAAGAGACTCGGGAGAGGAGGGAGGAAGTGGGGGGTGACTGACCTTGGATCCCTCTCTGTCCAAAGCCTTGCCCTGACCGTATGCGTCTCCCAGTCCCAGGCCAAGGCGAGGGCCATCCAGGGGCTCCGGAAGCAGCTGATGTGGGTGAGTGTCCCTAGGCTGCGAGGGGCCACTGACGGAGAGCGAGACACTGTCCGGGAAGTGTGGTCTGAGGCTGGGAGCAGAAGCAGGGAGGGGGTCAGGGGCACGGGGTAGGCGTGGCCTTACAGAGCCAGACAGAGCCCTGTGGTCCTAGATTTGGGGACAGTGTTTGATCCGCCTGTGCCTGAGGGCGGGCCCGGCCCCCGTTTGGGGCGTGGCTTCGACCCGGCTAAGGCGAGACCCCGACGAGAGTTCTTGAGAGGGAACGGTACTTCACGGGGGCGTGGCCACCTGGGGCCGGGGCAGGGTTGGAGGGCGGGGCCTCTTACGGACGCGGGGCTTGCGGTGGGACGGGGTCTCAAGCGGAGGGAGTGCGGGTAGGGACCCGCAGATTCGCAGCGGGGAGGCTGACGGCTCCGGGGCCTGGCCCGCCCGTGGGCAGGCGCAGCTCTTAATCGGCCGGTCGCTCCCCTGCAGCAAGTCCGGGAGAAGTGGCACCTGGTGGAGGACCTGTCGCGGCTGCTGCCAGAGCCAGGCCTTGGTGACTCTCTGGGGCCCGAGTCCCCTCTCTCTCGATCTTCGCGCCCACCGTCCTTCTGCCCCGGATTCCCGTGCCCGGGCTCCCCGGACCCCAGGGCCCCCAGGCCCTGACCCTCCCGTAGAGCCTCCCTGTAGAGTCAGCTTCCCGGCAGTGCGGAGCCCCAACCTGCAGCCCGCCCCGCGGCTCCAGATCACCCCTTGCGCGACGCTCCTGCCGGTGACCACGGCCCCTCCGTGGGCGCCCCAAAGCGGGGTTCGCACCCCCAAAGGCAGTAGGAGGACAACATGGAAATTTGTGTTTGTAGTTTATTTTACCTTCCTTCTTTAAATTTTCTGTGTGGTTGCTTTTCTTAAAATGTACATAATGTATTAGTCTAATAACCATGAATACAGTGTCTAAACATACCTCCGTTGGGAGTGCCGTGGTAAGATTGGAGGGTCCCCACCTGTGGGGAGGGACCACCAGGCCACGGTCAGAGCTCACCCGCACGGGGGCGCGCTGAGCTCTAACGCACACCTTGCCACAGCCTCCGGCTCTTCCTTCTTCACCACCCGTGAGAGAGGCGAGATCCACGGGGGCGCGGCCAGCCCGGGGCACAGCGGGGACGGAACCCCGCCTCCCATCCCTGAGCCACCCCGCACCAGCGTGGGCCTTCGCAGCCATTCTCTCCCCCCCGCCCCGCCCCCGACCCCAGTGGCTTACCGGCCTCAGCTGCATCAGCAACAGGGCCTGAAGTCAGCCCCTCCCTGGCGAGACTCCTTGTGGCCCTGCACTCTAACCCCGCAGCGCCGTGCCAGGCAGCGCCGTGCCAGCAAACGGGCGCTCCTCGGGAACCAGCTGGCAGCCAGGGCCGTGCCTGCTGCAGGACCCGCCCCACAACCTCCCTGTGTTCCCCGCCTTGAGCCGACCTCGAGGAATGGTGGGGGTGAGGCTGTGCCGCCAGGGCCTGGAGGGGGCGGGGCTGGGGTGCCACCCAAGGCCAGGTATGTGATTCCTGAGCCTGCTGGAGCTTCCTTTTCGAAGCCCGAGGCTGCAGTGGCTCTAAATCCATGGGCCTGGGCCTTGGAGCTCACCCGAGATGCTGGCAGAAGCTGGCTCTGGGCCGGCAACTCCGATGCGGGTGGAGCCAGCAGCCAGGCACCTGCTCTCTGGAGGCCGCCGGTGACTTACCACAGCCAGGGCTGAGGACAGCTGGTCCAAAGGCCCACCGAGGGGAGTGGTCAGGAGAAATCGAAGACCTGCTTGAAAAGCTCCCACCTCCACCAGGGGCCCAGTGCCTGCCTGGACCGCAGGCCTGGACCTCGGTCTGGGCTGACCAGCGCCCTCAGGCCAGCGACATCACACGGTCCCTAAAGGGTCGGCTCATGAGCGCCTCCTGTCCCTGTCCTCCCTCACTCACCCAGCATCACAAGACCAATCAGTCTGTCAACACAAGCTGCTCCAGGGTGGCAATGAGCCTCCCTGGGAAGCAGAGCTCTGTGCCCAGGCGAGGGAGGGCCACTGCCTGGCCCCCAGGGAGGTGACACCTGTTAATTAGCAGCTTAGGGCCAAGGCGAGGCGCCCCTCCCGCAGCCTCAGCATTCCCTGGGAACGTGTTAGAAATGCTCATTCTCAGGCCCCCCGTGGCCTCCTAAATCGGAAACTCCAAGGGTGGGGGGCCCAGCGGGGAGTCCCTGGGATGGCGACCGGCGCTAAAGTGAGCGAACCACCGCGCAGACCCATCAAAGTGCTTCACTCGTCCCCTTCACGTGCCGCCGCCCTGGGAGCCGGGAGAGAGGAGGCAGGCTCGGAGGCCAGGGGACCCGCCGACCCTGGGCCCCGGCCACCTCTGGGTGACTGTGAGGATTACATGCGCCGTCACTTACACAGTGTCTGGATGGGTACCTTGCCCTTCCTAGGAGTGTGGCCCCTCCCCGCTCTGAGCTCAAGGGCGGCACTGGAGCACGGTGCCCGCCTGAGCACACGCCTGGGTTTACCAGGCGCCCCGCCCAGTCTGAGGTTAAATCTGGGGGCTGAGCCCAGCACTGGCCCCCTAACAGGCGCCCAGAAGGTGGTCATGAATGAACCAGCGCGAGACAGGTGGAAGGCACCTCTCCGCCTGCCTCCCTAACGGGGGCCCAGCCCACCGTTCTCCTGCGCGTGCGGCAGGCCCACCCCCGCACAGAGCGGAGCTTTGGAAGGATGCTTGTGATTACAGCGTGTCCACTCCAATCAGCTAGGATAAACCCCCACCTCAAACTTTCCAGGTTAACAAACTCACGTCCTCCCTTCCAGGGGGCATCTCCCTGCCCAGCAAGCCCCGGGGCCGCCGCCCGCGGGGGCTGAGTCGTGGCCCTATGGGCTCCCGGGCCCAGGCACCTCCTCATTGCCTGCAGGGCAGGGCGGGGCGGGGTCCGCGGCTCCGGCCCGGCCCTGGCTGCGGAGGCCTCTGGGTTATCTCCGCGCCGCAGGGAGCACCCTGGGAGTCCCGGGGTGGAGGCGGCCCCGACGGGGGAGCTCTATCGAGCGGAGCAGACGCCCCGCGCCGACAGAGGCATGAGGCCCCTGCTGCTGCTGCTCTGGGTGGCCGCGCTGGGTGAGCTCACGGCGGTGTCTGGGACGGGGGTCGCTGTGCCCAGGGTGCGGGGCGCTGGGGCGCAGGACAGGTGGGAGCTGAAGATAACAGACTCCCCGGGAGGCGCGGGAGGCGGGGGGCGGGTTTGGGCTTCAGTCTCAGCCCAGCCCCGCAGCACAGGGGGCCTCACACCGCCCCTCTCTCCCGGCCCACTGTGCACCCGTCTGCAAAACGGGCCGATGGCATCAACTGTGGGCGTGGAAGAGGTTGCGTGAGCGAAGAGGCGGGAGGCGCCCCCGGCCCCCACCTGGCCATGGGAGAGTCTCGCTGTGGGGGCTCCGGCCTCCTCCCCCGACCTGCCCCACCCCGCGGGGGGCCTCTTACCACCCTCCGCCCCCCCCATTACAGCCCCCAGCAGCCTCTTCGGGAAGCAGGAGACAGGTGAGCCGCCCGGCGGGCTGGAGGGAGGGGCCCCCGCCGTGCTGGTCCCTTGGCTGGGGGAGGTCCCAGCTGGTGGGGGGGGTGTCAGCTGATGGACAATTGGATGATTCTAAAACCCCCCCATCCCCTGGCCCCTCAGGGCCCGGGTGGGGGGAGTGGAGAGGAGAAGGCTGGGACAGAGCGGAGGCCTCCAGGGGACTTGGGGCGATGAAACTTCCCGTCGGGCTGCGGGGGCGGGGAACTGCAGGTGAGGGGGCAGGCTGGCGTGCCCCTGGCCCGGCCTATCCCAGTCATGCTGCCCCAGGTGCCAGCCACAGAGCCGCAGCTCGGCGGGGAGCCTGCAGCTCTGCGGCGTGGGCGCTGCCCCAGGGGGGCTGGGGCAGTAGGCGGGGGCGCGGTGGGTGGGGCGCCAGGCGGGAGGCTTGGGGTCTGCTCTCCTGGAGCCGGGGCCGGAGGCACAGCCCCAGGGGGAGGAGACAGCCTCGGTGAGGCCCTCTGCCCCTCCGCCCTTCTGCCCCCCTCCCTTCTGTCCTCTCTCCTGTGCCCCTTTCTAGCCCTGTGACCCTTATTGACGGTCAAGGTCATGGGTGGCCTCGTCCACTCCTGTCTCCGAGGCCGGGGAGCTGCCCTTCCTCCCTGTCTGGTCCCAGGGTCAAAGAGCCGACTTCCGCCTCTGTTACACCGGGCACCGAAGGCAGCACAGGCTGAATTGTCATTTCCTCATTTGCTTTAAAAACAGACACATTGTGGTGTTTTCTTTGCTTAAAACAAAAGGGTGGGGCCTAGCTCCTCACAGGGCAGCAAACCTGTGAGGAGCTAGATGGGCTGGTCCCTCCCTCCTTGTCCCCTGACTTGGCTCACTCTGGCCCAGCAAGTCGTGCGAACTGAAGTCCTAGGAGCCCAGCTGGCAAATCTCTCTCTTTCTCCCCCTCTTTCTTTCCTCCTTTCCTCCTTTCTTGCTCTCATTCATTTACTGAACACGCACCAGCGGAGAGTGCCCTGCTTTTTGGTGCTGGGCCCTGCTTTGGGCCCCAGGAGGAACACACAAGGCACAGAAACGAAGCAACAATCCCTGCCCTCAGGTGGCGTCCATTCCCGAGGGGCCAGGCGGGTGGGTGATTGTAGGACTGCGCACACTCTCCAGGGTTCCAGGATGTCATCTGTCCTAGAGAAAAGCAAACAATAGGAGGGGAGAGCGGGCACGGGTGGGGGTGGGGCAGGAGGGCCGTGTTTACTGGGACGTTCACACTGAGAAGGCGGCACCCCAGCAAAGACACGCAGAGCAGGACGTGCCTGGGCAAGGGCCTGCGAGGCCCGAGCACAGGAAGCGGGGGCCGGGGGCGACGCCGGGAGAGGTCCTGGGGTGGAGAGGGCTGGGGAGGGGGGACCTAGCTGCGGGAGGGTCTGCACAGATGAGACGGGTCTGACTGAGCCCTCGGGGGTCCTTTCGGCTGCTGTGTGGAGAGGAGAGCGCTGGGGACGCGGGGACAACCCCAGGGAGCCATTAGGCTGTCCCTCGGATCCAGAGGAGGGACCGTGACAACGGGGAGAAGTGGCCGGGACGTAGCGTGAGGCTCAGGCCGGCTGCACTCCTGGCGGACGGGTTAGAGGCAGGGCGTGGAGGCCGAGGCGCAGCCTTACGGTGGAGAGGGCGTCAGCGGGGCGAGAAGCGGCACAAAGGACACGCATGGTAAGGAACTGGGGAGCCAAGACGAGGCAAAGGTTATCTGCGCATATTTTGAAACTCCCAAGAACAATGCAGGGGCAGCGTTGAGGGTAGTCGGGCGCCGCTGCGCCACGGGGCCCGTTCTGAGACCCGGCCGCGGGGTAGCTCTGTCGGGCAAACGTCCCAGAGTGCGCGCGTGACACCTGGACGGCTCGGCCCCCCGCCACGCCCCAGCCACATGGCGGAGCCTCCGGTCCCGGCTCCAAGCCTCTGCAGCACGTGCCTGCCCAGAACAGCAGGAGATTAAATCAAGCAGGAGAGAAAGTGACGCAACCGAGGTGCAGCCGACACCGGCTGGGTGAGCGGCCTGGCAGCAAACGCTGTCAGTGGAGAGAGTGCGCGCGAAAGGAACGACAGCGCGGGTAGCGTCGTGACTGCGTACGTCGGAGACAGGCGTGTGTTATCGTTATCAAGCATCGCACGCGGCCCGTGTCCGTACGTGCTGTGCTTTCACACGGTGGGGAGCGCAGTGGGTTCGTTTACACTGGCGTCACCACCAACAGGCGGGCAACGCGTTGAGCTGCGAGGATAAGACAGCCGCCCTAATGTCGCCAGGTGATGGAACCTTTCTGTTCTGTCACGCTCTTAGGGGGCTGCCACGGTATATGGGGGTCTGTCGTTGACCGAAATGACCTCTGCGGCACATGACTGTGGTAGAAGCCAGGGGCAAGAACCTCCAAGGGATGGTGGGCGTTTCTAGGTCATTGTAACCCAGAGGGCGGGGTGCGGGGGACGTTTGAAGACAGGAGGCTCAAGGCCTGTGTTTAGGGAGGAGCGAGGAGGGAGAACAGCCCGGAGTATCAGGAGGATGTCCAGGCTCGTGGTCCCGGTCGGCGCTGGGCAGGCTGTGGAGGCCCAGCGCTCTGAGACGGACGCCGGGTAGGCCTCTGAGGCGGGCGCTGGCCTCCGCCGGGCGTGGGAGCTGAGGAGGTGAGAGGGCTCAGGCCCCAGAGGCCGGGGTTTGCCTGCGTCTTTTTGGAAGGCACAGCCCTGGGCAGGTAGGCTGCTCTTTCGAAATCAGATCCCTGGGCCCAGAGTGAGGTCTCACAGGTTGGCCCTCTAGGGTTGGGACTGAATCTCCAAGCTCCTGGCGACCACAGAGACAAGTGTGCAGAGAGGGGCGACCCCAGGGCCCGCTGGGCCGGGGCACCAGCCACGCATGTCTGACCGTCTTCCTTCAGCCGCAGAGGGAGGCGCTGCCCAGCCGCCCACGTAGCCTGACCTCCCCTCGGCTTCCAGTCCCAAGGGCAGCCTTATTGTCACATCATGAAATTTTGAGTGTGCCATCCAGTCATTCAAATGTTCTGACACCCTTGATGAATTTTAAATTAAATGCTAGGCCACTCGTTAGCGGTGGGCTGGATGTGTATGCTAAGTAACCCGCAGGGAAAAACCCACAGGAGCCTGGTGAGAATCAAAAGTGAGGGCCCCACGCACAGTCTGTGAATTTATGTAAATCGAGCTTCTATTAATGGTGCCGAAATGGAAATGAAGGTGGGCCAGCTTTTTCCTTTCACTCTTGTAAGTCAAGGCCCTCTCCCGCACCTCAGGAGCAAAACGGGAAGTGTGGCCCTACCTCTGCCCCAACGCCGCCTCCGTCCAGAGGAGGACCTGGCCCAGAGGCCTTCCGGCAGAGACTGGGAGCCGCGCCTTGGCCCCAGGGTCGCACTGGAGAATTGTTAGTAGCAATTTGCAAAACGGTGCCCCAAGAGCCAGAGCCGGCAGCTTCAGCTGTAGATAGAGCTTTACGGGTGCCAACGCCAGATTCCGCATGAAAGGCCCGTTTCCTGAAAGATGGCCGTCCTCACGAGGTTTAGCAAAGGGTGCAGGTGAGAAAGCGTCTGTGGGTGACAGTGACCCTGGACAGAGCGGGGCGCAGCAAGCTGCCTGCACTGCCGCCGCTCAGCATCGCTCCCGCTGACGCCGGGGCGGGAGGGGCCGTCCTGCGGGCCGTGCTGGGCCCTGGAGGGGGTTGCGCGACCTCCCCGGCCCCTCCCCCCACCCAGATACCAGGAACACTCTCCACTTGTGACACCAAAAATGTCTGCAGGCACAAAGGTCCCTGGAGACAAAATCGCCCTGGGTGAGAGCCACTGGTCTCGAAAGAAGTGGGAGAGAAAGTGGGGAAATGTGTCCTGGGAAATGGGTCTGGAGGCCCCGCAGTCCAGTCTGTTCCGGCTCTGGTTCTCGCTCGGGAGCGGCTGGCTGATTGCAGGCGCTTCTAAAGCCGGCATGCCCAGCAGGCGCGGAGGATGCGCGAGGCTGTGACACTGGACACTTCCCTCCACCCCTGCCCAAGCACTGCCCCTACACTAGTCTTGAAAATCACCACTAAGAATACGCCCCTCTTGCCCTGACCAGTGTGGCTCAGTGGGTTGGGTGTCCTCCCACAAAGCAAAAGGTCAGTGGTTCGATTCCCGGTCAGGGCACACGCCTGGGTTTCAAGTTCAGTTCCCATTTGGGGTGTGCGAGAGTCACCCGATCAATCGTTCTCTCTCGCATCGATGTTTCTCTCCCTCTCTTTCTTCCCCCCTTCTCTTCTCTCTAAAAATAAATTTAAAAAAATAGAGAGAGAGAACATACCCTCCCTCTCTCCCAAAGGCAGCTTTGTTTAAACCCCATCGCTGTTACACCACAGACTGCAGGGGAGGCCCGACAGGAGATCTTAGAGATGTCGTCTGCATCCATAGCGACTCCAGGATCTGCCTCCAAAACAGAAAGTGACCTCCAAGCACAGAGGAGGCCCAGGTGGAGGAACACCTGCTCGGGGCAGCTGGGGGCGGGTTCCGATCTGGGTCTGGGGAGGTGAGGCCTCTGGGCGCTGGGCTCTTGCCGCCTCCTTCCGAACGCCCTGCCCGAAGCGGCGTCTTACTTCCAGTTTGGTGCGCCCCCCTCCGAGGCTGAGATCCTGTGCTGTAACCTCCGGTGGACCTGCCCACGCCACCTGTGCCCGTGCCTTCTGACTGTCCCTCTAGACCAGGTGCTGACCTCTTGGGGATCTGGGCCGGGCCGCTGCCCCTGCACCCCAGACCCCATGGCGGGTCCGACAGGCGGAGTCTCGGCTCTGTGCTGAGGCGGGCATTTGAGTTCCCCCGGGCACTGCCATCGGGGGCCCGGTCTACTTTGTCCCTCGCTCATCCCCACCCCTGTGAGGACATCCCCAGCTCGGTGCGTCCTCCAGGAACGCCGGGGCCCTGTGGGGCAAGACGCCTTTATCAAATAAGGAGGTCCCTGGACCGAGAATGCAGGCCACACTTCAGCTTGTCACTGGACAGCAACTGCCTTGTCATTGAAGTGAGCCACGCAGCTGACAAACAGTAAACTTCTGGTCTCCTCCCTTGGGCCAGGGGCACAGCGAAGGGCCAGAGTGACGCGGCGCGTCCCCGCGGCGCACGCCTGGTGGCCCGGGGGTCCAGCGTCAGCCTCCTAACCTGTGCCCCACCCCACACTTGTCCTGGCTTCCGACTCCTGCTCTGATCTCATTTTGTTTTGATAGCAAAACCTTCCGTTTCTTTTTCTTTTCTTAAAAAAGAGTCGAGGTGAAATTCCCGTGACAAATTGGGCCATTTTAGAGTGACAATCAGTGGCATTTCGCACACTCGCAATGTTGTGCAACCACCCGCCCTCCGCGTCCAGACGCCCCGTCGCCCACGAGGAAGCCCCTGACCCGCTGCGCGGTTGCCCTCCGCCCCCGCCTGCCCACCACCGACCCGCCTTCTGCCTCTGGATGCTCCTGCTCTGGAATCTCACAGCAGTGCAGTCATATACGGTGTCGCCCTCTGTGGCCCCTGTCGCCGGCGTGGCGTCTTCCAGGTTCCTCCAGGGTGTACGGGTGCCAGTCCTTCACTCTCTTCTCGCGGCAAGTGCCGGCCGCTGTGCGGCTGGGCCTTCCTTAACGTGCGCCTTCATCCGCAGGCAGATGGGGCGGGGACGCGGCTGGCCTCCTGGTGGCTGTGAATAGTGTTCTGGGAACCCGGGTGCCCACGCGTCTCTTCCAGCCCCTGTTTTCAGTTGTCAGTGTGTGTCTAGGAGCCGATCTAGGAGTGTGTCTAGGAGCGGGATTGCTGGGTCGTGGGGATTCCTTGTGCAGCTTTTTAAAAAACCGACACTCCAGCATTTTCTGAGCGTGCTTGACAAATGTCGGTTTCCTTCCTCCTTCGGGCCACCTCGCAGCAGTCCTCCCCAAGGTCTCCATTGACTACCGAGTCCTGGAGGTCTTCCCCCGGGGCCGCCGGGTGCAGATAACCTGCCATGCGCCCAGGGTGCCCCCGCCCCTCACCTACTCCCTCTGGGGCAGCCAGGACGTCGAAGTGACCAAGAAGGTGGTGAACACCCACGGCCCAGCCTCCTTCGGTGTCAACGTCACGTTCAAGTCCAGGCCAGACCTGCTCACCTATACCTGCCAGGTGGCCACCCCCTGGGGCATGCAGGCAGCCAGCACCAAGCTGCAGATGTACTGGGAGCTGTGGGCCAGTGAGTCTGTGGGCAATGGGGAGGGGCGTGCGGGGCGCCGGGTCTGGGAGCTCAACGGGGGGTTCCTGGGGTAAGGAGCGTGGGGGCTGGCGGAGCCTCGCAGCCATATCTGTGCTTCCCGCCCCGCCCTGCCAGAGCCCGTGTCCCAGGTGCGAGCTGACTTCACCCTGCTGGACGGAGGGTCAGGCCCGAGGGTGGAGGTGTCCTGCCAGGTGTCCTCGGGCAGCCCGCCCATCACCTACAGCCTGGTCAGCAAGGACGGGCGCGTCCACATGCAGCAGAGGCCGCCCCATGGGCAGCCGGCCAACTTCTCCTTCCCGCTGACCCAGGCGTCCGACTGGCTCCAGTGCCAGGCCTCCAATAACGTCAGTGCCCAGAGCAGCCCCCTCACCCTGGTGCCCCCAGGTGAGAGGGCCCTTTGGTTTCCAGAGGGGCAGCGGGCACTTCCGCACGGGAAGGGGGGAGGCGTGAGAGCAGGGAAGGGCATGGGGAACAGCCACGCCTACCCTGGCCCTCCCTGCCTCCGTCCTAGGACAGCTGCCCAAGGGACCCACCTTCGTGCTGGCTGCCAGCCTCAGCTCCATCACAGCTATCACCTCCGGGATGCTGGGCTGGACCGCATGGACCAGGTAGGGAGCAGGTGCTGGGGATGGGGGAGGGGTGGGAAGGGCTGGTGGCCTGTGTGGACCAGCAGAGGCCCTGGCTGGAGAGCAGAGGGCGCTGGGTTTGTAGGACAGGGCCACCACCAGGCAGAGAAAGGGCCACATCGCCTGTGTGTAGCTTGCAGAAGTTTGTGAAGGGCCTCCTGTGTGTCACGTGCCTGCTGAGGGCTTGCTGATTCGTGCTTCCTGTGACCCTGACCACAGATCCCTGCCGTCCTGCCCTGCAATGTGGCCCACTGGCCTCTGGGTGGGGCACTCTCCTGTGTTCCTTATGGGACTGAGCAGGGACATTGGCATGGGGACAGGCCTCCTGGGACCACGGTGGGTCAGGGGCCTCTGCCCTACACCACAGGGACCCTAGAGGTTGCTGCTTCCCAGCTGGGGACAGGAGGCAGGGGTCAGAGCCCCCAGGGTCCCCTCTCCAACGCCATCATTTCCTGGCTTGTAAAGCGCTCAGCGTCTGAGGGCTCCCTGCGTGCCCCCCACCCCGCTGCCGTCTGACCTGGGGCGGCAGTCGCCTCTGCCCTGCTAACTAACTCCTCGCCTCCCTCGGTTCCTAAGACGCTGCCTCCTGCCTCTGCCCCTTTGGCAGGCATTGTCCAGGAGTCCGTCCTCAGCCCTCTCCTTGTCTCATCTCGGGGTCCCCTCCTCCAGGGCCAGGCCCAGGGGCACAGTCTCACATCTCTGGGCCTCAGTTCTTCCTCACACAGAGCGGGGCTCCAAGTCCTTCCTCCCACTCAGCGCAGGACCGGGGCCCAGCACTTGCCCTCTGGGTGACTCAGGGCCCCTTTTCATTTCGTGGGGTGACTAAGCCACATGCCCCTCCCCCTTCCCAGGGCATGGATGCGCTTGGCACCATAAAATCCCAAGAGGCCTGGGGAGGGGTGGCTGGAAGGTATGCTTGCCCTGGGCTGGAGTCTCACCTCCTTTGTCATCCAGGTTGTGACCGGAAGTTGCAAGCTCAGCAGAGTCTCCCAGGAAAGCCCCTGTCCTTGTCCCCTGCAGAAGGACCCACCATTCAAATGAAGAACAAGCCCGCCAGCCTGGACTCCTGGGGCGCTGATGCTCCGCGGGGGCGATTCCAAGGAGAGTGGGAGGCTGTGGAGGGGAGAGGGGGCCCACAGGGCAGAGGGGCTCCCCGCAGGGCCCTGTCCTCGCCCCCCAGCTGCTCACCCCCGTCCGTGCCAGCCTGGGAAGGGGGGCCGGAGAGGGCCCAGCTGCACCCCCACCCAGGGCCTCCCCCTCATCGGCTCCCCTCTTCCCTGGAGTGGCACCCCATCTCCTGGTGGCCCAGTCCTCTGGCTCCACCGACTGATGTGCCAGCTCATCGGGGAGGACTCGGCCCCCCGGCCAGCCCCACCTCATTAACCTTATGTGCAGCTGCAAAGGGGGTCTGGGATTCCTCCGCCCTCAGCCTGTGCCCCCCACTCCGGCCCCGAGAAGGCCCCCTCATCCCCTCACAGAGCCTTTCCTGTTCAGATGCTCTGAACCATTTCAGTAAAGAACTGGATTAGATCTGGCTGGTGTGGCTCAATGGATTGAGTGCCAGGCTGTGAACCAAAGGGTCGCTGGTTCGATTCCCAGTTGGGACACATGTCTGGGTTGTGGGCTGGGTCCCTGGCTGGGGGCACGAGAGGCAACCACACATTGATGTTTCCTTCCCTCTCTTTCTCCCTCCCTTCCCCTCTAAATAAGTAAATGCATACATACATACATACATACAATCTTTAAAAAAAAAAACAAAAACACAACTGGGTTAAACTCTGTCCTCCTGCCTGTCACGCTGGAAATCTGCTTCTGGCTGCAGGACATCCTGGAGCCTGGAAGTCTAAAGTCACATTGTCTCTCACAACCTGAGGTTGGGACCCAGCGCCGGGAGAACTGGAGGGAGGAGGCCAGTCCCAGCTCCAACCCAGACTTAGCTCTGGAGAGGAGGGAAGCTCGTCAGGCCAGGCAGGGCGGGGTCCAGGCTGAGGCCTGGGGTGAGGCCTGGGGTTCTGGGTGAAATGCGAAAGCGAGTAGTAGGTGTGCGGCAGCCTGGGCCCTGGTCGGTGCGTCTGGCGGGCTTCCTGCAGGAGGAGGCAAACGTGCTGAGCGAAGGGTGGGCGGGGCCGAGGGCAGGGCCCCCTGGGGACTCTCCGGCTCCTTTCAGGTCGTGCCGCGGGCCGGGGGCTGGCCGATGAGCGCTCGGCAGCTGGACGGATGTCCGCCGCGGAAAATGGCCTTGCAGTCCCGGTATCACGCCGCCGCTCGCCGCCAGCCGGCACTTTGCCCTCGGTCCCTGACGCCGCGATGGCCACGCCCCTGGGCGGGGCCTGGGCGGGACGGCCGGCTGGTTCCTTAGGCGGTCGGTAGTGGCGACGGTGACGGCGACGGCGACGGCGGCGGCGACATGGAGAGCGGGGCCTACGGCGCGGCCAAGGCGGGCGGCTCCTTCGACCTGCGGCGCTTCCTGACGCAGCCGCAGGTGGTCGTGCGGGCTGTGTGCATGGTGAGTCGGCGGGGCGCGGGGACCCAACTCTGCCCCAGGCCCCGAAGTGGCCGCGACAGGTGGCAGCGGCCGAGGGCAGCGGGGCGGGAGGCGGCGCGTCGGGCCGGCGCACGGAGCCAGACTCGTTATCTCCTAATCCCCGGGCTCGGCCACCCCCGACCCCACCCCTGGCCCCGGGCGCCCCCTACCCACCCGGGGGTCTGTGCGCGGGGTGGCCCGCATGGCGCCGTGGGGAGCAGGCCCGTGTCCCTGCTGGCAGTGGGAGGAGTTTGGGGCAGCTCCAGGACAGGTGGCCGGCACTCAGCACTCGGGAGACTGCATGTTGGGAACTCACCTGGAAGGCGGTGGGGGTGTGGGGGTGTGGGGGTGGCCTAGCCCTGAAACAGGATCTCCTTTCCAGGCAGGAGTAACCTACAGATCTGCTTCCTCACTCACGATCGGGTGACTCTAGGACATACCCCTCCCCATGAACTGGGCGGGCCCTCCAGCACCGGCTACGGCCGGGCGGGAGAGTAGGGGGTGCGTCCCATGTTCCTGGACCACCAGCATATCCACAGCTGGACAGGGAAGTCAGGTAGTAGGCCGGGCCGGAAGTGCTCGCACACACCTGCCGGGCACTGAAATCTTCTGAGGGGCCCTGGTAGCACCCATGCCCGCGCCCTGCCTGGCTGTAGGGTCTGAGCCCAGGAGCAGAGATGTGTGTCGGAGCAGCAGTGCCAGGAGCTGGGCCTGGCACTGCTGCTCCCAGCATCCCGGAGTTCCGGCTACATCTCCAGCTGGGGGTGGGGCCTCTGACTGCCTGCTCCAGAGCCTCGGAGAGGGCCTCGTGCAGGCGTGCTGGGTGGGGCCTAGGAGAGGCCTGGGTGCGGCCCAGAGGGAGCCAGGTGTCCAGGCAGGCAGTCCTCCCTCTGCTGCTTGGGCGGAGATGGGCGGTGGCCTTGAAGTTCGGGGAGGAGACCAGGTGACGGGAGGCTGTTCCCAAGGGCCTGGAACCACTCCTGAAGCACCCCCCCACGCCCACCGCAGCCCCTTCGCTGCTCTGAGTGCGCCGGTGTATCCACAGGCCCGCCGGTCAGCCCAGCCTGGAGTGCCCGGTGTGCTCAGAACCCACTTTGAGTGGGAGGCAGACCGGAGCTTCCTCGGAGGGGAGGGGCCCGGACGCGGAGGAGGCCGGGATTCCTTGTTGGAAGAAAGCCGGCCAAACCGGGAGGCCAGCCCGGGCGGGGAAGTTGGAGGGGCCCGCAGGTGGGGTCTTCCCGCGCAGAGTGCACGGGCATGGCTTTCCGGGGAGCGGGGAGTCTTCCATGATGGGAACATGCAGGCGGAGAGGTTGGGCGCTGTAGAGGCAGGAGACCCCCGCGGGTGAGCAGAGCTGAGGCCCCACACCTGAGTCTCTGTGCTTTTGTGGCTCTTCGTGTTGAACACTCGCTGACAGGGGAGGTGCGTGAGCCGCCCTGAACCCCCATCAGGGACAACCACAAAGGCCCTTCTCAGCAGGCTGCTGGGGCAGGGCAGCCCCCACCCAGGAGAGCCCCACACTTTCCTGGCTCACCTCAGGCCAGGAATCCCCGGCGGCTGATCTCAGAGAGGGCCTGAGAGAAGGGAGAAGTGAGAATGAGTGCCCTGCGCTCTGGGAAGCAACTCAGCTCGCTCCCCAAGATCAGAAGGGGTTTTGAAGCCAGTTTCCCAAAGGGGAACAGCGGCCGCAGAGCGGCCAGGGTCCCCCGCGCTGTGTGCCCGCGGGGGTTGTGCCCGCGCGGGTTGTCCGTGGCCGCTGAGCCCCACCCTGCCTCGGCCCCCAGGTCTTCGCGTTGATAGTGTTCTCCTGCATCTTCGGCGAGGGCTACAGCAACAAGCACGACTCCCAGCAGCTGTACTGCGTGTTCAACCACAACGAGGACGCCTGCCGCTACGGCAGCACCATCGGGGTGCTGGCCTTCCTGGCCTGCGCCTTCTTCTTTGTGGTTGACGTCTACTTCCCCCAGATGAGCAACGCTACTGACCGCAAGTACCTGGTCATCAGCGACCTGCTCTTCTCAGGTATCTGCCCAGGGCCCCTCCGTTGCTCTCAGGAGGTAAATCGGAGCAGACGGCATCCCCAGAAGCTCTGGGGCTCCAGGATGGCAGGGCCTGGGCGCCCCCGGGAGGGGCCGGGGGGGCGCAGGGTCCTGGTCGAGCAGACAGGCTCGTGCACAGGATTTCTAACCATCCAAAACCCGCTGGCGTTGAGAGAGAGTGTGGGGGTGAGGAGCCAAGCCTCCCAAGATGGCGTCCAGCCCCGACCCGGCTTCTGGCCCTGTGCCCTGTCCACCCTGGAGGTTTCTGGAAGATGCCCCCTCTGTGCAGCTGACCCTGCCCTCCTGGTCCTCTCCCCAGCTCTCTGGACCTTCCTGTGGTTTGTTGGTTTCTGCTTCCTTACCAACCAGTGGGTGGCTACCAGGCCGAATGACGTGGTGGTAGCAGCCGACTCGGCCCGCGCGGCCATCACCTTCAGCTTCTTTTCCATCTTCTCCTGGGTAGGTGGGCTAGGCAGGCTGGGAAGGCCGGGCAGGCGGGCCTCCGGGTCCCGGGCGAAGGGCGGTGGAGGAACCCAGCCTCGGGGCTCCCTGCAGGGCCTGCTGGCCTTCCTGGCCTACCAGCGCTACAAGGCCGGTGTAGACGACTTCCTCCCCAACTACGTGGACCCCACCCCAGACCCCAGCACGTCCTACGCCTCCTACCCGGGCCCGACTGTGGACAACTACCAACAGCCACCGTTCACCCAGAACGCAGAGGCCACCGAGGGCTACCAGCCGCCCGTTGTGTACTGAGCGCAGCCGGGGATGGTAAGGGGCGCAGAGGGGGTGCCTGGGGCCGCCCCTCCATCCTGGACTCCATCCACGAGGCTTGCCCGCCGGAGCTTCCGGCCCCTCGGTCCCGTGCGGTGCCCATCTGTCCACACATAGCCTGGCCTGAAGTGCCCGCGCCCAGGGCTGCCCCGACCCCTCAAGGGCATTTTTTAGAGAAGGGTTTTTCTCCAGTTTGTCATCGCCTCTCATGATCCGCAGCCCCGCCTGGTAGCCAGAAGTGCCTGACACACTGCTCTCACAAGTGCCTTAGCCTTTCCCAAACTCAGGAGCCGGGCCCCGGCCGCGGTGCCCAGTGGCTTGGGGTTCTCTGCCAAAGAGGAGGCGGGGGGCCTCCCACTGCTCTGTCACTGGTGCGGGGCTGGGCCTCCCCTTCTCACTCAGGTCTGTTGCCCGCCCCCCCCCCCCTGGCCGACGCCTGCCCCCGAGTGTGTGGCCTGCTCCCTGCTGCTGGCTCTGGGGTCACTGCCGTGCACCAGGGCCTCTGGGCCTTCTCCCTGACAGCCATGGGGTAGGGCTGCTGTCCACCCGGGGAACACTGGGCAGCACTTCCTGCCCCAGGGCCTTCCCATCACTCCCGCCCGCCCCCCAGCAGGGAGTGGCTTTGCCTGACAACACCCAGCTTTATGTAAATAGTCTGCCACTGTTCGTTGGGCGGTGTGGGGTGCACCCACAGCCCCCTCAGGTTCTGTTATAGACTGTTTGGAGATGGAATAAATGTTTTTCTCATTCATAATCTCCAGTCATTGGTTGGGCCCCAGCAGGAGGAAGTTCTACTCTGGGGGACGCAGGTGGGGGGAGCTTGGATAGAACTTGCGTTTTGAACAAGGCTTCCGCAGGCTGTCCCCCAGCGTGCCCAGTACTGCCCGCCCTCCCCCCGCCCCGGCCTGGGGTCTCATTCCTCACTGCCCTCCATCCGTCTTAAAATAGCAGCTGCGCTCAGCTTGTAAACAAGACGGGCTTTCTGGGCCGCCTTGCCAGGGCCCTGCTAGGGTTTTGGTGGAGGCACCTGGAAGGTAGCCCCCGGAATGCCCCTTCCCCTCCCACCCTCATCCTGGGAGGGGTCTGGGTCCTCCACTTCCCACAGGCAGGGCTCAGCGCCTCTGGAACCCTCCCTAGGCCGGAGTGGCCGCCCAGCCCCCTCAGGGCAGGCCAGGGCACCGAAGTGGCCGGCTCCCAGCCTCCTCGTTGAGCAATGACAGAGTAGCTATCAAAAGTGGGCCCCAGTTATTTCAAAATTCTGAGTAATGAGCAGCGCTCGGGTAACAGCCGCTCGCCACCGCACACCTTTGGGCAGCCTGGGCCCGACCAGGCCGGAGCCCATCCGCGGCCACGGCTGCCCCCGCCCCCACCCCCATGGGTTCTGGCCTCCCCGTGTGCCTCCTGGCCATAGCTGAGCTCGTTTTCTTGGCTCCTGAATTGTCAAGTGTCTGTTTCACAAACAGAACCTGACGCTGCAGCCCCAGCTGGCTGCACTGAGCACTGCCGCCGCCTCTTCCCAATCTGGGCCCCAGGCTCCTGTGTTCACCCGTTTTGTCCTGAAACCCATCTAGACGGAAGAACAGGCGGACATTCTTCTTAGGATGTGCATCGCCATCATTTCTCAGAAAGGGTCTGGCTAAGAGCAGGGGTTATGAGAAACAGATCTGGGAAGGAACCCGCAACAAATCACATGTCCACAGTGCACCCGGGGAATTCCAGGTGCTTAAAGAGAAATGTGCGTCCACCAACCAGTCCATTTTAATGTTTCAAATTTTATGCACTTTAACATAAGTATTAGGGACCCTGTCCCCAGGTACCCCTGCCTTCCCCCTTACAAGGCAAGCACACCCCTGGGACCTGAGCCCCCGCGGGGTGGCACTCATGCAAAAGCTGTCACTCTGGAGAAAATGATCACCAGAGTAAGAAGGACTTTCAGCCAAGAGGTAAGCAAAAAGGCACAAGTCCAGCCGTCCTCAAAGGCCAGGGCCCACCCCAGGCAGGGGGACGGGAACCTTCGTGTGGAAAGAGGCTCGGTGCTGAGCCAGAGCTGCTGACACTGGACTTGCCAGTGAGAACAGAAACTCAACAGTGAAAGCCACAGGGGGGAGGAAGCCAGCAGCGCTGATGTCACCAACAGCATGCGGCCCGCCCCTCACCCCAAAGGAGAAGCAGCGGTGTCTGCCATGGCCAGGATCCGAGCCTCAGCGCAGGGCCTGTGCCAGCCCCGGGTGGCTCGTCAGTGGACCGGCATCCGGGAAGGGAACCGAGAAAGGCCAGCGGGCAGGCAAGGAGGGAACCGGCACTGCAGGGCACCAGCCAGGCACGGGCCCTGCAGACGCAGAAATTCCCGCAGCCAGTGAAACCTCCGCGGCCGCAGGAACTTCCTCCTCTGACTTCCTTCGCCGGGAGGGCGGGGCGCCGGCGTCCGCCAGGGGGCGCCAGCGGCCCCAGGTTCAGTTGGCCGGGATCCGATGAGGGGCCAGCGGCTTCCTGGTCCCCGCCACCTCCCCGAGCTTGGCCTCCACCGGCTTCCCCAGCGCGGGGCGGTTCTCCTTGTCCTCCTTGCAGTCCAGCCCATCCAGCTGACCCGAAGCCTTCCGGAAGTAGCAGAGGCGACACACGGCGTGGTATTTGTCTTTTCCTCCAATCACCTCGACCTGGCCCAGGGGACACAAAAGGCCTGGACTGAGCGGGCGCGGCACCTCCGGTCCCCGCCCCCCAGAAATGGGGTGGCGGCTACCTCCTTCTCCATGCCCAGGCGCTTGGTGTAGGCGGCCTCTCGGAAGCACTCCATGCACACGGCGTTCAGCTTCACCACGCTCTCGGCCAGCGGCACCAGGTTCAGGATGGCTCCGAAAGCCTGCGGGTGGGGAGAGGCAGCAGGTGCACCCTCACCTCGCCCGCCGGTGTGTCCTGGGAACCCACCCTCCCCCCTCCATTCGCAAGCACGGACTCCTGGCAACCGATCTGTGGTGGACTCACTGCTGGGTCCGCTCGTCCGCCCGCCTGGGCTCCAGCAAAGTCCGGTCCCCCAGCGAGGGAGCGCCTCCCTGAGATGGGGAAGGGCCCACTGGGCTGCCCCTCGCTGTGCACGGCCCTGAGCCTGCCCAGGCCCCTTCCTCCCTCCCAGCTCCCACACAGGACCTGCCCCTCACCTTCCTCTGGAAGGTCCCGTCCAGGGCAGCCACTATCACCGTCTTCCCCTCGTTGGCCATGGCCTCGCTGAACTCCACGATGTCAGGGAACTGGAGGGTGTGGGAGGGGGAGAGGAGAGGGTGAGCCCCCACCCGGAGCAGCAGCTTCCGGGAGCCACTGGGAAGCCCTAGCCACACTGAGCTGCCAGGACACGGGTACTCCCCACACCAGCCTCTGGGGACACAAGGAGGGGCCTCCCACTCACAACGCTGATGCCCACAGAAAGCAGGTTCTTCTACTGGAAAGCTGTGTTCCATTCCCATGGCAACCCCCTCCACAGAACAGGGCACCCTGGCTGCCAGCAGGGGGTTCCTGAGTCAGCAGAGGTGAGGAGGGAGCCACCCAGGCATCTGCTGCGCCTCCAGATGTCCGCTGGTAACCCCTGTACTGGCATTTACTGCCATTAGTTTTATAGGTTATGTTATGGGTTGCACTGGGTCCCTTCTTGGCCCCCCTAAATTGATGTTAAAATCCTAATCCCCACTATCTCAAGTGTGACCTTCTCTGGAGACAGATTAGCTTAGCAGGGAAATGTGGACAGAGACACGTACACAGGAACGCTGATGTGAAGACAGGGAAGAGGCCTGCAGGCAACCCCTCTCACAGCCTCGGCCCAAGCCAGCCCTGGCCCCCCCACCCCGACTGCGGACTCCAGTCAGCGAACAGGCTCCCGCTGCTGCCGCTTCCCAGGCCGTGGTGCCTGCCGTGGCAGCCCGGGCACATTAGCACAGGTGCCATTTAAGGCGGAACTGCAAAGCACTGGGTAAATCCAGGGCTTCCCTGGAAGAGAGTAACTGCAGTACGGAATCCAGGTAGGAAAGGAGGAGTCTGCCCACTGGGGCTCCTGGGCCGGTTCTGCACCCCCGGGACCGGCAGGGCGCGGCTTCCAGAACAAGGTCTGATGGCGGAGAGACCCCGCGGGGGAGGTCGGAGGCCTGGAGGAGGTTTGCACCTCCGCCACCATCTTGTCAAGAGCTGGCCGGCCGAGGTGGCAGCCGAACGACCACTGGCTCGGCTTCCTGGCTGTCATGCTGGCATTGAAGCCACAGAGTTAACCAAGGGACAGGAGTGAAGGATGTGACGGTGAAACATCAACGGCAAAGAATAAAAGATTAAATGAAATGCCTGACAAAATCCAACAGTCAATGAACAGAGAAGAAATATTTACAGCATGTGACCGGGCAACACCGGGTCTATCATGCCCCCTGGGACACAGGACAGACCAAGGGAAAAATGGGTGTGAGCCTTTAAAAGGCGACTTGCAAAGGAGAAATACGAGCAGCTAATAAACACAGCGCAGACGTCAGCCACGGGAGGAGGGGAAGAAAAATGCAGTCGGAACAGGCTGTGTGCGCAACAGCATCAATTAAGCGAAATACATGAATTGTTACATACAGATGAGTAGCAAATATGAAAAAGGAGCGAACCAGAAACCCCTGGAATGGAACACAGTCCTCAGGAACACGTGGCAGAGGCAGACCAAAGCGGTCCTGGCTCCACCCTCTCACCGGAAGCGGCGAGGCCGTGCGTGTTCACAGAAGATGCACAGAGTACGAAGCAGGAGAACCTTGGACACCCCTGCGGGACATGCTGTACTGAGAGCGGACCTTGGACCTGCCTGGGACAGTACGTGGTGGGGGGCCGTGACCTTCTCATTAACTACAGGTGTGCTCATGCTTTTTCCATAAGAACAAGGGCAAATGGTTAACCTACTGTTGGCTGCCCAGCTTAACCCAGAGAAGAAAACAAGGATGAGAAAAGGGGGCTGTCGGGGGGTTCAGGGGAAGACCGAGGCCAGGACAAGCCCACTTACGAACTGCCCTTCGTCGATGCCTATGACGTCCACACCCAGCGCCTCCTGGGTCACGTCCCGGAGTAGGCAGGCGGGCAGCGCCTCCATGGTGCTCCTGGGGACGGGGGGGAAGCCAGAGCGTGAGCAGGCGAGGTGAGAAGGCAGGGGCTGGCGCTGGCGGCCACCTCTGCCGGCAAGGCGGGCTGTCGTGCCTGCCTAGAGCTCGGGAAGTTGGTGCCTGCTGTGGGGAGGTACCAGGAGAGCCACAGCCCTCATGCGGGAAACCTGCGATTCGATACCAGTGGCCGCTCCACCTCGAGCTCAGGACTAGAGATTAGCCACGCCGAGGCGACCAACATCAAGCTCTCTTGCCTCTGCTTCGGCCCAGCACCCAGGGCAGGCAAGTGACCCCGCCAGGCAGGGTCCAGGGCCTGCGGTATTTTTAGGGGCCAGCAAAATGTTTCAATTGTTTAAAAACCAGAATAAACATAACTCAGCCTTGCAGTACGTGTGTCTTCATAACAATGCAGCCATGAAACACACTGTTGTATTTTTTTCTTTGGATGGAGGAAGCGACCCACGAAGGCAAAGAGCCCAGGGCCCCCCAAAAGCCGGGACATGGCCCTGGGCAGGCCACTGGCACCGGATGCTGGCTGAGTCCTGCATGCCCGGGCGGAGCTCAGCCCGGGTCCCAACGGCAGGGCGATGACCCGGGAGAACTTCCTGCACTTGGCTCCCCCAGCCCATGAAGGGACTTCTCTGTGACCACAGTGGTCAGCTGGCTGAGCCGGGATTCCATCCGCTGCCTCGTGTGTCCTGGGGGACAGCCCTACCCAGCATTGTGAAGGGCAGCATGTGGGAATGTTCCGGTGCGTTCAAGAACGCCCTGGACTGCCCGCCCCTCTCCCAGAAGCCAGGGCCTTCTGGGAGAGGGATGCTGCTTTGTTCTCTTTTTAAGTAAGTGTGTGTCTACAACGGCACTTTCTGTTTCCATTTTTGCCTGCTCCTGGGCCGGCCTTCAGAGGAGCCGGCCGTGTCCTGAAGGCTCAGCAGTTCGCAGCTGTACTCATAAAAAAAAAAGCCCTCTACAGCTTAGCTATTGTCTTGCCATCATCCTACTGTTCTGTGCATTTTAAATCTGCTCCCCCACCCCCGCTCCTGAAACAGAAAAGCAGAGCTTGGGCAGGCAGCAAGCCAGTCCCAGCAGCAGCAAGGGCAGTGTCTGGGAGCTTTGTCACAAGACCAACGAGCCCTCGGTCACCCCCCCTACAGCCCAAGTTGGGATCCTAACCCTCAGCCAGCGGGGATTTAACCCTGATCCGGCCGGGTCGGCTCCAGAGACCGGACTCCTAATGACTACAATGTTGTCTCCTCCGCTCGTAGTGTCCTCCCTGGACGCACCCCCGTCCTCTGCAGCGGTCACCGCATTTTAGAGCCAAGGAAGCAAACCAGGAGGAATCAGCAGACCTGCATCAGATGGCATGGCCTGAAACGTCACTCTAATTCCGGACACTTAACTCCACGCCCACTGCCCGCCCAGCCTCCGAAAGCCCACGCTTCCACACATGGCCTGGCTGCTGGGGGCTCAGGCAGACAAGCGGGGGGCGGGGGGCGGGCGGCGAAAAAGGAGCGACTCGGCCCAAGCACCAGGCCCCGGTCTGCTGCCAGGGAGGAGGCAGAGGGACACTAAATTTAACCCCGACCTCGGGTGGCAGGCTGAAATGCGACCCGGACGCAGGCAGATGAACATAACACGGGTGCAAGGAGGCCACACGGCCACAGGGAGTCCGCGAGGACAAGCCAGCGGAAAAGTTAAACAGGAACCAACGCGCAGGCTGATCAGAACCAGCTTGCAACCTCCGCAGAGGTGAAAGCTCCAGAGCCGGGCTGTCGGTCTTGGCAGGTGCTCCCGACAACAGGGGTGGGTCGGCCTGCGTTGCAGGCCGTCCTCTGCGTTGCAGGGTGCTCAGCAGCATCCCTGGCCTCTGCCCCCTGGATGCCAGAAGCGTGCACCCCTCCCTCCAGTTGTGAAAACGAGAAACATCGCCAGACATTGCTAAACGGACTCGGAGGGGGCAACATCGCCCCTGGCTAAGGACCCTCGGGCTGGAAACCCCTGAAAGGCCGAGTCCTGGGCTCCCTCATTGAGCAGCCTGGAAAGTCTGCTCATCTGAACACCCAGCGCCGGGGCCAGCCCTCTGAACCGCTGCCACTAAGGAGCTCGGACAGCGCTTCCTGTGCCTTAGCAATTTTCAGAGGGCCTCTGGGGAAAGAAGGACAGGAACTGACCGGTCGTGCGTGGAGAACATGTTGCTGTACCGCGTGTCTTTGGCATATTTGATCACCAAGCACTTGTACTGGGCGATCTGGAAGCGCTGGACCCGTCTCATGAGCTCCGTGCTGCAAAGGCAGGGAGGCAGATAAGGCCTACGGACAGGCGAGCAGGACCCAGCCGCCCACACTGGGCTCCCCACCACCTGCTGGGGGCTTACAGACGTCCGCGGGGTGAAGCATGGGACAGACGTGCAGTGGAGAGGGCCCTGCTCTGAGACCAGCCCAGACCTGAGAGGGATGTCACCCGTGCCCTGTAGCACGGGGAGCCTGGCGGCGAGGCCTGGCCCTGAGGGGTCTGGGGAGAGGCTGCGGGGGCGAGCTTCTCAGGGATAGGGTGGGGTGGGCCCAGGCAAAGGCCACTGGCAGAGAGGAGGGGTCCAAGATGCATTCCAGAATGACCTCCTCCTGAGAGTTCTTTGCAGCCAGAACCTAGGTCACAAACCCTTTTTGTGTCGCCAGGGAAGCACTGCGCTTCCTGTCCAAGAGCCCGCCCTGGGCCAGGGGTTTGGGCTGCAGCATTCCCCTAGGGCCATAGGCAAAAGGGCCAGGGAGTCACTTAGGGGCTCAAAGCCCCGCCTCGTAAGCTTGACTCCTCGGTGTGGAAAGTAAGTTCCCTGACCATCTAAGGAGACAGCCTCCCTGCAAGGAGGCATCCCCAGGCCTGGCCCCCGGGGCACGCGATCTTTAAGACCTGGACACCCCTTTCCAAGAGTGGGGGCGAAACTGTAGCAGCGCCTGGACCAGCTCAGGAAGGAGGATTTGACCTGGGCGGCGGGAGGAGCGGCTTCCTGGAAGGGAAGGCTCCAGGGCGGGGGCTCAAGGTCTGGCAGTGGGGTCTGGGGGCTGTGCTAGAGGGGGGACTCCGCCAGGGGCGCCAGGGCAGGAGGGCTGGGTCCCGGGGTGGGGGGCAGGAGGGAGAGAAGTTGGTCCCGGACCACCCCTCCGCCCCAAGAGGCCATTACCTTTTTCCTGAGAACATAGGACCGAGGATCACCTAGGAGAGAAGGAGAGGTCACTTTGGGAGCCCGCTGCGCACGGATGCCGGGGCACAGGCGCCTGCAGGGACCCCCACCGCGGCGCTCGTACCTGGATCTGTCCCCGGGTCTTGCTGGGGGAGACGGGCAGCACGGTGGGCAAGGTGACGCAGCTCATAGCGCCTCCAGGAAGCTCGCAGGATAGAAAACCCTTACGACCACTGCAGCGGAAACTCGCGCCGGTTCCCGCGCGCCCAGGTTTATACCCCGCGCGCGGACCAATCGCCGCGCGGCCGCGGAACTGGCGGGAGATTTTAGCCTCAGCTTGTCCGCGTAGTGGGCGGGATCCGGGACCCGCGCGCGGTTCTGCGAACGCCAAGCCGGGGTTCGGGGGCGGGACCTGAGCCTAGCCCCGCCCAGCCCCGCCCCGCGCCGGGTGCGCTCGCGGGGCGTCAGACGGCTTCTCCGGAAACGTCGGGTTGGACGCGTCCGGGAAGGGTAGCGCGGGGGATGATGTCTAAAGAGGTAGGCGGCTTGCTGGGAGAGGCTGAGGCTGAGCGCAACTCAGAGATTATTAGGTGGGAGGTCTAAGAAGAAAGCTTAGAAGCCCTCTAGACCGCTGCCTTGGGCGCCGTTGAGTGCCTATTGTGTGCCCGCTACCGAGAGCTCCAGTGCCGTGGTGTCGCCCTGTGATGCCACCGCAGGCAGGCTTTTGTGAGCCTGTGAGCCTAACTTGAAGGGTAGAGAAAACTGAAGCCCTGGCTACGTGAATATCCATAAGCTCCAGGAGTTCGGGGGGTTGTGGGGGTTTCTGGACCAGGGCCTGAGGTTATGCAATGAGTGTGTAGGTGGTGCCAGACGCTGAACGATTGTGGCAAGGCCGTTGTTTATGGCTGGGTGCTGGTGAGGGTTAGAAACAACCTGCGGAAAACCCCTGTTAGGGCTGTCTTTCCATTATCACCCCTAACTCGTTTCCCTGCATTTTAGGCAGTGGTTCTTTTTCTGGCCATGGATGCATCGGAGGATCCGATGCAAGTTACGGTTCTGGCCCTAAGAAATCCCATTGTCTGTCTCTGACCCACAGACGCGCACGCGTGCACGCACACACACACACACATCCCTACAATATCAGAGCACTATCAGAAATCCATTGCAATACCATTATGATAAATAATAGTGATAAAGATGATACAGTCACAGAGTGTGCCAGGCATGACTAGAAGCATGCTACAGGCAGACTGTACAGATCCGAAGAACCCTGGCCAAGAACCCTGTTCGCCAGGAAGAGGAGGTAATGCACATTTGAGGGGTTACTTTTGCTTGGTTTACGTGCCTTCTATCTTGAGCCTTGTGAGGCTGCTGTTCGTGCCTGTCACACATGTGAAGGAATGGAGCCCCAGAGGTGCCAGGTTACCCAGGGCAGAACAGCCTGTAGCTGATGGAGCTTGGATAGGGCTCAGCCCGTCTGACTCCTGAGCCCAAAACCGCCTTCAAATCTCCCAGCCAAATCACCGGCTTTTACCCGTTCTCCCTGGCCTTTGTGCCCTTTCTCCAAGTCCCTGTTCCTTGTTACTTTCTGCATTAAGTCTGAACATCTTAGCCTGACATTCCAGACCCTCTGTTCTCCAGCTGCAGCCTCCCAGCCTTGCCTCTCTGTGTTTCCGCACTCTCGCAGGTCAACACTTCCAGACTGACCCTCCATTCCTTCCTTATCGCCCCTGGGCCTTCAACTGCGCTGTGTCCTTCTGTGTACCCTTTCAGGGAACATCAGCTGCAGGTCACCTTCTCCACAGTGGCCACCCCAGCTCCCTGCCTCCTGAGGTCTGAGTTAATCGGGACACATTGGCAGGGCCTCATCTTCGCTCTAAGGCTGTTTGCGGCTTAAAGACATGGTTGTCGCTGTAGACCACGGATCTCAGAGCATCTGCATTGTTGTACCTGAAGCACCTCATTACTTGGAAGGGGTGCGGTGGGGAGGGGCGCAGGCTGGAGATGGGAAGGGCTTGGAGGAAGCCGAGGGCATCTGCGAGAGCGTCCGAGATTGGGCGCAGCGGGGGGCTCCCCGAGGCAGAGGCGCACCCTGGCACGCGGGGGGCGGCACGCTCTGCGTGGAGAGCGGGGGATTAACGGATCCTGCGCCTGTGCCCTGCAGGAGCTGGAGAAGCAGTACTCGCCCAGCATGTGGGTGGTCCGACTGGGAGCGGAGGAAGCCCAGAAGACCTACTCCGAGATGGGAAACGAGGGTACGGGGGACCTGTCCATGGCCGCTTTGGATGGACTTTGGCGTGTGGCAGTGATTCCGAACGGTGGGGGGTGGGAGAGGAGCGGCCGCACAGCCTGGCTCTCAGGGCAGTTCCCAAAGTCCAGGTCGCGGAGATCTGTGACCTAGGGAAGCATCAAGGTCAGTCCCCCTCGCTGCCCTGTGTTTCCAGAGCGCCGCGCTGCGGTTTTACCGCCGGGCGCCGGGCGCAGCCCTCGTGCTGGCCGCGAGGAACGGGCTTCACGGGGAATGCATGCGAGTGAGGCCGCAGCCAGTCTCTCCCCTCCGCCGGGAAAATCGGGAAAGTCAGGTGTTGGCAGACCTGCCTTGGGTGAGCCGGCTGCACAGAACTCCCCGGGGAGGGGGCGGGGGCGTGGCTCTCTAACCCGAGATCGCCCAGCCGGCTGCGCTGGCTGGTGGGGCTTATTCCTGCGTCCAGGCCTTCCCGACCGGTGGGGGTGGAGCTGCGTCCTGGACTTTCGGAGTGCCTGCTGTGCTCGGCTCTGTGCCAAATACACTTCTATTTGCTCAGTAAATATTTGAGTGTTCAGTGACCCCGCGTGAGCTCGTAAAAAGCCTGAGTGTCTTTCTTATTTTGAAGAAGAGCTAGCCCTGTGGAGAAAGGGAGTCACTCATAAAGAGCAGGAGCTAAGATGATGGTGCGGCCGTTGCCCTCGGGGACTCTCTTTAGGAGCCGCTCCCCGTAAGGCCAGGGGTCAGCTCTCAGTTCACGTTGCACTTGCTTCCTTTCCCGGTGCTCCCGCTGGCCCGGCGGTGCCGCAGGCATAAAGGGTCCGTTTCACTGAGGAGGACCGTCTCCACCAGGGCCGGGCTAGGGAGCAGAGCCACGCCTGTGCAGGGGCGGAGCCTGTCTTTATTTAAAATGTTGACATTTTGTTCATTGTGGACTTTGGGGCATTCATTTTTATTTAAAAGTATAAATTGCTCTTACATCTTCTTAATCTTTGTATTGGTCTGCTCAAGCTGCCATAACAAAATGGCGCCCCCTGGGTGGCTTAAACAATAGGAAGCTGTTTCTCACGGCTTGAGAGCCAAGTCCAAGGTCAAGGAGCCAGCCAGTTTGTTGCCCTGGCAAGTATTCTCTTCCTGGCAGACAGCCGCCTTCTCCAGGTCTTCCAGCGAGGACAGAGGAGAGTACTGGCCTTTCCTCCTGTTCTTATGAGGCCCCTTGTCCCATGACAGGGGCACCACCCTCATGACCTCATCTAACCCGGATCACCGCCCAAAGGGGCCACCTCCAAATACCACCACCTTAGGGGGTAGGGCTTCAACATAGGAATCTGGGGGAGGCACCAACGTCCGGCCGTCTTCATGCCTGAGCGTTCTGGTGTGCCCTAAGGGAGCACTGCACTCACCACCCCCTCGTCCAGGCCCTGCTTGATGAGGTTAAATAAGTTGCCCAAGCTCAGGCAGCTACTGATGGTCTCCACCGGGTGAGCTTCCAGGTGAGAGTGGAGCCGGTGATGTGTGTGCATGTGGCCGGGGGGTGGGGGGGGACAGTCATGTGACATCAGTGAGTGCCCACCAGCTGGTCTCTCCTGGAATCTCCTGGTAGAACTCCCCAGGAATTATCTTGTTTTGTTATTTGTTTTTAGAGAGAGGGAAACATCAATGTGTCGTTGCTTCTCTTGCGTCCCCTACTGGGGACCTGGCTGCAGGTCGGCACTCAATCCACTGAGCCACACCAGCCAGGGCTCCCCAGGCCTTATCAGCGCTGCCTGTAACCTTGTAGCTTGCCTCATTGGAATTAAACTGACAGGAAGCAGCAAAACATAGCAAAGGGACATAAAGCAGGGTAAAAAAAAAAAAAAGACGAAGTCATCTGCCAAGCCAGAAAACCTCTCCACAAAGAGAAGGAAAACTTGTTTTGTTGGGTAAAGATTAAGCCAAACCATCATGAACATCCCAGGCAGGCAGCCAGCGATGGCAAAACCCGGAGGCAGTCTCACCCATTCACAGAGCCAGGCAGGTACACCCCACAGCCAGCCTGTGCTCAAGAGAAAGGCTACCTGTCCTCAAGCACGAGGACCTGACCGTACCGTCTGCCCCACTAGTCCAACCTAAATCCACCTGGCACTTGAGGTGAGCATCTGTGTTTGCTGATTGCCTTTGTCCAGAGGAAAAAGAAAACTCCCCATGTCTTTATGAGAAGAGGCAGTTTTGCAACCTGGAGCCAGGCACCGGCTGAAATTAATGTCCTCACCTCCAGATGGCTAGATGCCTGCCAGGTCTGTGAGAAAACAGTCCCAGGTTGTAAAACTGGCTGGAGACGCGGTTAGCTTTGAAAAATATTTACACGCACCTTCGAGGGGTAGAGAAAGGATTTGCCATCACCTGTAAGTTTCCTGAGGGAGGCACACTCTTCCTTTTTTGATTTGTATTCACCCTTACAGCAACTTGCAGTCAGGGCTGGTGTCTGCTATTGAGCAGATCGCCTGTCCCGGTCAAAGGCTGGCCTCCCCCAGGTTGGGTGCACGGGGACTGTGGGCGGAGCGTGGGCTGAGAGCAGAGGGGGATTTTGTTGTCGTAGTTCAGTTGTTTCCATTTCCCTGCCCCCACTTTCTCCTGCTCCACCCACCCCCACCTCCCACCCTCAATCCTACCCCCCTTTGGCTTTGTCCATGGGTCCTTTATACATGTTCCTTGACTAGAGAGGGATCTTAAGAACTACTTTCCCTTAAAACTTGTTTTACCAAGACTCTCATAGATGTAATATGTATGATACTTATATATCGGAAGGCAGTCCTGCCCTTCTGTCTCCGGGAGCTTCATCTGCTCACCTGAATTCGAAGCTACCTGCCTTCCAAGCCACGCCTCCCTCCAGGAGGACCAATCACCAGCGGGGTGGGTGGGACCTTGTGATTGACAACTTCCGCGACTGACAGAGTTTCCCAGACCCCTTCCAGCCTTCAGCAGCTACAAGATTGGGCTCTTTCCATTGCACTCAAAAAAATGAAAGGCGGAAACCAAAGGGACAAAAAATACAAGTCCCAGTTTTGTTTTCTTGTGGTAAAATGCCCATAACAAAATACACATTCTAACCATTTTAACACTTCACTAGTAGTAATCAGTGCATACACAACGCTGTGCAACCATCCCCTCTAGTTCCAAAACGTGTTCCTCATCCCGAAAGAAAGACCCCTACACGTTAGGGGTCCCCATTGCCCCCGCCCCCTACCCGCGGCAGGCACTAACTGCCTCCTGTCTTTGTGGATTTGCCTATTCTGGACATTTCATATACACGGAGCTGTACATATGCGGTCCTTTGTGCCTGGCTGCTTCCCCTTGGCACGACGCTCTGGCGGTGCGTCCCTGCGGCAGCCTGTGCCAGCACGTCATTCCTTCCTGCGGCCCGGCGATACCCCACCGTGCGGACAGGCCACATTTGTTTAACCGTTCGTCCGTTGGTGGACATTCGTGCTCTTTCCACACTTCGGCAATTGTGAATAGTGGTGCTGTGGACATTCATTACAAGTTTTTGCTTGAAAACTCTAATTTCTTCTTATTAACTTCAGCTGACTAAGCGGTCCTACCAAACCGCGTATAGTCTGACGCTAACCCTGCGTTGGAAGCTCATCGGGGACCAGGGGCGAACAGGGTGCCGAGTCCACAGACCAGCTCTGAGGAGCCCTGCTCTGCACCCCCTGTGGGTGACTGCTTTTAGAGAACATTGTTTTCTTTAGAACAAAAGAAGCTCACTGAAAAGGACTTAAAAATAAAGTCATTGATAATTTCACCATGTCCTTAACTAGAGGGGGGCTGACGGGCTCTGGCCTTTTCTTCAGGGGCTGCGGTGCCTGGAGCGAACGCTTGCCCTCCGGCCTGCCTGGCGGGCGCCGCGCCCCGCACGGGCACCGGTGTCTCGGAGCCCTGGCCGCTGCGGCCCCTAACGGTCTAGCTCGTGCTCAGTTGGGCCTCTGGACCCCCCCTCTGGGTCCTGCAGTTTCTGTCTGTAAGGCAGCTTTGGGTTGTACATGATAGAAGCCAAATGTTCGCTTTTTCAGATAAGGAAGTTTACAATGAGGTCTATTCATTGAAGCCCTCACACTCGCGGCGGGTGGGTGGGGGGGAGGCTGTGGGTCACCTCGTTCTCTGCCCCTGCCCCCAGCTGCCCACCACCAACCCCGGGCCACCTCCCAGAGAGAGGCGATTTCTTCTTCTCAGGGTCCGTGGAGGATTTTAACGCCCGGGAGACGTAGACTTGTGCGTGACAGTGGACACCTACAGCTGCTTGGTTTTAATTGCTCTTCAAGTTAGACCATGAATTTCTTGATCTCTTCCTTCGTTTTGGCACAACAGGAATCAGGCAGCTCGCATGTACTCTAAGGACCCCGTGTTAACGAAGTCGCAACCTTGTGACGACCCCGCTTTGTTGACCACCCGGGCGGGCGAGGACATGTCCCACCATGCTGGCGGGAGGCGGACCCCCGCGGAGGGCCGTGGGCAGTGGCCTCGAAAATGACAAGTGCGTGTCCCTTTGATCCAGAAGTTACACTGCCGAGAGCACGCCCTGCCGTCCTCGCTCACGGGTGTGTCCCTGTGTGTCTGGGGCTCTTCGCCACGGGCTTTCTGGGGCAGCCAAGCCCGGACGCTTCTCAGCAGTGGACAGTCCATCATTGAGTGATCCGTTCAATGAGTATTTATTGGCTGCCTCAGCGTGCTGGTCATCTATGGGCACGGGGCATATCCGTGAGCCAAATGACCGCCCCCCACCCATGTAGCTCTGTGATTCAGAACGGGGGGAGGGCAATGGTAGGCAGATGACAGGAGGCATAAGCCAGTGCCGGTCTGTTAGGAGGGCATGTGCCGTGGAAGATAGGGAGGCGGGTGGCGGAGGTTGGTGTCTGGGCGGTCAGGGCCGCCCCCCGGGGAGACAGTGAGCGGCGGGGACTTGATTTTGTGCAGCCCTGGGACCACTGGGGAAGTGTGGGGGCTGACTCTGTGTCCCCCCAAATTCACATGTTGAAGCCCTGTCCCCCAGCGTGGCTGCATTTGGAGGCAGGGCCTCCCGGGAAGTAATTGAGGTCAAATGAGGTCATAAAGGTAGGGTCCTGGTTGCGGAGGGTTATCAGAGGAGACCCTGGAGCGCTCGCCTCCCCAGGAAGGGAGGGAGGGAGCTCCATGCACGGCGAGGCCATGCGAGCCAGGCAAGAGGCCACGCCCTGCCACCCAGGGGGAGGGCCCCGCCTCCTGCCTGTTCTGCTGGCACCTTGATTTGATCATTTTTATAATAAATGTATCAGTAAAGACTTATTCATCAAGAAATATGATCTTTGCCCTGACTGCTGTGGCTCAGTAGGTTGGGCATCTTCCCCAAAAGCAAAGGGTCGCCAGTTCAATTCCTGGTCAGGGCACCTGCCTGGGTTGCAGGTTCAGTCCCTGGTGGGGGTGTGCAAGAGGCAACTGATTGATGTTTCTCTCACATCAATGTTTCTCTCCCTCTCTTTCTCCCTCCCTTCCCCGCTCTGAAAGAAAGAAAGAGAAAGAAAGAAAGACAATAGAAGAAATCAGCTGTTCTTGGGCTTAGATACCCCTTTCCCGGTTGCTACCCAGAGCTTACCAAGTGCCAGATTTCGGTGAATCCTGGGAGGGCTCCTGGGACCATTGTCACTGCAGCATGAACAGGCGGTGTCCCTGCCACCCCCACCTTTGCCTGTGGTATTTAGACACAGTCCTTACCATTCCCTTCCATACTCTTCCCGCCTTCTTCTGACCCAAGTGCCAGCCGCTTTTCCCGCCACTCCGACCTCTCCCATCTTGGTGTCCAATTATATATACTTATATTGTTTCGGTATCTATGTAATTATCTTGTTTCCCTAGAATATTGTCTTTCCAAATACTTGGAAAAGTTTGTACTTCCCAGAGCACACACAGAAGTGAGTATGTACTGAGGTCATGATCAAAGTGCGCCTCTCAGAGCCGAAAGCTCACTTACGGGCAGACGTCAGCAGATAGTGTTGGTGCCCCTTGGACGGGCCAGTCTGGTCCGCTTGCAAGCACATCCTCGTGGAACCCAGCAGGGGGCCCTGGATGCAACCGCCGCAGCCAGCTCGTCCACCCCAAGGGGCTTTTAGCGAAAAGGTTCCTACTGGAAATATAACAGGAATTGCTGTTCCCTGAGCTTGTGCCGACAGCTGCTTGTCTGTCTTCCGAGACAGCCACCAAGAAGGCCCGGGCCACCAGGAGGAGCCTGCTGAACATCTCCTATGGAGACGGAGAAGGGGATAAACTGGACGTCTACTTTCCGGAGGCAGGGTCTGAAGGTGAGCGGGAGGCGGGCAGCCCCGGGCCGAGCTCCGCGGGGTGCCCTGCTGCAACCCAGCCCTGTGCCTTCTCTTGCAGCCCTGCCTTTCCTTGTGTTCGTCCACGGAGGATACTGGCAGAGTGGAAGGTGGGTTGGCAGCTAGGAGGGGAGTGACGCGGGGAGAGTCATCTCTCCCTGGCCCCTGCGCTTCCTGTTCCTAGAGCCGCCTCAGCAAATTACCCCACACGGGGTGGCGCGGAGCTGGGGGGCCTGCCACAGGGGAAGTGTATTCTGTTGCAGTGCTGGGCCCGGGAACCTGAGATCAAGGTGCCATAGGGCCACGCTCCCGCCAAAGGCCTTAGGGGAGGCCCCATCCCTGCCTCTTCCCGCTCCCGGTGGCTCTTGGTCATCTTCTTCCTCGGCTGTGGCTGTGTCGCTCCAGACTCAGCCTCTGTCTTCACGTGGCCTTTGTGTGTCTGTGTCTCAGATCTCCTTCCCTCTTCTCTTATAATGTCACCAGTCATTGGGTTTAGGGCCTGTCCTCATTCATGGTGACCTCATCTCAAGATTCTTAATCACATCTGCCAAGACCCTATTTCCAAACAAGGTCCCTTTCAAAGGTTCTAGGGGTGAGGCTGCGGACGTATCTTTCCGGGGACACTTTGACCCGCTGTGCCCGGTGAGAAGCACGTTCAGTCCACTCTCTAATCAAAGGGAAAGTCACAGCGGGTCGCTGTCTGAGGGCGCGTGGCCCTGCGTGGATTCCTGGACATGGGCCTTGCGGTGACAAAAGAGTGAACGTCCTGGGCCAACCAGGACAGCTGGTCACCCTAAGATAGGCAGATGGGCATTTGGGATCCTCAAGGACACTTGCTCCCTGTCTCTGACCGAGGAGGCGCCTGTGGCGGGATCCCCCGCCTGCCCATGTTCACGTTAATAAGTTTATTGCGCCTTCACCCTTTTCCAGGTGAGTGTCGCCTTCAGTTCTCCAAAGCAGCACCTAAAGGACAGGGCATAATTGTACCGAGGAGGAAGCTAGGCTTGGAGCTCAAATGAAGTCCCCAAGGTCCCGTAGCTCGCGTGCGATGTGGCGAGGACAGAGCCTCCCTCCTCCTTCACACCCCACGGGGTTGGCGAGGGGCAGCGCTCTGGGAGGACAGGACACGGAAGCAGTGTGGTGGCCAAGGTGCCTGCCGTTGTCACATCTTTGTCTCTTTCTGCAGTAAAGACGCATCAGCCTTCATGGTGAACCCACTGACAGCCCAGGGAGTGGCCGTGGTGATAGTAGCTTACGACATTGCCCCCAAGGGTAAGAGGGGGGTCCTGCCGGTTGGGGTGCTGCTGGGCTGTGGAGGGGGAGGCGCCTCCGGCAGAGCTGGACCCAGCTCCTGCGCTCTGGGCAGGCACCCTGGACCAGATGACAGACCAGGTGACGCGGAGCATCGCCTTCATCCAGAGGCAGTATCCACGCAACAGGTGCATATCCCGCAGGGTGTCCTTCTGTCCGACGGTGCAGAGGAAGGGGGGACGGGAGCTTCCTGCTGCCCTTCTGGCCTGTGGAGCAGAGGACAGATTGGGGCTCCTTGATATTGGCCTGATGCTGCGGGGGAGCCGAGTGGAAATCTGGCTTTTCGCTCTGCCCCGTCCCAGGGGGATTTACCTGTGCGGACACTCAGCCGGAGCCCACCTGGCCGCCATGACGCTCCTGGTTAACTGGACCGAACATGGAGTCAAGCCCAACCTCAAAGGTCTCTGTGGGGACCGCAGCCTGGCTGGGCAGCCCCCACCCCCGGGCCCGAGGCCCTGCACTAGCTGCTGGACATCGCCGCAGGTGGGCTCGGCTTGACCTGGCGGCTCCGGGCCCGCGGGGCAGGACCCGTTGGCTTCTCCTCTGCCCCCGGCTCTGGTCTTGCCCCTCTGGCCGTCGAGCCCGGGCTGGCCTCCTCTCGCCCGCTGGTGCCTGCGTGAGGCCCCGTCTGGGTGGCGTGAGGGCCCCGCGTGGCACGGGGCCCTCTGACTGCTTCGCCTTCACAGGCCTTTTCCTGGTGAGTGGGATCTACGACCTGGAGCCCATTGTGCACACCTCTCAGAATGCCCCTCTTCTCCTGACAGTGTGAGTCACCTTCCTCCTGCCCCCGCTGCCCTGGAGCCGCTGGCTCCCCTCTGTGCTGACCCGCCCCCCAACGCCCGCACCAGGGAGGACGCACGGAGGATCAGCCCGCAGCGGCTCCTGGAGGCGGCCCCCGCGCAGCTCGCTGGTCCAGCCTGCCACGTGCTGGTGATTGTGGGCCAACACGACAGCCCCGAATTCCGCCGGCAGTCGAGGGAGTTTTATAAGGTGCCCCAAACGCCCCGCTTGGGGCTGGAGGTGGAGGTCATGCTGTCTCTTTATCCTTATTTCACCCAAATGACCCCAAGACCATCAGTCACTTAGCAGATGTTTAGTGAGAGCCCCTCGCCCCTCCCCTGTGGCCTCATGCGTCCTCCTCCTCGTTTCTTCTGCCCAGACGCTGGGCCGAGGAGGGTGGAAAGCCTCATTCGAAGAACTCCAGGATGTGGACCACTTTGAGATCATCTGGAAACTAACCCAGAAGGAATTCGTGCTCAACCAGGTGGGCATGTCCCTTCACTGTGGACGGGCTGGGTCCCGCGTGGCCCCTACACGCAAGAGAGGCGGGGAGGCGGGCAGCGCTGAAGAGCCCCTTTTGCTGGGTTTTTTGGTGTCCAGGAGGTTGGGGGACCCGATGGAAGGGAACCAAGTGCCATACGGCGTCCTACGCATCACCTCCCTCCAGAACAGCCCCAGGCGAAGTGCAGAGACTTGTCCTGGGCGCACAAGTGGGGTCCGCACGGGGCTGTGGACGGGGCGAGGCGGGTACAAGCCGGTGTTAGCCTGTCTGTGTCTCAGCGTAAAAGCCAAACCCATCCACGTGGGAAAGGATGGGTGAATTCGGTGTATAAATGTTTATTACAATTTTAATATGAAAATCCTTTTAAAGTCAAAGGATAAATTGGGAAAACCATGTGCCCCAGAACTGGCAGAAAAAAAGTTACTACTTTTTTTTTTTCCTGGGCAAGTGGGCCCCTGATTAGCTTCACTTTTTAATCAGCTGCCACCCCGTCAGGCTTTTAAGTCATGTAATTAGCATCCTTACTGCATCAAGAACCCTTTCAAATCCAGAAGTAAGAAGATCTGCCCTGGTTGGTGTGGCTCAGTGGGCTGAATGCCAGCCTGAGACTGGAAAGGTCGCCAGTTCGATTCCCATTCCGGGCACATGCCTGGGCTGAAGGTCAGGTCCCAAGTGCGGGGCATGCGAGAGGCAACCGATCGATGTTTCTCCCACACATCGATGTTTCTCTCCCTCCCTTTCTCTCTCCCTTCTGCTCTTTTAAAATAAATAAAGTCTAAGAAAAAGGGAAGAAGATCTTATTTCTCTTTAAGAACTAATATAAGTGGAAAACAAAGACTCAGAGACAGTTTTAAAAGAATTACAAATAGTTGGTAAACATGGGGGAGGATTAATGTGCATCAGTGATCATAGAAATGTACCTGAATCCCCACCCCAGCACCGTCCGAGTTCTGGGTGGCGCCCAGTGCTAGTGGGCAGGCCACGGGGGCGTCCCCCCCTCCAGCTCTGCCACGGGGCGCTCGCGCTGCCCCAGCCACGTGGCCCAAACCCGCTGACCCCGTGGTGCTTCTGGAATCTGTCTTCAGGAAAATCACAGATATGCACAAAGGTAGTCTCTCTGCAGCTTCATTCACATTCAAAACTTGGAGACGACCTAAATGCCCACTGAGGTTACATTACGGCCCCATCAGGCGATGAGAGGAAGTTTGTGAAAATTAGGACCTGTCACGTTGATTCACATGTGGGAGCAGAAACGAGAAAGAACTGAAAGAACCAATCCAGCGGTTCCCAGCCTAACGCACAGCCAGCCGGGCCCTTCGAGGCGCATGGGCGCGGTGGAAGCGAGCTGTTCGCCAGCGGTGTGCTGAGTGCCTTTTCAAATCCATTTCCACGGTCTGCCACGAGTGTGTGCTACTTTTTTTTTAACTGGGAAAAACAAACACCCCCCCCCAAATGACATCTTTTGAACAACCTAGGCAATAAATAGGTTAGGATTTGGGGGCCATGGGCCTCCTACAGGACCACCCGGCGCTGAACTGTAGGAGGCTGCTGCTGACGATTCGTAAACAAATGAACGGGGCTGGGCCCCAGTAAACCTTTATTTATGGGTGCTGAAATTTGAATTTTGTATTATTTTAAAAAATTTTATTTTTAATGACAGTTGCAGTCAATGTTGTTTTATATGTTTCAGGCGTACAGCATCGTGGTTAGACAATTCATGTAACTTACAAAGTGATCCCCCGTGACATTTCAATCTTACGTGATATTTATGGATCCCATAACAATATTTTTTTGGATTTCTCTTCAACTGCTTAAAAACAAAGCCTTTGTGGGCTCGTGGGTCATACCTATTCGGGCAGCGACCAGGAGGCACGTCTACGCAGGCGGGGAGCGAGCGTCATTACAAGAGTCCGCGCAGGAGCCAGGGAAGGCTCCCAAGTTGCATTTCTGCGATCACTAACGCAGGTTTTTCAATCAGGTGCCTCGGAGGGATCCTCACAAGAGCCTCTCCCATTCTGGGGCTTGTGTCTTTTCTTCCCGTTGCAGATTATTTTGAAAACAATCTTCCAGGAGTGCTGATGGCCTCTGAACCCCAACTGGTGCACCCCCGGCTTGCAAGTCTTCTCCGAAGGGCCTGACAGCGCCTCCCTCCCTCCAGCCTCCACTTCCCTGGTGCCCGGAAGCCTCCCTTTGCCCACCCACCCTGGCAAGAGCCCATTCCTCCCACTGCTCTGAGCAGATAGACAGGTCTCCGCGGCTGCGCCCCAGTCTGGATTGAGTGGCTCCAGGCGCCGCTTTCCAGCCCAGTGCAATGCTGTGTGATGCTCAGAACCTCAGCTGAAACTGGAGCCCGGAAGGCCTGCAGAGAAAGGTCTCGCACCCTACCATTCACAGTCAATTACCCCAAACAGGAAAAGACTAACCTCGCACCTCCAACGGGAGGGCCTATCTACTTCACTGCCTGGGCAGGAGGAAGGAAGATTGTCTTGTCCAACCACAAGCCCAACCAATGGAAAATGCTGCAGCTCGGCCAATGAGAAGCCGCATCACCCTGAACCCTCCAATGAATGTTTTCCCCTTGAGAATTTTGTTGTCCCGCCCTACTTTCTATGAAAGCTTTCCATTTTCTGCCCCAACTGGTGTGGCTCAGCGCGTTCGGCATCGTCCCACCGGCAGAAAAATTACCAGTGCGGTTCCCAATCAGGGCACATGCCTGGGTTGCGGGCCAGGTCCCCAGTTGGGGGCGTGTGAGGGGTGGCCAACTGACATTTCTCTCCCTCTCCTCCCTTCCTTCCCCTCTCCCTAAAAATAAATAAAAAATTTTAAAAACTTTCCATTTTGTGTAACTCCTGGGAATATCTCTGTTCCTGATTTCTAATAAATATCCTGTGCCTATTTTCGCATTGTTTGGCATATGAGTCGCCCGAGCATTCACTCCTGTAAGTTGCCATGCTGTTGGATTCATGAATCATTTAATCAGGCCCATTAGACCTTTAAATGTACTTAGTTGAATGTTGTAACAGCTCTCAGGCCTCTGTGACCTCTACGGACATCACATGCTGCACAGACCTTGGCTTTCTCATCTGTAAAATGGCAAGTTGCCACGCCTAACAGCTAAAAGGCTAATGTCACATATCTAGGAACTTAAAATTGATAGGGAAAGGAGAAACATCTCAATAGACAAGTGTGCCAGAAATACACACTGGCAAAAATTTTGTGCTGGCAAGGAAAATAGCTGTGGCGGATGGCAATGAGTCCTGCTGCAGCTTTTTGGAGAATAATCTGGTGCTAAATGCTAAACTTTTAAATGCACATTAGCTTAGAAACCCACTTAGAAATCTAGCCCCTGGAAGCAAAAGCATCAGAACACAAGGATATTCATAGAAAGTATTCATTGCAGTATTACTTATAATGGCACGAAACTAAAAACTTAATGGCCCCTCAATAGCGGCATGATTGAGTAAGAATCTGGATGCTGCAGCGTAAAGTTCTAGCCATTGACTGAAGAGCTCGCTAATTCCGGAGGAATTCCCATGGAAAGGGAAAAACAAAGCTCCCAGCCCGATGAGAGACGAGTGAATAGGTCCCTCGAGCGAGGGTAGAGGTTGCGCTGCGGAATTCACTCATATGACATTTTCTCCCAGGAAGATGCGCCGCCCAGACGCACGTGCCTCGGCACACAATCCAGCCCAGACAGCGCAAGGGCCGGGGGCGCTGGTCCTAAGGGATTCCTGCCTGGGGCGCCCATAGAAACAACGAGAGTTTGTAGAACGAAGGGGCTTAATACACAAGTACTGACAGGCGCCCCGCCTTCAACGCATTACGCGGGGCTTCAGCCTGCACTCAGCTCCGCTTCCCTCCACTGTTTGCTAAACGTGTGAACAGGCGCACGCGGGACCAAAGTCGCCAGGGGCAAGGGAGGCGGAAGCCGAGCCACGCGGGAGGACTACAACTCCCAGCACGCCCCAAGCCACCGTCCCTCGCATTCCCAGAAGGCCGCGGGGGCCCGCTCACCCATTCAAAAGCGGGGCGGGGCGGGCGTGTGTTCTGGCGGCTGCCAACCGCCGGATTTGAATCGCGACGCAACTCCGAGGCGGCGGCGGCGCGGGTGGCGGTGAGATGGGCGGCCCGTCGTTGCCCGAGGCCTGGAAGGCCTACCTCAAGGACCACCGCCTCGCAACGTTCAAGAACTGGCCTTTCCTGGAGGGCTGCGCCTGCACCCCGGAACAGGTGAGGCCCCCCGGGGCCCCAGGCCTGCCTGGCCCGCGCCGGAGCTCCGACCCCGCGGCTCGGCGACCCCTCCCGCGGGCCTCCGGCCCCTCTCTGGGCCCCCGGGGCCCGGGACGCGGCCCGCCGGGGTCTGAGCCGCGCCTTCCCTTGCAGATGGCCGCGGCCGGCTTCATCCACTGCCCCACTGAGAACGAGCCCGACTTGGCGCAGTGCTTCTTGTGCTTCAAGGAGCTGGAAGGCTGGGAGCCAGACGACGACCCCATGTAAGTACCCCAAGCCAGCCTGCCGGGCTTCTGGGTGCCCGGCTGCGTACCAGCTTCTGTTTTGAGCTGAGCTCGGGAAAAGTTTGCATTTTGAAAGACAGTGAAGGAGACGCGGTTTTCGACTTCATTCTGCGCTCGAACAGCTGTTGTGAGAGGCTGAACCTCCGTGCTGGCGCCTCCGTGATGCTTTCAGCCTCATCGGTGTGATTTGGCCAACTGTCCTGCAGGTCTGGGTTGAAGTGAGGCTCATTCTTGTAAGCACTTGGTGCCTTTCGGGTTCGACAGAACAAGGGAGCAGCTCGTGTTGGGACCTAGGGACCTGCAGGTGCTTTTCTTGTTGCACAGTTTTTAAACCTGAATCTTTATTGAGCTATAATTCATACACCACAAAAACCACCCTTTTGACCCTGCAGAGGTCGAGGTCAAAAAAATTACAGTATAGGTCGCGTGTATGCAAAAGATGCATTCATTAGTATGTGCTGAAATGTGGAAAAAAGTTAAAAACACTGAAAATGTGCATGTATTACATTTGTATAATAAAATACATGATTTCTTATTTTCAGTTACAATCTAGAAATTATTAAAGAAATATAAAAACGTAAAAAATAAATATAATATAAACATGGATATTGATAAAAAATACAACAAAAAAGTCTTTAATTAGAATTGTCAGTAGTTGGCTTTGCAAAACATTTGTAACTGTCATTGCAAACAATATTGCTGTGCTCACAGCATAAATACTTTTCAAAACACTTGCAGAAATACTTTGATAAACGACTTGTTTTGGATGCATGGCATCTAGCACATTTTTTCTTTTCCTGCTCATCAAGGGAGTTGTATCTTTGTTGTGGTTAGAATTTCCTTCAATTTGTATTTGAAACTGATGAAGTGTCGGGTGTAAAGCCTTAGGCATACCTGCAGGGATTTCCGAACGCCTTTTTTTGTTGTTGTTGTTCTGACACTGAGTTACAAGATTTCTAATATCCTGCGCCTTATTTTCGCATTGTTGTTCGGCATATGAGTAGTCCGAGCATTTGCTCCTATAATACCCGGAATTGTGTAGAATGTAACCACAGGCCACCCTCTGGTGTCCTGGCTGTGTCTTACATGCCTGTCGTCGGTCCATGGTGTCAACTCCTGGCTTCGTCTGGCTGTAGTGTTGTGTTATGTCAGGCTTTGGCGAATCTAAAGTTACGGCGTCATCGAAGTGCCGTTAATTACGATTTTTCCCTTCTTGGGTATATGAGATACGAGTGGTCAGTCTGCACCAAAAGCCTGTTTTTAGAAGACACAAATTCAGGGGGTCGTTGGGGTTTATCCTCACAAGCAACACCTATGTGTGAAAGTCACATCTTTTTCAAATCAGAGGTAAGATTTTTGTAGCGAACCAGTTATCTGCTGCAGCGTCACACCCTGAGGAGGAAACGGGCTCTGCAAGCATCCAGGGTCTTGGTGGCAGCTGCTGGTTTATCACTAATCCAGTGATAGACCTCAGGGCTGTGCACCAGCACAGATTTCAAGATTTCCTGTGTAAAATGCTTTTGAATCAGCCATAGCAAAAATTTTTATGCCTTATTTACTGGGTTTGGATGGAATATATTTTCTAAACCCTCATATGCCTCTAAATCCAGGTAACATTTCACCAGTTGTTACATTCTGTCCCATAGAGTAACCTAATTTACAGTTTTCTACAAATGCTGAGAAAATGCCCCTCACAGCTGCTAATTTGTCCACCTTCTGGCGTTTGTTCTAAGCAGGTAAGTTTGTGATCAAACCTGATACAATTATGAATAAATCTAAATCTCCATAAAGATATTATAAGTCTAAAAGTCCCATCCCTCTTCCATCTGTATTCCATAATACCTGCAAATTTAGCCGATTGCTGTGGTGTTAGCCATCTAGATGTAAGAGACCTAAAAATGCTTTCAATTCGGTTTTGTCTATTTGTTGAGCATCTCTTTGTCATGAAAACCGGCTCAAGATAGAACTGATGTATTTATTTGTATAATATTAGAGTAGATCTAAAATATCATTTGGAATAAAGCAGTTCCAAGTTTCAAGGTCTGTCTGGGCATTTTTTGCGTGTGGCCGAACTTATGGGAGTTGGCACAAAATATTCTGCGGCCGTTTTCTGATTTGTCTTCTTACTGGATTTTCCCTCCATTTTGATTCCTTATCCTTTCCAAAAAATTACTCTTCATTCATGTCTAATTCCTCTTCAGTTCCTTCACTAGAAAGGTCTTGCTCCGTATCTGAATCTTCAGATCAGCCGAGACCTCCGCAGGGTTACGTGGCTCGCTTCCCTCTTGTCCTGGAGTTTGTTCCCTGAGGGGCAGACTCCTGTGTAGTCCAGACTGCGAGAGACCACGTTGTCTTTCTGCAAGGCAACACCACATTCTTTTATCACCCTTTCCCCCATCAGAATCGATTATTTCTATGACTTTAATTATTTTTTCTGTAGAGAATCAACCAAGTGGTTTCTCCTCTTGGCCAGGAAGTGCGTTTGCTGTCCCGCGAGCACACCAGGACTCCCTGGGAAAACACCCGGGCTGTTGTGGGGGGTGCCTTCCTGAGTGCGGTCATATTTTCAGGTTCTAAGGACTCTCGGCCGTCACCCTGGGCCTTGTGTGGCTGTGTGTTCCTCCCAGTGCTGCTGTGGTTCAGCGCTGGGCGCTCTGCAGGGCCGCTTCCCCAAGTGGAGCACAGCGGCGCGGGCCCCAGGGCCGCCCGGGAGAGCCTGGCCCGCGTCACCCTCGCTGCAAACCAGCAGACCAGGCAACAGCGCCAGGGGGATGAGACCGCGTCCTGCTGCTCCTTGGGGACCTCAGAGGGCTTGGCTGTGACCGCCCTGGACTCGCAGCCTGGACGCTTTTCCTGCTGGCGGCTGAAGGACTCCAGGCTGCGGGGCGGCGCCCGCAGAGGGAGGAGGGCAGCCTGCACCCAGCGCTGGCTCTGGCCTCCTCGGACTTCACTCTGCGCTGGGGGCCGCGCACCGTGTCTGGGAGGCCGAGTGTGGCGGGCGCGGGCCGTGAGTACGGTGGCCTCTCTCGTTTAACGGCTTGCCTATGACCTGGTCCTGCGCTGATTTTTCTAGGGAGGAACACAAGAAGCACTCGCCTGGTTGTGCCTTCCTGTCTCTCAAGAAGCCCTGTGAAGAGTTAACCCTCGAGGAATTTTTGAAACTGGACAAAGAAAGAGCCAAGAACAAAATTGTACGTATGGGCATAGGAGCCCAAAGCGAGTCTCGTGCAGCACCTTTAACCCTGAACCTCCTGGCCCCTCGAGCAGGTCGCTGGCCACCGTGGGTGTGACAGGAAGCTCTCTCCTGGGTGGGTCTGCGGCGCCTCGCAGGTCCGCGCTCCGGAGAAGGGCCTGCCATGGAAAGCGCCTGCCATGGAAAGCGCCCTCTGGTGGCGGTGCAGGTGAGGTGGGAGGTGCCTGTCGTGTGCTGGCGGTGGGGACAGAGGGCTTGGGGACACATGGCAGAGTGCGTATGGGGAGGGGCACTGCACGAGTTGCAGAAAAGGCGCTGGTCCCACTGGAACTTGAAGGGGCTTGTGCAGGCGAATGTGAAGTCTTGGGCGGGCAGCCTGGGCGACCGGGAGACTGAGAGCGAGGCCCCGAGCAGCCGGCCTGCAGAGGAGGCCGGTCGCCGCGGGGCCAGGACGCCCAGGGGAGCTGGACTTCCGATGCACGTGGCGCAGCTGTTCAGTGTGGCTCGCATTCCGCGCAGGTGGCCGCTAGAAGTTGACGGGCCTGCAGGGAGACGCAGCTTACCTGGGAACTCTCTGTCTTTATTTGCTCAGCCTGGTGGCCCTCCAGGCAGTAAATAGGCTGGTGTTCTGATATCCTTGTAGCAAAGCACCAGCAACCCCGCCTGCCTGCCCTCACAGATCAGCGTGAAGTAGTCCTGTCCATTATAGCAGCTTCTAAATGCTAAGGACAGCGTCGTTTTCTTTTTATCAGAAAGAGGGGGGTTGGTGGTCAGAGAGCCCGCCTGTGGGGGCGCTGGCTGCGGCCGTGCACCGCCCCCCCGCCCCGCCCCCTGCACTTCAGCACCTGGCTTCTGTGTTCTCTGTTGGTTTTGTCACAACTGTCTACAAATGCAGAGACCATGCTCCGCCCAATGGCTCGTGGTGTGTCCGCCAGGCTGACTGGGCTCTCGGGAGGGACTGCAGCTTATGGGTGGGGAGCAGGTGAGAGAAGGCTCTGCCTGGGCAAGCGGAGGATGAGGGGGCGGCCAGGGAGGCTGCAGCGGCTCCCAGGACGCGGAGGGGCCAGAGGAGTTGAGGTCGTGCGACCAATAGGGAGATGCTGCGTCGTGACAGCCCCCGGCAGCGCGGAGTGCTGGGGGGATGCGTGGCTGGGAGGGGGCCGCCGGGGGCCCACTGGCGAGGAAGCCCGTGGGGGCGCAGCCTGCGTCGGCTGCGGGGGCGACGGTCATTTAGCAACTGGGTTTTGTTCTCCCGGAGTCAGACTCCAGGATACTTTAAATGACACGTGAGTTTTTCTTTATTTGCTTGGTTATAAAGAAACAGTATGAGCTTCTGTAAGGTATATTTCCTTCCAGATAATTTAAAAATCTATACATTTTAAGGAAGAATGGAAAGGTTAAGCTATTCATACCTAACTGGTTTATAAAACTCGTGCAACAGAAGGGCTTTGCTGAGGCCGGGCGCTCACTCAGCCACCCCCTGCCCCCCACTGTGAAGCCCTGGACAGCGCGCCCTGGCAGGAAGTCCTGCGGGACAGGCCTGCTTCAGGCTGCCAGCCAGGTGTCAGGCTTGGCACAAATAGCCTGTCACGTGAAACAGGTCCCCTGGTGTCCCGTGTGAATGGAGGGTGAGGGCCCGAGGCTTCTTGCTCTTATCAACGGGGTGCGACTTGAAAGCTGTTGTTTCATCTCATGAGTCTCTTCTTTATTTCCAGGCAAAGGAAGCCAGCAGTAAGCAGAAAGAATTTGAAGAAACTGCACACCAAGTCCGCAGGGCCATTGAGCAGCTGGGAGCCAGGAAGTGACGCCCTGCCCCACTCCCGTGGCCCGGCCCAGGCGCGGTCCCAGGGCTGCCCCGCTTTGCTCGGGGGCCAGTCACTGTGCCTGAGGCAAGGGGAGCATCACAGTTTCAAATGAGAATATTTAAACTATATATTTTTTTCTCTTGGAGGTGGGGCCACAGGCTACTTCCGTCTTTGCATCTGGTGTTGCCAAGTATAGTGACTGATTCTTTTCTCTCTGATATTTTTGCTTTATTGATCCTGGACACGGCCAGAGTGGAAGGAGAGGAAGTGTGGGCGCGGGCAGAGCCCTTCCCGGGCAGGGTGTCTGGGCTTCCTGGTGACTGGCCGTGAGCTGAGGTCCGATGTGAACGCAATCATAGGTCCGTTGCTGCCGGACGAATGGAGAGTTAGGGTGCCATTTAAAATTGTATTTGCATGATCTGAGCTCACAGTGTGGTCTCGTGTGTTCCCGCGCTGTGCACAGCAGGTCGCTGGCAGGCCCTGCGGCGCCTCTCGGTCCCCGCCTCTCCGTCCCTGCCTCTGGCTGTGCTGTGCACGCCAAGGGGCTTCCTGGCCTCTTCGTGTTGCGACCCTCCAGGCTGCAGAGGGACGACCCGGGGCGCTGAGCCCAGGCTGCCCTGGGCTGCAGGGGGCGCCCTGCCTGCGACTGAGGCCGCTGTGGCTGGGCGGGACGGAGGAGGGCTGGTGGCCGGGGCAGAGCCGGCTTCTGGCTTTGGGGTCAGCTGGAGACCCTTCACCCGCACTGGGCGCAAGGCCGGTCACAGCGTTTCTCTGACAGGGACGGGGACAAGGCGCAAGGCCGGGTGCGGGCTGCCCTCCGCGGGCTGGGCGGGCCGTGGCGGGAGGAGCCCCGCAGGGTGAGGGAGGGGCTCTTGGTGTCATTTCCCGGGGTCTGCACAGGAATTTCCCATTCATTACGTGGGGCCGGTGGCTGACACTTCACCTGCCTTCCTAATACGGATCTTCCCAAAGTAGGACATGGAATAAATTAATTTAAAAATTGTATTGGAAAACGTTTGGGGAAAATTTCTTTGAATAATGTTTTTTCTTGTTTGCAATCTTACAAGATCATAAATCCAGTAATATTTGCGTTTTGACCCTGGCCTGGCCTGAGCACAGGGTTTGAGCAGGTGTCGCGGGAATGGCGGTCCGGCCGGGGGCGGCCGTGGGGGCAGCGCTCGCTGCAGCTCGGGTGGCCTGGCTGACTCGGCGGCAGTTTCACCGGCCTACACGTGGTGGCCGTAACGCCTCCGCTGGCGTTTCTCGCTGTGGGTGCGTGATTTTCATGCGATGGGGAGGGGAATGCAGACAAGTCCTCAGCCCCTCCGCGGCCCTACAACGTTGTCCTCTTAGGTTGTTCAAACTGTTATTTTACACGTCAGCATGAACCAGGATTGTAAGTGAGCACACGGCCATTCTGAGTGATTGGGGAAAGCGACGTGAACAGGAGATAGATTCAGAGAGAGGGGGTTGTGGCAGGAAATAGGGTCCAAGAGAAACGGTCATTTGTGAAAGCGCCACACAATCAGCCAGCCCAGTGAGCCGCAGGGCACACGCTGGTCGCTCCCGGCCCGGAACAATGCAGCGGCCTGAGTCCTTTTTAAATGACTTGGCCCAGAGCCGTGGGGATGGGCTGGGCTGCCGCAGGCCGGCCGCTGCGAGCCCTCTGCGCGCGGCTCTGTGCTGGTGCCCCCGCTGCCTGCTCCCCCCCCGCCCCCCCAGCTCACACAGTGCTGCCGCCTGACGTGAAGGTGATAGGTTGATGTCACCCTCCTTCCCAGGGTGAAGCTGCAGGGTGGATTGTCACTGTCCTATCAGAAACCTCCGGAGGTCATCTTGGTGGTTTCTGAAAAATAAAAACCATTTCATTTTGAACATAGCTGAGGGCCCTACTGGGTTTTTGAAATACTGTTGGCTTTTCATGGTGGTTTCTTCTCAGCCTGCCAGCTGGTTCTTTGTGCCGCAGCGTGTGCGGGGGAGGGACATGGCCTGGCAGCCATGGGCTGCGCTCTGAGAGCCACTTGAGCCGCAGACCTATCCGTTTGGGTCACTGGGGCTTGTTCTGTGGATGAAGCAGCTGCGAAAAGCCACCCCTGGCTTATGTTTTCCTGCCACCCGTCAGGCAGAGGGACGTGTTTTCCCGCCTGAGCTGGGAGGGGGCTGTGGTGGCTTTGTCAAGGGAAAAGGCCTCCGCCTCTCCTGCCGTCCGAGGCGCGGTCTGCCGCGGGCACTTCGCTGTAATCGCTGGCCCTTGGCAGCGGTGTGGCGGAGCGGCGGCTGAAAGGCGTCTTTGTCCTCGGCTCCTCGGCTCGGCAGGTGACGATGCGCCTCGTCGGGGCGTGCTACACCGCACACACTTCCTCCTGCAGGAGTGCATCCTCAAAACCGTGTTTGTCCCTGGCCTTTAGTGCCAGCCAGTGCTGGCGAGCCGCGCGGACACGGGCCAGTCAAGCCCAGGCCCTGGCGGAGGCCAGCATCCCGGCCACCCTTCCAGTTGGGGCTCCGATCTCGAGTCCTCCGAGGCCGGCGGGAGAGGGAAGGGGCTGCACGCGGGTGCTCACCGGCGGCCCCGCCAGGCGGGACTCGCGGTCGGGGCCCTGTGGGCCAGCCAAAGCTGTCCGAGCCCGTCACCTGTCCCCGGCCCAATGGCAGCGAGCGTTACGCCCTGAGTGGAGCCATCAGCCAGCGCCTGCAGGTGGGTACCCCATTGGGATGCGGACGTGCTTTGCAGATTGTACTCACTTGAAAGAGTAGCTCGCAATTGCGAGGGAAATCATGTGATCTCAGCAATGTTCCTGGTGCAGAAATGCAGTCTTATGAAGAGGTGAAATAGCTTGTCCAAGATCATACAACTAGTAAGTACTAGGGCTGGGATTTGAACCCAGGCAGTGTGGCCCCTGGGCTGGCGTGTGGCCGCGGCCGGCTGCCTGACCGCAGAGCGAGGGCCGTCTTGGAACCGTCCCCGTCTGCCTCTTGTGTGGCTTTGTCAGGGAGGCTCCATTAATCCAGGCCTGACTTCCACTGACCCTTGCGGTGCAATGCCTCCACCTCCTGTTCTGAACTCGCGCGCAGAACGCTGTGAAGACAGTACGGGGAGGGGAGGGCTCTGTGCGCCCTTCGCCCAGCTTCGCCCGAGGTGACTATGGCCCATCGTCCACACCAGCTTGTCAACGTCTACAGTCTGAGCCCAGACCAGGGAGAGGGGCGACCTCTCGGAGCCTGAGCGGCCACGGTGAAGGGTTCCTTGTCCCGGCCTGGGCAAGCTCGCTCCGAAAGTGGAGAGCCCTGGCGGTAGGTTTCCTCGGCGGCTCTCGGCCTTGCCGGCCCGCATTTCACGGGCTGTGATCTCCTGGGGCCGTGGCTTCTGTGGCTCTTTCCCACCTGATCCCTGGGGCGGAGGGGTGAGTTTTGCATTGGTTTGCTCACAGTTTTGCTTGAGCGCCTACCGTGCGCTGGTTGCGTAAAGCAGAGACAGCTCGGTGTCCCGCAGCGAGCGCACAGCCGGCCTTGCTTTCGGGAGGGTGGGAGGACAAGGCCAGCCACAGCCCCGAGTGTGGCGCCTGTCTGCAGCGGTGCCTGGGCCATGGTGGACTCTGCTTTGGGTGGCACCAGGGGAGAGCTGAGGGTCCGTTCATCTGGGGTCGAGGCGGGGGCCCCCGTGGACAAGGGGAAGGCGCACCCTCGGGTGGGGGGAACAGAGTGGACGTGCCTGGGTGCAGAGGCTCCCTGGCTGTGGGGAAGCTGGTGGCACCGGGGCAGCTTCCTGCTTCCCTGTCAGCAAAGCCCTGCCAGAGGTCGCCAGGCTCGCTGGGCAGGTGCAGGCGAGGCCACGGCGGCCTCAAGAGCCCCTCCCAGCCCTGGTGGTGGGTTCTCGGGCGTGAGACCGGCCGGCTGTGTGGTGCCTTGTGGTCAGGGCCCGTCTCACAAAGGCGGGGAAGAAGGCCCGTGTGTCCAGCCCACAGCCTCAGCTGCGGGCCCCCTTTAGAATGGTTGGCGCCTGGAGTCCACCAGGACGGACCCACCTCTGCGTGCCCCTGAGGGCAGGGGGGCCTCTTGGGCAATGCAGCCGATCCGTGTCCTGTGGGAGGACGTTTGCCAGATGCCGCAGGAGGAGCTGCAGGGTCGCCGATGCTGAGCTGCTCTGGTGGTGATCCCACCAGTCCCACTTGGAGGCTGCCCGCCGAGTCGTGTGCATCCTCAGCCCGGAGCAGGAGGCTGGGCGGCCCCAGGGCCAGCGCCTGGGTCCCGTGGGCTGAATGTAAGTGTAAAGAAAAAGGGCTTGTGTGCAGCCCTCTTTTCCTGTCAGTTATAAGCGGAGTCTCTTCCATCAGAACATCGCTCCTGCCCCTGGTTTCCGCGGTGGCCGTCTGCTGCTGGCGTTGAGGTGGCCCCGGCGGCTGGGAGACAGGCTTGGTGTGTGCCAAGCAACCCACTGGGCGAGGGCTGTCGTGGGCTGCAAGGTGACGAAAGGGGGGTGGCTAACGGAGAGGACGCGGCACCTTTCAGACCTGGGCTGGGGCATAACGGGTCCTCCCGGAGGGGTGTAGACCAGCGGAGTCCGCCCACGGAGCCCCGCGAGGTCCGGCGCCTGCCGCCCAGGGGACAGTCCGGTCGGCGGCTCCGACTGCGCATCAGAACCAGGGCTTTAAGGCAGGTGGGGTGTAGTCTGCTCCCCTAGCGGCCCGCCCCGAAATGAGGGGGAGACGTGTCCACTCCTCTGCAGAGGTGCATGGCTCTGCGGCCCCGGTGGCCTCAAACGGCGCCCGTCACGGGCCCTGACAGCTGAGTCCGGTTCTGCCTAAGCTCTATGGGGGTGCAGAGGGGACCCTTGCAAACCGGCTCCAGCTGGCACCGGGAGGGCGCCACCAAAGGGGGGCCCCCTAAACAGTGTCTCTGGAGTCACACTTTAAGCACACAGGGCGGTTTTCACCCACTCAGGCCTTGTTGGTCCTGGTCTTGTGCGGTGCACGGCCGGGTCCTCCTCAGCCTTCTCTCCCCAGCAGGGATGAGGAGGCAGAGCCCACAGCCGCTGCCGCGGAAACCAGGGCCTGCACAAGCCCCGCCCCCTCCTCCCTGCCACCCGCCCAACCCCCAGCCCCTGCCCTCCTGCGTTTAGGGATGCTTTTCCCAGTCGGCCTGCTGGGCTTTCTCACCTTCCAGCCCCAGTGCCACTGAGGGAGATGGGCCCTGGCTACCACCGGCTTCCTGAGCAGGGGCTGGGAGCAGGGCTGTCAGGCACAGGGGCCGGGCCTGGCCCTGTGGGGGAGGGGCGGCCTGCACGAGACCCCGCCCCTCCCCACCACTAGGTCTGAACGCGGTTTGAATAGTTTCAATAATTCTGCTGCAATTGTTTTCACAGACTGTTCCTCCAACCTGGAGGAGGCCGGGTAGAGAAAAAGAGGCTGAAATGAAAGCCCTGGGGTGAGCCCAAGTTGTGGAGCTGCTTTGTCTGGGAAGGGCCCCTCTCAGTGAGGAGGTGGGCCTCAGGCCTGCAACCCCGTCCTGCAGGCTCTGAGCAGCCCCCGCTGCAGCGAGGGACAGTCTGGAAGCCCCCTGGAGCTCGGTCAGCCCCCGCCTGACAGCCGAGCCAGCACTGCCACGCACCTTGCCTGCCCCTGGGTGGGGGCCCTTGGCTCCCTGCGCCAACCCCACCCCAGGAGCACCTGATGCAGTCCGGGAAGCGCCTCCAGCCTGCTTGCTGAGCGAGTGAGCAATGCACAGGCTGCACAGGCGGAGCTGGCCTTGCCCCACGTGGCATTTGTAATTAGGAGCTGAGCAGACTTCCCGCTGCGTCCCCCTTGCCAGCCCACCCCTGCTGGATCCAGCAGACTGCCCGCCTGGCACAGGCCTCCCCCCCCACCGCGGGCTGCCAGCTCCAGGGCAGGGCGCGCGGGCTCGGGCTCCTGGAGAGCCCGAGGCTTCAAGGGAGGAAGACCTTTGCCCAGGACCCCGGCCAGCCACCCACTGGGCAGGGCCGGGACTTGAACCCAGGGCGCACCAGGCCCGCCCACAGCCCCTAGCAGTCCTCCCGACCCCCAGGACGCAGCTGGCGATCCAGGGAGGTGCCGTCCGTTTCCCCGCGCGCCCAGGGTCACAGCTCGCCGGCGGTGCACAGGCAGGACGGGCACTGCGTCCAGAAGAGCTGCCGCCGCCTCAGGAGCCGAGCAGCCCCCGCCTGCCCTCTCGGGCTCCGTGCGCCGCTGCCTGCTCCTGAGACCCCGGCGCTGCTCCCCGGCGCACCTTCCCCAGCCCCGACCCCCACGCCCCGTGCCCCCCTTCCCGCTCTCCCCTCGCCCCGGAACCCCGCCCCCGCCTCCTCCGAGGCTCTGCGCACCCCTGAATCCCTGGCTCTGCACTCCCGGACCACCCCGGCCTCGGGGCTCACCTTAGCCCCCCGGCCCTCACCTCCCGGCTCCCTCCACTCCCTGGCGCCCCCTCCCGCTCGATCGCACCCACGGAGCCCTGCATGGCCCGGCTGGGCGCGCTGCTCCTGGCCGCCGCCCTGGGCGCGCTGCTCAGCTTCGCCCTGCTGGCGGCCGCGGTAGCCAGTGACTACTGGTACCTCCTGGAGGTGGCGGCCGGCGGCAACCACACGGGGCCCGGGCCGCTGTCCTCGCACTCGGGGCTCTGGCGCATCTGCGAAGGTACGGGCTGTGGCGGTGCCGCGGCGCCCCCAGGGCAGGGACGTGGCCCGCCCCCTGTCGCCCCTTCTCCTCGGTCCCTTCCCTCCCACAGCCCTGCCCACAGAGCGGTGCTGAGAGCCACCCCCACCCACACATCTGCCCTAGGGGGCCCAGGTCCCCTCCTGTCACCCCCTTCCCCAACTATCAGAGCCTGAGGGGGTCGGGGGAGGAAGGGACTCCCAGGGTCAGGCTGGGGTGGGAAATACGTGTGGGACATGGGGCGGGTCCTGGGAGGGAGCTGTGCCCTGTTAGCAGAGGCCAGGTTACCCAAGGCTCGCGAGGGCTCTGCCAGTTGCCACTGTGTGGCCTGGGACTGGTCCCACTGAGCCTCCAAGCCCTGGACTGTCGGATGGAAGAAACGATGCTCCTCAGGATCAGGAAGGGGGGTGGGGGGAGGGGGTCAGCGGGATGAGGGAGGGACAGGGCAGGCGGGGCTCAGCCCTCCCTCCTCAGGGAGGGGTGGGAGGCCTGCAGCGGGAGCAGGTGGAGGCGGGAGGCCCAGGCGTGGGGAGCTGCGGCCTCTGGGAAGGCCAGGGGTCCCCATCCTCTTGGCGGCCGTCCCCAGGGGCCTGGCACGGCCCGGGATAGGACGCAGGCCCTGCTCCCCTGATGCCACCGGGCGGCCTGGAGCGCACACGGCGGCCCCCAGGAAGGCCCCCACTGGCACACCTGTGGCAGGGCTGCCCGGCCCAGGACGGGCAGGGCGCTTCCCCGGGGAGGCCCGAGTGCCCGCACTGGCCCTGCTCCCTCCTCACCGGCGAGGCCAGCCTGGTGTGAGTGTGTGCGTGCATGCGTGCATGTCAGTGTGAGAGCTTGTGAGCCTGTGTCTGTGTGCATGTGCGAGAACGTGACTGTGAGGTTGTATGTGAGCACATGTTCGTGTGTGTGGACATGGCTGTCAGTGAGTGTGTGCGCGCAGGTGACTGACTAGGAGTGTGTAGAAGCACGTGAGCGTGAGTGAGGATGTGTGTGCACATGCCGGTGAGAGGGGTGTGTGAGCACATGTGTGTGTCCACGAGTGTGTGTGTGTATGCGTGAGAGACGGCGGCTTCCTAGTGCGCTTGGGAGGAAGGGCCGGGCTTGTGCACCCACGGACAGGCTTGTGCGTGTGTGCGTCTGTGGGTGGGTGTGCACGTGTGGGGGTGTCAGAGGGCCCCGTTGCACACCCCCGTTTCCGACGTGGGCCTGTGGGCGTGCTCGGCGCCCGGCCAGGGCTGCCCCAGGGCGGCCCTGCGCATCACGTAAGCCGGTCAGAGATCTGGAGCCACCGGAGCCTCGAGGAGCCCCGGCTCCGCGCTGCAGGAGTCGGACGCCCCGCGGCCCCATCCCTCCCCGTGGCTCGGCGGGGCCAGGCCGCTGCCCGGAGAGGCGCAGGTGGGAGCTGGCCCCGTCGGTGTCCCCAGGCCCTGGGTGCTCTCCGTCTGCTTCGCAGGGCAGAGCAGCTGCGACCCCCTGATCGACCCCTTTGCCAGCGAGGGCCTGGACGCCTCCACCTCGGTGCAGCGCCTCCTCGGTGAGTCCTGGGGCGGAGTCCCTGCCTCCTCTCATCCCCGGGCGGGGTGGGGCTCAGGCCGCCCTCACCCTGGCCCAGGGGACATGTGGGCACACAGCTGAAGGCTCCCCTGGCCCAGCCGCAGCCGCCACGCTCCTCAGGTGCCCGACTCCCCGCCTGTCCTGCGCCCCTTTGGGGCTCTGCTTTATGCTTCCAAACAGGTCTGCCTGGCGGGTGAGGGCGCGCGTGTGCTACCCCGGGAAGCCTGGGAGGTTAGGGAGGGCGGCGGGGAAGCCCCCTCACTGCGGCCTCGGGAAGCCTGCGCCAGGGCAAGGGGCCCCTGGGAGAGCCCGGGGGTTACCACGGAGACAGGCACCTGGGGAGGCGACGGTCCAGCTCCTCCTCCGGCCAAGGCCAAGGCCAGGAGTGTCCTGTGAAGTGGGCGTCCAGGCAGGCAGGGCTCCGCGGCAGGCCCGGTGCCACCGTGCCCTGAGCGCCTGTCCCTGCAGCGCTGCACCGGGCCGTCACGGTGGTCCTGCCCCTGAGCCTCGTCCTCGTCGTGTGCGGCTGGGTCTGCGGCCTCCTCGGCTCCCTGGCCCGGAGTGTCCCTTTGCTGCTCTTTACCGGCTGCTACTTCTTGTTCGGGGGTGAGTCTGGGGGCCGTGGGGGCCGCTGGTCGGGGGTGGGTGCTGCCTCCGCTGCAGCCCTGTGAACCTGGGCCCGCCCCGGTGGTGGGGCTGCAGCCGGCGAGGCCTCGTGAGGGGCAGGGGTTCCAGTGGCGGTGGGCCCAGCGTCAGGGACAGAGGGCGGTGGGGCGGGACCCAGGGCTGTGCTTTCAGGCGTGGGAGACGCCAGGACCGCCAGCGATTCCAGGTGAGCCTGCACCTCTGTTCCCTTTTGCTCCCGGGCTGTCCAGGCGGGAGGAGCGGGGAAGGCAGGCCAGGCGTGAGGACAGGCGATAAGGGCCCTCAGAGTCCTTGGCAGTGGCCCCCGCCCAGGCCCAGACTGACAGCAGCCATCCATCAGCAGACAGTCCCCTGAGGCCAGCACATGCTCAGGGACTCACGCAGCCCCGGTCACCGCTTCCAGCTGAGACGTCCCTGCGTTCACCAAGGCCAGCGGGAAGCTTATCCTGGGGTCCCCCTCTGTGCCTTTTGGTCCCACTGCCCATTCAGCCACCCAGAGCCCCCCATGCCCAGGTCGGCTGTTGCTGATGGCAGGCTGGTGGCTCCTTGGGGACAGTCCTCAGTGGCCCTGCTGTCCGGGGCCAGACCTGAGTGGGGCCTGGAGTCCTGAATCAGCTCCACCCTCCGGGCCACAGCTCTGGGGGGCCAGATCAGGGGGGACCTGGGGCTCCGCCCAGGCAGGGCCGCTTCCTCCGGCGGGGCGCGGACCCTTTGGGGGCTTGGGGGGCAGGGGCGGCCAGGAGCCGGGCTCAGACGCCTGGGAGTCTGCACAGGGGTGAAGGCAGCAGAAACCCAAGCGTGAGTGGTGGCCTCACCCCAGATGCCGCCTGTGTGTGTCCAGAATCCAACTGAGGGGCCTGGGGAGCCACCGAGGGGGATGCTCGGGTGGGGCAGGAACCGGGGGACCTCAGCGGTACTCTCAGAGCACAGGCACCGGCCCGCGGGCCGTGGGGGCTCTGGGGGCACCTCCTAGGGACTGTCCCCTGCTCTGAGGGCCCGGCCGCAGGCCGCGTGGGAGGACCCCCGGCCCCTCCCTGTACTCAGGGCCCACGGTCCGGGGCTCCTCCGTGGGACGGAAGGGCTGGCATCGGAAGCTGCCCCGGGGCCTGCATGAAGCCCGGGCTGGAAGGCACGCCAGCTCCAGGGGCTCCCAGACAGGAGTGTCGCACCGAAGGGGCCAGGGGGCCAGCTGGCCCCTAGCCCCCACCCCATCAGCACTGCCAGGAGGGAGGGGCGCGGGTGGTTCTGGGTGGCGGCAGTGGATGCGGCGGCCCCTGTCGTCCCACGATGGGAGCATGGGGTGGACAGGCTTGAGGGACGAGCTCCACTGCGTCTGCCCCGCTCCAGGCTTGGTGACCGCCAGGGGCCCGGGGAGGGTCCAGTTTGGCAGCCAGTCTGTGTCCTGTCCCCTGCTCTGGAGGACGAGAGGCAGGTCCTGTGCTCAGCCAGGCTGGACGTAGCAGCCTGGTGGGCAGGGGAGCGGGGCCTGGCCCGGAGCCCTGACCTGGCCTGTGTCCGGGACCCCAGCAGCATGAGAACTCCCTTGGGAAGCCCCAGAGAGCCGTGCCGGCCGCTGCTGGGCCCACCCCTCGCCGAGCCTGCTCCCATCAATCCCCCGCTTTGGTCAAGTGGGGAATCACAGGGGACCAGGGTGAGAGCCAGGCAATAAGGGGACCCAGGGCCGCGTCCCTTCTCTGGGCCTCAGCAAGAGCCAGATGTGGCCCTGAGGGTCGGCTCTGGCCAACCCCTGCTTTTAGCCAGGAGTGTCCAGAGGGCTGTGTGTCCCCAGGAGGAGCCTGTGGGAGCCTCAGAGCCCACCGCGTTCCCCACAGTCGGCGTTGAGGGCGGGCTGTGATGCCAGCCTGCGGCTCGGGGCTGGGGGGGCTCCCCGAGCTGGTCCCTCTGAGCCCAGTGCCCAGCTCCCCGTACGCATCCCCTGTGCAAAGCCAGCCTTACTCTTCGAAGAAAGCTCAGATCGCACAGGGTGGCAGGGAGGAGGACGGTCCCCTCCAGGGAGGCGCGGGGCTGGGGGAGCGGAGAGGCCAGCAGTCAGACCTGGGGCTGGGAGGGGGCTTCCCACGGGGTCACTCAGGCTCCGGCCGGAGGAGGGAAGGTGGCACCCAGTGAACGGGGCGGCGGGGATCCTGCAAGGGGCAGGGGCTGGCCCCTGGGCCCCCTGTTGCCGGCAGGGGTCCCTGGCTGTGTGTGTTGGGGGCTCTGGGACTCTGAAGGGCGCTGTGTGTGTCGGGGCAGTTGTGTGAGCGGGGGCCGTGCGTTAGGCATGCGGAGGTGCTGCTCACGCGGGCGTTTTGCGGGATGAGGTCCGGGGCTTTGAGGACTGAGAGCCTCCCTCCCTCAAAGGCGAGTGTGGGGGGGGCACCTTGGAAGGGCAGGCTGCCCAGTAGGCAGACGCTGAGTGGTCACCGGCCCCTCCTCAGGTGCCCTGACCCTGGCGGGGGTCAGCATCTACATCAGCTACTCGCACCTGGCCTTCGCCGAGACCACCCGGCAGTACGGCCCCCAGCACGTGCGGGACGTTGGCGTCAGCTTCGGCTGGTCCCTGGCGCTGGCCTGGGGTTCCTGCGTCTCTGAGGGCTTCAGCGGGGCCCTCCTGCTGGCCGCCGCCGGAGCCCTCCGCCGGGGCCACCGGCAGCCTGGCGCCCCCCACTCTGTGGTCACCTGAGTCCCAGGCGGGCGTGTGGGGGCTGGGGGTTGGCACAAGAGGGGCTGGGTTTCCCTTTGCATCCTGGGTTTGGGCGCCCCGTCCTGCGGGCCCTGCTGGGCAGAGCCGGGTGTTTAGGGGCTGCCCGCCCTGTCAGGGCCACCGGGGCCTCCTGCGGAGGTGAGACCGTGAGTCCAAAAGAGGGAGCAGGTGTCCAGGCAGGGGCGGGGTGGGGGGTGAGTCATGGTGGAGTAGGGCGGGGTGCTCAGCGGTCTCCTTGACTCAGGGGTGTGGCTTGCATTCGCCCCTCCGCCATCAGTCCTGATGTGCCACAGCTGCTCCGTTCTTGGGGGGTCAAGGGGAGGAGTGTCCCCTGTCTTGGGGTCAGGGAGTTAGGAGGCAGGTATGGCTGTGAAGTGCCCGTGTCGGGTGGGGGGGGGCCCCCACTGAGAGACAAAGGGCTGGGGGCTGAGCGGGGCTTCCCTTCCTGCGGGTGTATCAACATTCCTTGTTCCTTTTAGCAGTTTGGTGCCAGTTTGTCCTTAAATAAATGTCCCGTGTGCGGTGTGAGCCTTTTGCCTCTCACGCGTTTCCAGAACAGACGGACCGTGCGTGCCTGTGGCTCAGGGGCAGCGCGAGCACCAAAGCCCGATGCCAGCTGTGTGCGCCCGAGTGTCCGTCCGTCCCGAGGCCCCGTGCGTGTCTCTGTGTCACTGCATCTGGAGACGCCTTCTGCAGACACAGCTCCTCACGCCCGGGCCACACGGGGGCTGTGGGCAGTGGGGGAGACCCCCGCGGCTTCACCCGTGGGCTGGCCGGGGACACAGCGTGAGGGTTTAGCTCCAGGCCTCTCGAGCCGCAGGTGGGCCAGGGCTCTGAGGACAGGACCCTGGAGGAGACACATGTCGGTGGCTGCGAAGACCCTGGAACTCCCTGAGGGAGGCCGTGGGGAGGAGGGCCATGGTGGCGGTGATGACCTTGTGCGGTGATGAAGCCAGCGGCAGGCTGTGGGGACCCTCAGGCAGCCCTGGGAATGCCCCCGGCTGGGAACCGGCTCCTGCCAACAGCCACAGAGGGGACAAGGGAGAGCGGGCGCTGCGGCCGCACCTGGGGAGGGGGTCGAGGGGCCCAGGACCGGGGCTGCCGGCACAGGGGCTCAGCACCCAACCCCATCGCCTGCTGCGAGCGCCCCCGCCCCGTGTGTGTGTGTGGTGGTGGGGTGCCCAGCAGCTTCACCATCTGGAGGGACAGGGACGCAGAGTCAGGCGCTCCACGGTGGGGCGGAGGGGTCCTCTGGCCCTGTCCAGGCGCACCCAGACCCGCAGCGCCGGCTCAGGAGGCGAGCCCGAGGCCAAGGGGCAGCAGAGGTCGGGGGGCAGGGCTTGGGGGACCAGCCGAGGGAGAATGGAAGGTCGCTGGGCTTGGCTGGTTGAGGCGGCACGAGGGGCCGGGCCGGGCGGTCGCCACCGCCGCCTGGCCTGGTCCGGTCCTCTGTGCGGGGGCTGGCGAGCAGCGTCCCCTCTCGGGCTCCATCGTGCTCGCACGCACCAGACGCTCGCTGTGGTCCCGGGGACCAGTGCCTCCTGTATTTACCGCCGCCCCCCGCCCCAGCCCCGTCCACGAGAGGGGAATGCCAGGTACCACTGGCAGTGAGGAGGGGTCTGGAGAGGGAGGCGGTGCCCGCGGTCCTGTCGTACGCCAGGCTCGGCCATCCAGGCCTAGGGACCAGGCGGAAGCCAGTGCTGCCATGGCGACAGGCGGAGGGGGACATTCTCTGCTCTTTTGCAGGAAGTTCTGGTACAAGGGCCCCTAAAATGCAGCACTAAGTCCCTTTGCCTCTGTAACCTAGGACCACACATGCCCCCCACATCAGTTCTGACCGCTGACGAGCACCCACTTCCAGCGTCAGAGGGGACCCGGCCCCAGGGGAGGGCGCAGCAGTGGCTGGTGGGCCCCAGCGGCGGGACGGGCCTGCCTGGCACGGGTCGCCATGGCGAGCACCCGCCCCCACCCTGCAGCTGCTGTGGGGGGGGGGGCGGGGGGGGGGGGGGGGGGGGGGGTTTTTGGGGGTTGGGGGGGGGGGGTTTTATTGTCTGTCTGCTGCTCCCCAGCCCTGGAGGGGGACCAACGGAAACTCCCTGTTCTTTTGAGAGGCTGCTGTCCCTCCCGCCCTGGGCGCCCAGTGCTCCAGGTGGTCACTAGGGGGCAGCAGCTCTGCCAGTGTCTGAGCCGCCAGCCTGAGCGGCGGCTGCCCCCGTGTGGTCAGTCTGGGAATGGCTCTCCTCGTCCACCTGGAGAGGCCGTCCTAGGTCCCGGCCCAGCGCCTGAGAAGCAGGTTCCCTGGGGAAGGGCTGAGCGCCCTGTGCTGGTCCCAGAGGAGGGGTGCGGGTCCTTACCTGAGCCAGCCCGCCCTGCTTATAGACGTGGACGTGACACTCCTGCCCAAGGAAGAGCTGGGAGCCCCAGCGCCCGAAGTGACACACCACTTAGACAGGCGGGGGCAGTGTTGGCACAAGGTCCCAAGGGGCCCACGGGCCCCGCGCCCCTTCACGACACCTTGCTGCCACGTGCCAGAGAACGGTCCACTAAGTGCCTGCACAGGTCCAGGACGGGCGTCCTGTGACCGCTGGGCCTTGGGTGCTTGCGCCCCTCTCCCCCGAAGCCCACCTGCAGGGGGGCATCGCCTGCCCCCTTGGGGGACCGGCGGCCGGGCACAGCCATCCGCGTAGCCCCAGCAGGAAGCAGAGGGCACAGGAACACTGGGAAGCCGGAGAGTGTAATAAAGGGACGATCTGCAAAGCCGTGGCAGAACGTAGGGGAGTGAGCAGGGACGGTGCAGCACCCCGAGGCCAGAAGGGGCGAGGGGACGGCGGTGACAGGAACCCGGAGACAGGGACACGCGGCGAGGGCCCCTGCCGGGCTCAGGGACGCCCTTCGAGGAGGGAGCGGAGCCGGGGCAGGGACACGCCGACCTCGCTCTCCTGCCCTCCCTCCCCTCCCGGGAGGGCCTCGCTAGTTGACACCAAGAGACACCCAGCAGGCTGGGACCTCACCCCCCAGCACCAAGGGGAGGAGCGTGGAGGGAGGACCTGCAGGGCAACGGGACGCCACCCTCGCTCGCCAGAGATGAGGCCTGCCCCCCCGGCGCCCCCCCGCAGCCCGAGCCGCAGCCTCCCCTTTGGCTCTGAGGGGAGGGGCGGGCGGGGGGGGGCTCCGTCACCGCTGGCACTGGCCCAGAGCCGCTCTTCTAAGGCTCCCCGATGAGGACCCCTTGCCCGAGTGGCCGAGCAGGACTGGAGCCCCAGTGAGCCCGCTGCACAGCCTGTGGTTTCAGGGACCAAGTATCCGGGTCCAGAGGCCCTTCCCCTGCCCTCTGCGCCCCACCTCCTCCTGGGCCCTGGTCCCCCCCACATTGAAACTGTGGTTTGAACCCCCCTGACCCACTCAGATCTCAACACCTGTCTTATTTCCTTTCCCATCAGCCCCTTGCAGGTGGGGCCCTGCGGTTTCACTGCTGACTTCCTCTCCCAGCAGAAGGGCCGGAGCTGCAGAAGGGGAGACTGAGACTCGGGGGGGGGCTGGGGGAGGGGCTTCTGGCTCCTGCCGCAGAGCTCACTGAGCCTCCCCTCCCCTGTGGCACGGAGTCCGAAGCCTTCAGCATGGCAGTCAAAGTCAGTGGGATGTGGCCTCTGCTTCCCCCTCCCGGGACAGGCTGCCCCCTGCCCCCCGTTCCGGCAGGTTCCCCGTCCTATCCTGAACCCCTTTCTCACCGCTCGGCTCTGCTTCTGCCGTTTCCCACCCGGGGAGCCAGCAGGTCCTTCCCTGCTGCCCCAGGCCTCCCCTCACCCCCCAGTTCCCAAGGCGCTCTCTGTGGGCGCCTGTCGAGCCCCGCACCTCCCCCACCGGCTGCTGGCAGAGGCTGCGTGTGCATCAGGCTGCCTGCTGAGCAGTGGGCTCAGCATCTTTGAAGTTCCAGGCAGCAGCGGGTGTGGGCTGGATGGCTGATCAGTCCCAGTCACCACCTGACCCCACAGGCAGGCCCTCAGGGCTCCCGTGGGGCCTCTGGCTTATCCCTGGCACCGCGGAGGATTGTGCACACCCGGCAACAGCCGTGGTTCGTTACGGCAGCAACTGTCAACCCGAGGTGGGGGTGCCGGTCACCGTGCCTTGGAAACACACCCTAGGTTATTAGACCCTCTGCCCTGGAGGGGCAGCCCGCGGAGACCCCCTTTTCTAGATGAGTTTTCTGTCTGTTTTCCTGCGGGAAGGCGGTGAGCGCAGGACAATAGCTGCAGGTCTTAGGGTGAGAAGACCTGGGTCCAAATTCCGCTTTGCCATTTACTGGGCACAGGATCTGGAGCACCTTGCTTAGCATCTCAGAGGCCCCCTCTGCAAAATGGGCTAACGCCCACCTCAGCAGGCCATCGGGCGACACTTTAATGTGCACCCAAATCACCTGGTGATGTTGTCCATGTAAAGATCCTGGCTCAGCGGTCCAGTGTGGAACCCGAGAATCTAAACTTCTACCAGGCCTTCAGATGACCGGTCGCACCGAGCAGCAGGGACGCAGAGCGCAAAGCCTCGCCGGCCGCGCGGCCGCCACCCCGCGCGCTCCAGGACGCCCCTCTTGTCAGCACCAAGGACAGCGCCTGTGGGGGGTCGCCGAGACGACCCCAGGCCCCCGGCCTGATGCCGGGCTCACTGCGGACGGTGGGGTTTTCGCCATAGTCATCGTCCCCCACGACCGCCTCAACCTCGGCGTGCCGCACGGCCGGCCAGGCTTGGTCGCCGAGTCGCCACGCAGGTCCGCCACGGGCGTCGGGACCCCCGCGGAGCTCCTAGGTTCCTGCGCCCAGCGGGCCCCTTGCCGCAGGGCCGCGGCCCAGGCCAGTCCGCGGAGCTTGGCGGCAGCGGTGCCCGAGCCCCCTCCCCGACCCTCCCCTCCCCCCAGGCGAGGACGACCAGGAACCGCGGGGTCGCCACGGCAGGACTTCCCAAACTTCGGACGCGGCTGGCCTGGG